CCGTATCAATGTGGTGCTCCATCAGCGTCGTGCGACCAACATCGTAGGGACCTTTACTCAACACGTCTGCGAAATCACACAACAAAATCCTGAGCTCCCTCAATTCCTTTGCCGACAGATCGGTGTTCTGCACCAGGAGCGCGTCTATCCATGACATATCCTCTGCACCGACCAACGGACCCTCCAAATGCACATTGTTGACGGTCTGCGCCTCAGGGTCCGAATGCATTGGACTGACATTTGCAAACAAGGTCCCTTCCTGCACTGTAATGGGTGTGTCAGCACTGTTAAGGACCTGCAGGAACAGTGGCCGATTCCTGCGCACATGCGTGTCAGCTGCTGATAAGCAATGGCGACCAACCACCGACGGCACTGCGGAGACGATGAGCGGCGCATCCAACCGGGATGTGACGAGTGGGGTGCGATATCGAAGCAGCACCAAGGCCTGCGCACCAGGCGGGATCGAGACCATAGTCCCAACCAGCTCCTAAACTCGCAGAAATTGCTTCCGTTCCCCGTCTGGATGCAAGAAATACAAGCGACCCGCCGATGGGGTTTCGTGCCCAGCAAGCAGGGAACCGTGAGCACACTGGAGACCAGTACCGGTGCTCGTACCTCCAGCTCCCCGATGCGGACCGGCACTACCACTTGGTCTATGATCCCCATACTTCCCCCATTTGTGGCTATGTACCTTGCTTGAACCGGTGCGAGACGACGCTGTCCCTCCTTTAACAAGCCAAAGATGCACAGGGATATGATGCTGGCTGACGCACCTGTGTCAACCAACACGCGGACGCCAACCCCTGCCACCGAGCCTACCAACACGGACGTCCCAGCCGTGGCCGCCACCACCCTTCTGGCCAAATGACGCCATTTATTAACCGTGTCCGGCCACGGGCCCAGACCATCAGCTGGAATCCTAACTGCTGCCCCCGAGGGGTGAGATGCGTGATGGGGTGAACATGGGGTGGATGGTTCTGGCCAGGTGTCCAAGGTTTCAGCACTCGTCTGATGCGGAACAGCCACGGACCAAGGCTGAGGAACCCGGCTGGTCGTCCCCAGTGCACTCGTCCTGCTGTGGCATCCGCAGGCGATGTGTCCCTCGTGACCGCAGCGATGGCAGATGACTTTTCTCGTGACTAGAGGATGCTCTCCTGCCTCGCGAGGTGCCCAGCGCTGGGGTCGGTGCTCCGCTTCTCGCAGGATCCTCGGATACCGCCGCAGGGCCACCACCATCTCTCCCTCGTCCTCCTCTGCCAGCAGCGCGTGTCTGGTTGGGGGCCGTGGCAGCCCCTCAACGTCGCCGAGATTCCCTGCAAGGTGTGCCACACTTCGATTCGGACACTTCCTGCTGGCGGTTTTTAAACTTCTGGCACGCCCCCTGGCGGAGAATCAAACACCTCCGCCATCTTCTTGTAGAAGCCCTGCAGAGATCCTCTTTTTGCAGGCAGAATCCGGTCGAACACTGCCAGTGTGGAGTCGTCCAATGCAGTGGGCAGTATTGTCAGGGCTTGTTCCTCCATCCACTTCAGTGCCTGGGCAGTCATCTCGAACTGGTGGATGAAAGCGCGCCATTCTCCCGATCTGGACGTGAACCTCTGTATCGCGCCCAGCTGGCGGCTCCATCCTGGTCCTCCCTCCGCGGGCTGCCTCGACTGAGTTTCGGGCCGAGTTTCAGGCTGACTTTCGCTCCCGCCCTGTGCCGTTACCACTTGCACGGTCATTTGCTCTACGTTGCGCTCCAGTCGTTCATGTCCCCAGGTTGCTACTGCTGCCTGCGAATATTGGGACAGGCCGGGGCTTTCTCCTGGGTCCCGCGCGGGACACATAGTCAGTAGTGTCGCTGGTGCTGCTCCATCCCGCGATAGCTGCTGCGAAGTGCCAGGTCTGGAAGGCTGACCGTGGCTCCCATCCCCTCGCTGGGGAGGCGATGCGGCTGAAGTTCCCCCCTATCTTTCGTCCTCAGGACTCAGCCGGCAAAGCAGTGCGGTTACTGCCTCCAGCAGCTGATCCATCCTCCAATCCCTAGAGGATTATCTGCGGTGGTGGCGGCGCTGGGTCTGCACCGCTGGGTTGGTGGAGGAAGGTGCCCACACGAGGTGAGCAGCTGCCTCGGATCCCGCCGATGAGCCGAGGGACAAATCCCGACTCGTCGGTTCCGTTTCTGAGCAATGCTCGTCATGGACACCAAGAGCGTCTTCTCGCTGAGTCTCCCACCTTGGGATCTTGCGTCGGCTAAGGCGAGACATCCCACCGCTGCCACCAGATGAAGAGGAGTCAGAGACTGGTTAAGCACTTCTTTATTCTTCAAACCACAGCCACACTCATTCCTCAAAAAACAACCTCGAACACGCGTTTCACAGCCCCTTTTAAACCCTCCATCTCCGCCCTCCTTCCTAATTCACATCTCCGTCTCGCACGCCGTGTGCGTGTGACGTTAGTGGCCTTTAATCCCGACCCCTGTCTAATGTATTCCTGTGTGTGTGATTGGTGTGTGCTATGTTGAGTGCGGCGATTGCGTGTCTGCGTGGTTTGAGTGCGTGAGGATGGCTGGGACATCCCCTACACTAGAACAGCACACCGGTGTATTGGAGAGTAAACCCACAATATTTACAATAGTTACACAATATAACCCAAAAACTTCTATTGATGATAATATCGGTCGCGAAAGCCCTACATGTTAAACTGAACAATGCATAATGTGGCAACTTCTAATGGGAGATTCCTGTATTATGCATTGGTTACCTAGATGGCGAACCACTCGGTCACGAGGATGCTCATCTCTGGACTCGCTTTATACAAATGGGAGTTCGGCTTTTTTTTTCAAATCAGGGACACAACAATAGTGTCCCATAGAGCAGTTGTGGTTCTCAACCTTGTTTGGCTCTGCTGATACCCCCCTTGTTGGATTTTGTTTCAACCGAGTAACCCCCCCCCCCCTTGCCTGACCCCAACACGGTTCTCAGAACTAAACGTACGAATAATGAACATCAATGTTAACCAATTGTCCATCTTGTGAGGTATCCTAACTAGCTGCAAGTAAACTGATAAAGTCACGTATATAGAAAATAAAAATAAATATACAAATAAAATAAAAAAACCCACGACGTTTCAATCGCAACACAAGCGGTCTCCTTCAGGCGGAGAGAAAAGAGGGAAAGCCTCCAAATGCAACTGCTTATAAGGGTTTCCAAAGTGAGTGGGCGGGGGACGACAGTTGGGGGGAGGAGAGCTTGTGAACAGCACACGAGTACCTGGTATGGTGTGTAAACATCGCCACTGGGGAGACAAAGGCGGCCGGGCATGGTGTTGGCCTCCCACACCCCTCGTGTGCCGTGTCAGCCTTCATAGGTGCTACTCGCTAACAGCACTTCCTCCGCAGTGTTCAGGCTATATGTTTGCGTGTACCGCAGTGCATCTTGACCTGTCTCATTCTACGACACGCACACACTTACCAGCTTGCTCGATGTTCGGGGCACAACAATGCAACAAATCGCCGTGGGCCCATTGGGTGGGTGGAAATGCGTTGGAGCTTAAGCGAGAATTCACAATCCCTTGCTCATACTAAACTTTTTTTTATTTTACAAAGGTCAACTGAGCTATGCAGCTCTTTTTCAGAAGCGACCTGGCCACAAATTATAGTCCAATTAAGTGGCTTATTGTGCAGAAATTGATAGCAGCCAAATATTCTAAACCCATGTTGATTCTAAATGTGGAGGGAAAAACCAAAAGATCTGGAGAAAAATCCACGCGACCACGGGGAGAACATGCAATCTCCAATAATACAGCAGGCGTCAGGGTCGGGATCGAACCCACGAACTCCTTCATACCAGGCGAGATAGTTAACATCTCGCCACAAAGGCGCCCTTAATCTTAAGATCAAGCAAAGATCTACGACAAGAATTTGCTCAACTGCATGAGTGTCTTCGTATGTCTCTCCGTGTCTGTGTTTGTGTCTAGGTTTGTACTTGTGCCTCTAACTTAGAAGTCACCAGCCACCCTGCTTTTCAGACTGGCTCACTAGGTACGGGTCCCACAACGTTATCTGGCTACTCAGGTGGGTCGCAAATTGGGAACGTTTGAAAACCCCTGCCAAAAGGAAATGTAGCACTTAACATCTGTACACTATATTCTTGGTTCTTTCGGTAAAGTCACAGAGACAATTTCAAACGAGATGGATTCTGGCTAAGCAATCATTGGAAGGATTTGATAAACCATTTCGGGTCTTAATTGATTGTTCACGCTTACGGCGGCTTTCAGAACCGCATCCATTATTTTCGTCTCCCCGCTCTTTTCCTAACATAGATGGACTCGTCCATCTGAACAAACTGTCAAATCGCTCTCCGTGGTGCTAACGTTAAAAATAACCATTTTTTTTTCAAATTTTCTTGCTGTGGTTGTCACACCTGATGATGACTGCTTGTGTTGCAGTCGAAACGTCGTGAGAATTTTATTGTTTTATATTTTTCTTATTTTAGTGTTTCCCTTCTATGTGACTTTACCGAAAGAACCAAGAATATGAATCCCTGCAGTCACGAAAGCTTTAAATCAAAATCTGTACAGTATGTTGAAACCGGTCCAGACTTGGCTTGGGACTGAACCAGTTTTGCCAAAATGATGAACTCCCACGTCGTAGTGCTGACGAGACATAACACACATGTTTTTGTGTGTCGATACAGATATGGGAAGGTGTATTGTCTGCTTATATACATCGTTACACATTCTCCACAACGATGTCCATTGTTTCGTGTTGTTGTTAAAGAGGGTAACGTCTGAGCTGGCATGGTAGATGTCATCAGAACTCGAGTGATGCTGTGGTGGCCACTGGCCGGCAGAGAACCCGCGCCAAATGGCCACTCCTCTGCAGGCTTGCGGCAAGGCCAACGCTACTGCTCGGGGCTCCTGTGCCTTGGGGAGTTGTACTGCACTACGATCCTCTTCAGCTACCGCTGTGACGATGATGTCCCCCCATCTCCCCTGTTCTCCCACGAGGATGCGGGTTTAAGTAGAGCACAGCTTTATTTCTTACCAGTTAAATCGTTCCTTCACATCGATACCCAGAATGTTTTTATTCTTTGTATGAGATTTTACAATATCCAAACTTTTAAAAAAACTGGATACAGCACTTTTGTCCATCATAAGCACCTCCGATTAGCAGTTGGCTACGTGCGGTGCGAAAGAAGTTCTACATACATACATACGTAGGTATATTTCACAACATTTGACTTGGTTATCATACATACTTCAACATAAACACCGGTTAGGGAAACTGGACACACTTTATGGAAAGTCCGAAATGGTTTATGCTTGATAAATAAAAACTAGACACGAAAACATCAATTATTGAAAAAAATGCAAAATAGACAAAACGCTTTTCAGTCAAAATTCCGGTGGCAGCGGCCTTGTGTCTGAACTGCCATTGTCAGGAATTGCTTATGGATGGATGACAAGACGCGCAATCAACTGTGCACGCTGACCCACCATACGCGCAGTCGCTTGGGCACGGGACGAAAAGCGTTGCTGTGAAACGGTTTCTGCCCACACACCTCGTTCGTTCCTCAGTCCGCTTGTCCTGGTGAGGGTCGCGGCGGCAGCATGCATGTTGAGTAGGGCGGTCTAGACCTACCTTTCCCTGGCGACTCAAGTTCTTCCTGGGGAATTCCCAGGCGTTCACAGGCCAGCTTAGCAACATAATCCCACCAGTGTGTCCTGGGGTAGCCCCAGGGTATTCGCCCAGTGGTACGTGCCTGGTAGAGTTCCAGGGGCAGTCTATCAGGAGGCGTCCTTACCAGGAGCCTCCTCTCTAGAACTCTGGCATAAAGCTTTACCTGGGACGGTGAGGAGTGCGATTCCTCTGCAGTTGGAGCACACCCACTGGTCCTCTTTTTAAAAGAAATGGTAACCACGACACCAGTTTGTCAATCCAGAAGTATAGTACAGTACCTGCCTTCCATACAACATTGAAGAGGCGTGTTAACCATGTCACTCTTACAAGAGGCGTGTTAACCATGACACTCTTACAAGAGGCGTGTTAACCATGACACTCCTACACTGCCCAGCGCTTTCAACAACTCTGGGCAAATCTCGTCCACACCAGCAGCTTTGCGCTATGAAGGCCCTCAACTGCCGCAGCGACATCAGCAGCCGTTAGGGATCTCACCCCCCCCCCCAGCTGTTTAAAGGGCTGCCTACTCACTATTACCACTGAACTAGCAGGCCAGTTTGTATACAGAACAAGTGTTATGTTTCAATTAAAAGCAACACTGCGCGTCTCCCTGATTAACGAGGTCGACATCTTTGTTGTGTGCGAAAACAAATGTCGTCAAATTGGCGAACGAATGACACTCATCATCCTCCCCGTTAGAAAAGCACCGGCAACATTACAAATGACCGCTGTGAGGGCCGAGCCAACATAGCGATCGCATCACTGAGAATTGTACAGCTAAACTTCGAAGTGACCTCCCATGCAAAGAGCGACTTCCTCTCCAAATGCTTGAAGACCAACAACATGCATGGTATTGTGCTACACGAAGCACGTGGAGAATGAGGGTGACCATTCCAATACCAACGAAGAGGAATACGGGCGCTGTATATGAAGCACTCTTCAAGCCATTGAACGGATGACCAGACTTCAATAGTTGTTTTGATAGTTGCTTTTCAAATACCATACAAAAGAAAGACTGGTGTGGTCGAGGCCTTTTATACATAACACTTACAAGAGACGTGAAGACACAAACCCTAATTATCTAAAACTCTTTAGAAAAACAAACTGCTGCACCTGCCAGGTTTCTGTATGTCCATCAATAGATGTGTGTGATTACCAGTAACACAGGAAGATGAAGTGTCACTCTCCACATTGCCATGGCCACAGAAACATGTGTTTACTTAATTATGGTGGACAGGTACAATGGCAGACATATTCGATTCTCTCCCTGGTGGTTTAAATGTCAGCTGTGTGGATGACACTGCTTGGAGGTAGGCTTTCCAAATTGGCATGGGCTAAGATTCTATCTTTGTCACGTGTGTGTCTTTGCTGATGGCCCACAAGGTGGTGCTTGAGCCGGAAAGCCATGCCGCACTCCGCACATGCAAAGGGTTTCTCGCCGGTGTGAATGCGCTTGTGTCGGATCAAGTCGAACGACTGTAGGAACACCTTCCCACACTGCTCGCACGCAAACAGCACCTCTCCTGCGTGGATCCGCTCGTGCTTCCGAAAGTATTGCAGGTCCCTGAACTTCTGGCCACACACCTTGCACTGGTAGGGCTTCTCCCCCGCTTCTCTGCATGCGTTTTGAATATGGGGGGCGGTTACTTTTAAGCGCTTAATGCAATTTTGTATGGCACTTCCACTTGCAGAGTTCATGTTTAGACTTCTGGCGTCGATGATTTCTGCATCTGTTTGGAAGTGCGGTCTGATCACGCTGGCTTCCATGTCGGCGAGAGGCGCTGCACTGTCATTCGCAGCGATCCTGCCATTTCTGAAACAGTTTATCAGTGCTACATTCTGTTGGTATATTCCAGAGATGGTGCACGTTTTCCTCTTACCATCTTCCCTTCTGGGTCCTATAAAAAACACAAGAGAAAATCTGTGTCTTAGCACTTCATAAATAACGTTTAAATTTTTGTAGAATACGTAAGTATGTTTGTATGTATGTATGCATGTTGAATGTTTCGCATTGTACATAGCCAACCATGCAAATCGGAGGTGCAACTGCATCTCAAGACCCTTAACCGAAAAATGAAGGGTGAAACGGATTTAGAGGATCTTATGTGTTTAGTTTGTTGGCCTTCCCGCCCACCTCCGATTATCATGGTTGACTACGTACGATGCGAAAGAAGTTCAGCATACGTACAGAGTACAAATACGTGATCCGAGGTTCCCGTGTGTGGATGACGTCACGAGGGAAAGGAGAGAAGGCGGGGCGAGAAAGAAAAAGAACGTCGCGGAAAGAGAGGGGTGACATCACCGGAAGAGGCGGGGCGATCGGGGCGCCTCTTGGTGGGGATCGGAGTGAGGAGGACGTGTGTGGCGTGAGCTCGTGGAAAATAAAGAACAGTGTGGCTCCCCCTAACTTTGGCTGGTGGACACATTACACATACATAACACATTGGCTGGGGGGAAAAAGAAAATCATAATAAAAGTGATAACAGTAAAAATAGACCTCTAACTCCACAACACAAATTAAAATCACCGAAAAAACTGCCAAGACTAAACTGACCGACGCAACGACTGCACAAGCATGAATATATGTCTAGAAACGTCCCAATAGCCATTAGCTTAAGCATGCACAGTAATTACTGCGGGCTGTTAGGGGAGGCGTAGGATTCAGTACGTCAGGATCCCCTCTACACCCTTGGAAATGTAATCTGTGTGCCACTGCAGGAACCCACACACCCTACACTCTTGACACAATATAGCACCTTACCCTCCTCCCTGTACTCCTTCCCTCTGGTGCTTGCGGAGAGGCAGTGCCTGTGGTCAAATCTCCGAGGGGCGAGGCCACACGGACAGCGCCCGTTTCCTATTCCTTTATGCACCTGGCTAACACGCTGTCTTATGCATTGGTTGCCGAACGAATACATTATAAGGTCGCACTCGTTACACACAAAGCGTGTGCCACAAATGAACCACAATACCTAGTTGATCTCGTCAAGGAATAAAACTATCATCGCAGCAGCTTTTGGCTAACTATCGAACAAAGATGGTCACTGCATCGCGAGCTTTCAAACGCTCTTCCTTCCGATATTAGGAAGCCAATGGAGCTATAAACTTAAATTATCTATATTGAAAACTCATTTCGATAAAGCTGCTTTTTACGTCTAGTTTGTTGTCCTCCCCCCGCACCTCCAATTAGCACGGTTGGCTATGTGCGGTGTGCAAAAGAAGTTCAACATAAATACATACAGGGAGCTGCCAACGCCACGTCAAAGCGAGAGGCACTTGCACAGCGCTTGCTGCTTGCGACTGCAGCGCAAAGCTGCGAGCGTGCGGGGGCTGTGCACACCTGCATGGTGCTGCTGTAGAGGCTGCGCTGTGGCGGTAGTGGCGTTGGTGATGTGGGCACTGGAGGCGTAATGCCCGCCGCTCTCGCACGCTCGGGGAAGCACGCCCCCCCCCAGCGAGGCGCCGACGCAGCGAGACTCTCCCTGGCCACGGAGACCCTGCCGTGAGTCTTTCCGCACACTCCACGAGGAAGCGTCGTCATGCCCGAGTGATGACGCCGAGCAGCCCGCATTGCCGCGAGGCTCCTCCTGCGCTCCGCACTGCGTCACCGCGGACTCCACGTTCATCGACAACGAACGAGCCTCTTTGGATTTTATGTCATCTGGTAAAAAAAAAAGACAAGTTTGTGTACACGCACTGTAGAAACCACACGGTATGGAAGAAAACAGCATATGATAATAAAGATAGAGGATTTAGTAAATGAGTAAACTTCAATCTAAATAAAATCATAATGAACACTCCATCAAAATCTGAAGAAAAAACTATATATTTATAAATTAGCATATAAACACGTATTAATGGAGTGGTTAAACATCCCAGTATAGGACCACAGAGCTTGGGAAATTGTTGATAGGGCCGGTGCCGGCTGCCTTTCTGGTCCTTGAAAACTGTGCAGCGCTACAATTACTACAGCCTTCATATGCGATTTGCATCAATGACGGAACAATATAAAAATGTAACTTTATTGTACTGAAAACATTAGATGTGTAAATATAATATACGGCAGAGAGAGCAGGCGGCTGGGGAGATGCGTCCAGACAGTATACCCATGGAAGGCCGCAGCCCATAGCAAGAGGCAACACAGCATTATCGACCTCTACAAACACCCTGATGACGGTCATTCTGGCCGTGTGCAACACACACGTGAGTGTACAATGTCTACGTATTCCTACGTGTTTATGTACGTTTATATTCCCTGTACCACAGTATACGTTGAGTCACGATGCTGTGAAAACGCTCCTGCTCTGGAGTTGTTGTGGCGAGATGTTAACTTCTTCGCCCGGTATACAGGTCGTAGGTTCAATCCCAAATCTGACACCTGTTGTATATTTGGAGTTTGCATGTATCACTCTCCTCTTGGTCGTGTGGATTTTTCTCTGAATCCTCAGTGTTTTTCCCCCAACATTAAGAAACATGCGTTTAGAGTATTTGGCTGCTATACATTTTCACATAATTGTAAGCCATACTCTTTGGTTTGTTCGGTAAAGTCAAGTAGGTATAAAATAAAATAAATCACGACCTTTCTGGCGCAACACAAGCGTCCATCATCAGGTGGGAAAGCATGGTCTGCTGCTGAGGCAGACTGAATTGTAAGCCACTTCGATGAACTATCATCGGTGGCCAGGTCACTTCTGAAAAAGAGCTATATAGCTCAGTGGGCCTTACCTGGTAATATAAAAAAAGTTTAGTTTTAAAAGTTTATAGTTTTAGAACTCTGTATACCCAATAAGATCTGATTCTGATATAGCTTTCATGGATCCCACCTAAGCCTACAGCAGAACATTACTTTTGATATTTAGTTTATGAAGATTAAAAATTCATTTATTTTTGCCTCTTAAAACCTTGCTCACATTTACAAAAAAGTTTTCATTGTGAAAATTCCACACAAAATCTTTACAATAAACACAGGAAATCACCGACTCACCAACGTGAATGATGACTCCTGCTTCTGCGTCGAGGTTCCACGCACGACGCACTGGGTTGTCGTGTTCGTCGCCATTGTTTAGGTCTCCACATTGGGCCACGCCATCAAACATTTCATCTGCGACAGATAGCGGTACCATTTCCTTGCCATGACGGGCCGATGCGAAGAAGCCTCGCAGCACTTCCACACAACAAACTACTCTGGGTAACGAACTCAATAGCCACTCGGGCGACCGTGCAGCAAGGGGTAAGCAATGTGCACCGAATCAGCCGCTCAACCCAGCACACTGTGGTGCTCATCGGCATCGGCAAGCCAGACCTGGTGCTCCAAATTCCACTTTCCTCTTGGCGATAACTAGCACGTATATATATTTACTCGGACCGTACTTTCACAGCATGGATGGGACAATTTTCCCACACCTTCGATTAGCACGTTTGGCTACGTAACGGCACAAAAGAAGTTCAACAAACATAAGTGCATTTCTCGCACCGGAACCAAAAAGAGACTTGGCTCATTCACGGAGGCAGGCACCTGCTGCATGCCTCCGAGGAGCACCGTGGCCAGCGTCAAGGCAATGGGTACGCGGGGCGAGTTGGCCAGCGTACAAGGAAGCGACATTGAGAGAGTATACGTGCAGGAGATGAACCCAGGGGATCAGATGCATTGCCCACGCATTGTCCAAAACGATCGGCACGCCACGTCTACCCCCACGTCACCTACAAACACTTGCATCAACTACTAACATTTTCCCTGTAGACGAGATAATGCAGGGCACAGCCAAGAACATGGAAGGAGTGGGAAACGTAAGGGATTGTGGATACGCCAGCAACACGGCACTAGCTGGATCTAGTATGGCGGTGACAGGGCAGACATTCGCAGTTCCAACCCGGCAGGCCGCTCTTGTTAATTCTTCTGTGTGTATAAACCATCAAATGCTTGGCGCCATCTGCTTTGTAGTGGATGTTAAAGATCCCGAGATGTCAATTGAGGAGGAGTAGCGCGTTGCACCGGTGGCATTATCAAAATTTCCCAAAATTTTAATAACTACCAGCAAATTACTAAATGAAGAAAACAGCAATTGTCGCCCCCTGCTGTAAAACTTAAGAAGCTGTCCTGAAAAAGAGCCTTGATAATTATTCCACTTGGGTAAACAAGTGGAATAATCATAAAACTTGTGCCCACACTGCCCCTAGCACAACAGCATAGAAGCAGCAGACTTGGGAAAACGTTTTTAGAAGTAAAACAATAAGGCAAACGACTCCATTCACATAAATGCTGCAACATTGCAAAGTCCGTTTGCATGCATATAGACAGGCGGATGTGACAAGGCTTTCACAGACAAATGTTCAACAAGACTAACAATGCGTGTTCATATATTGCTGCTCAAAACAACAGCAAGCACATGACTTGTGTGGTTTAATACACGCCACATTCAATATATTCGATTTTTGTACAAGTAACATACAGTGAGGGAAAAAAGTATTTGATCCCCTGCTGATTTTGTACATTTGCCCACTGGCAAAGAAATTATCAGTCTATAATTTTAATGGTAGGTTTATTTGAACAGTGAGAGACAGAATAACAACAAAATCCAGAAAAACGCATGTCAAAAATGTTATAAATTGATTTGCATTTTAATGAGGGAAATAAGTATTTGACCCCTCTGCAAAACATGACTTAAAACCCTTGTTGGCAATCACAGAGGTCAGACGTTTCTTGTAGTTGGCCACCAGGTTTGCACACATCTTGGGAGGGATTTTGTCCCACTCCTCTTTGCAGATCTTCTCCAAGTCATTAAGGTTTCGAGGCTGACGTTTGGCAACTCGAACCTTCAGCTCCCTCCACAGATTTTCTATGGGATTAAGGTCTGGAGACTGGCTAGGCCACTCCAGGACCTTAATGTGCTTCTTCTTGAGCCACTCCTTTGTTGCCTTGGCCGTGTGTTTTGGGTCATTGTCATGCTGGAATACCCATCCACGACCCATTTTCAATGCCCTGGCTGAGGGAAGGAGGTTCTCACCCAAGATTTGATGGTACATGGCCCCGTCCATCGTCCCTTTTGATGCGGTGAAGTTGTCCTGTCCCCTTAGCAGAAAAACACCCCCAAAGCATGTTTCCACCTCCATGTTTGACGGTGGGGATGGTGTTCTTGGGGTCATAGGCAGCATTCCTCCTCCTCCAAACACGGCGAGTTGAGTTGATGCCAAAGAGCTCCATTTTGGTCTCATCTGACCACAACAATTTCACCCAGTTGTCCTCTGAATCATTCAGATGTTCATTGGCAAACTTCAGATGGGCATGTATATGTGCTTTCTTGAGCAGGAGGACCTTGCGGGCGCTGCAGGATTTCAGTCCTTCACGGCGTAGTGTGTTACCAATTGTTTTCTTGGTGACTATGGTCCCAGCTGCCTTGAGATCATTGACAAGATCCTCCCGTGTAGTTCTGGGCTGATTCCTCACCGTTCTCATGATCATTGCAACTCCACGAGGTGAGATCTTGCATGGAGCCCCAGGCCGAGGGAGATTGACAGTTCTTTTGCGTTTCTTCCATTTGAGAATAATCGCACCAACTGTTGTCACCTTCTCACCAAGCTGCTTGGCAATGGTCTTGTAGCCCATTCCAGCCTTGTGTAGGTCTACAATCTTGTCCCTGACATCCTTGGAGAGGTCTTTGGTTTTGGCCATGGTGGAGAGTTTGGAATCTGATTGATTGATTCTGTGGACAGGTGTGTTTTATACAGGTAACAAGCTGAGATTAGGAGCACTCCCTTTAAGAGTGTGCTCCTAATCTCAGCTCGTTACCTGTATAAAAGACACCTGGGAGCCAGAAATCTTTCTGATTGAGAGGGGGTCAAATACTTATTTCCCTCATTAAAATGCAAATCAATTTATAACATTTTTGACATACGTTTTTCTGTTTTTTTTGTTGTTATTCTGTCTCTCACTGTTCAAATAAACCTACCATTAAAATTATAGACTGATCATTTCTTCGTCAGTGGGCAAACGTGGAAAATCAGCAGGGGATCAAATACTTTTTTCCCTCACTGTATACGCTTCAGCAACCCCATGTTACGGTGTTCGGGAAGTTCTTATTATCGCTTGAATGGAAGACAAGCGAATGGTTGACGCGACAATACGAGGTGAGCTTCCGTCCCTCAACGCTCTATCTAGCTCAATACCCGAGTGCACGCGCTGCACTTCCTCTCACACCTCGTTTCATCACCTCCACCTCATGCCACCATGTGGAAGAGAGGAAGGTTATTTTTGACTAATGGAGGTTTGCGAATAAATGTAGATTAGCCGAACGTCATCTCATAAAGTTAAACTGAGTTCCTGCTCAAATGAGCGTTGAGGCATTGATACTCAACTGTTCCCGACAGGCCCGGGCCAGTGGTGCACATTCCACATTCCTATAGCAGGGTTGAGTTTATCTATAGGAAAACCACTGTCGACCTCCCCACAAACCCTATTAAAAATATATATATATATTACCAGGTAAGGCCCATCGAGCTCAACCAAGTGGCTTATGTGGAAATTTATAGCAGCCAAATACTCTAAACGCATGTTGATTCTAAATGTAGAGGGAAAAAATGAAGGAACCAGAGAATAATCCACATGACCACGGGCAGACCATGCAAATTCCAAATATACAGGCATCAAGGTCAAAACTGAATCCAGGACCTCCTGTATACCATGCTAGGTAGTTAACATCTTGCTACAGTGAAGCAATGGAGCCGAGTGAACCCCCAACCAGGATTTGACCTCATAGCCGCTCGCTCTACTGCTGAGGCAAATGACCGGTTAATCACCCGGTCGTGAGGTAGACTCCGACATGCAGGCAATGAAATATTTTCACAAAACAATGAAAGCATGCGACACCATACCTATTGGGGACCCTCCAAACGAATCGTCTCTTGAGATGTCATCTTTTTCGACTTTGACCTCCACCAACGCTTCGGGTGTTTTAATGTCTCCAAGAGTGACCTCCAGCGCCGGCGACAGCCTTGCGGGACCTGGGGCCCTCTCTTGAGGCGAGGCCATTCCCCTGGGCAAGCTGTCGTCTCTTTTCACAAAAATCCTCGTGGGGCCTGAAAGGATAAATTATTAATTGTTATGCGCAGCAACATTTGAATAATTCACAGAGTTCTGCACGATTAAAACTCGTAGTTAAACGAGTCACGATTCTCCACTCAAGCAAGTCTAAACTATATAAACTATATTTTTTATTTACCACTAAGCTGCTATGTTTCTCTTTTTCAGAAGCAACCTAGCCACAAATGATAGCTCAACAAAATGGCTTATCATGTGGAAATTTATAGCAGCCGAATACTGTAAATGCATGTTGATTCTAAATGTGGAGAAAAAGCCATCCGACCATGGGGAGAACATGCAAACTCCAAACATATAGTAGGTGTCAGGGTCGGGATTGAACCCATGTACTCTTGTATACCAGGTGAGGCGGTTAACATCTTGTCACCATTCGATCAGCTACTTTTACCATCCATTGTATTATCTGTTTATTGGTGTCTCATTTGTAGTTCTTTCACTCGATTAGCATTAAAGTAACATGCACATATAATCCGAATGTAGTTTGTGCAAATTAAAAACACGTTTGTGATTACGTGTGACTTGGTGTGTATCGTGGGCCTTAACGTTCAATACGCAGATGAATAGATCCATTCTTGCACCCCTAAGTCCGTTAAATTCATATTTTTAACACAATTCAGCATCAACGCTTACCATTATATTTTCTCTTCACTTTTGAATTTCGCAAAATACTAAACTATTTTTTAGTATTCGTGTTCGGCCTAATTTTAACAATAAAACAAAGTGTGACGCTGTGAATCACCATGGGCCATGCGTCCTGCATATTCAATTTAGGGTTAGAATTCTTAAACATTACAACACAAACTATAGCAATTGTTTTCTACACCAAAAAAGCATTAACCACGTGTAAGAAAAGGTGCTAAAGTATCCCTAAGAGGTGCCTACATTTGGCTCTTTGAGAGTCAAGAACTCTGAACACTCAGATTTCTAATGGTGTCTGTGCCAGGCATGGGGGCACACGCTTCGAACCCAGCGCTTTAAGAGGCATTGGAAATGGACTGTACCCAAGTCATCAGCAAAATGGTCCATGAACAAGGCGGATAATGTTCTGGCAACAGAACTGACCGTAATCGGACATTTACTCTCCATGGTTACCGAGTGCTGATCATGACTCATGCCATGTATCGGAAGAGAGTGGCTGTGCAGGTCATCACGAATTCCACCCAAGAACTACAGCTTCAAACATTCTACAGATGTTATTATTACAAAAAAAACAAAGAAACACACCCATGTCACTTCGACATTTACCTGGCTCCAGCAGCGCCTCCATGTTCTCCTCGTGCGCATCTTGAGAATCTTCCGTCATGCACGGATCGGCCAAAGTCTCATATTCCTCAGCTTGTTTCAATGAGACACCACGAAAGAGACCCAGCATATTTCATGCATGATTAGAGTGCATCAGATTGAAGTCGAAACGTGTGAATGTGTACACCATAAGGTGGTATTCTAAACACCGATCATCAACAAATCATTTTTTGCAGACCATCAAACCGTTTTGAACAAATACTTCCAATGACATACCACATTAACTTATGGTATTGCACGATTGTGAATATCTGCAAACGCCAACAAATACTGTACACATTAAACTCTGCAACACGATTTATTCAACTAAACAGTAAATTCCACAGTCCCTCCATCACCTGCGTTTGAGCAGGCTCCAGCATCCGGGTCCTCCAGCGTGTCCATGTAGAGCGCAGGCTCCAGGCAGCTGAACCTCTCCGCCGACTGCTGCAGCTCCTGGCTCAGGGTGCTGAGCATCAGGACGATGGCTTCCAACAAGCCACTGAGAAAAGGCTGCAGCGGGGGGCCGGAGTGAGACCCAGGCAGCAGGGAAAACCTGCTGCTTCTCTCCCTCCGCTTCGTAAGCAGCGCTTCTGTGGCTCTGCGCACTGCGGCGTAGAAAGCGAAGGGCAGCCTCTGCTTGGCGGCAGAGAGGAACTCGGCACGGATCTGCGGCTGCTCGGCGCAGGCCAGGAAGGATTCGTAGTCAGCGACGCCGAGCTCCGCGTCCACAGCCTCGACGGCGCGTGCGCTCACGCCGTGGGCGGACAGCCACCCGGAGAAGTCTTCTCTGGGGTTGATGGAGACTTCAAGCATAGCCATGGCAAGCAATGCCGGATCACCTCACCGACCTGCAGCGCGGAAACATCAGTTCACCGGGACACCACATGCAAGGACCAATGTAAGGCAAGTATATCATAATGCAGATATCGAAATTTATAAACAATCAGATTGGATCAGATCCTGAGTGACAGTGCATTCACCAATATCCAATTATCCTGCAGTGAACAATGAAGCCTGTTCCTAGACAGGGAAAGCCCTGGTCTACTCGACTAAGACCTTTAAAATGAGATTGTGCATTCATTGTATGAGAGATCACAAGGACACATTTATTGGAAACATCATTCATTATTTAACCTACCATTTCTTACAAAAAACGTCTACAGTATGCCACACAGTGCGCTAACACCGAACTCAAGAGGAATTCTTAGCCTCTATAGAAACCCAAGATTACTCTGATGCAAAGACTGACCGAAGACCCAGATTGTCTGGATAAGATAGATAAGTCCCTGGAAAATGTTGCTGCTGGGAAAGTTTCTGGGCGCGATCGCCTCCGTCCATGTCGATGGGCAACCTGGCCACCTCAGTTCTCCTCGTGCACACTCAGGAACCATCAACTCTCCTCGAGCGGTGAGAGAATTTGCTCCGTAGGATGTGAGACACTTACGGTACCCGCTTCATAAACCCAGCAGGCCACTAGGCATGTGCTCAACATATCGCTCTGTTCGCTGCCTGTACTAATTAGGCAAGTCAGTGAGGCACACCTGCACTAATTAGGCAAGTCAGTAACGAGCACCTGTACTAATTAGGTAAGTCAGTAACGAGCACCTGTACTAATTAGGCAAGTCAGTGAGGGGCACCTGTACTAATTAGGTAAGTCAGTAACGAGCACCTGTACTAATTAGGCAAGTCAGTGAGGCACACCTGTACTAATTAGACAAGTCAGTGAGGGGCAGCTGTACTAATTAGGCAAGTCAGTGAGGCACACCTGTACTAATTAGGCAAGTCAGTGAGGGGCACCTGTACTAATTAGGCAAGTCAGTGAGGCACACCTGTACTAATTAGGTAAGTCAGTGAGGCACACCTGTACTAATTAGGTAAGTCAGTGAGGGGCAGCTGTACTAATTAGGCAAGTTAGTGAGGCACACCTGTACTAATTAGGCAAGTCAGTGAGGGGCAGCTGTACTAATTAGGCAAGTCAGTGAGGGGCAGCTGTACTAATTAGACAAGTCAGTGAGGCACACCTGTACTAATTAAGCAAGTCAGTGAGGGGCACCTGTACTAATTAGACAAGTCAGTAATGAGCACCTGTACTAATTAGGCAAGTCAGTGAGGGGCAGCTGTACTAATTAGGCAAGTCAGTGAGGCACACCTGTACTAATTAGGTAAGTCAGTGAGGCACACCTGTACTAATTAGACAAGTCAGTGAGGGGCACCTGTACTAATTAGACAAGTCAGTGAGGCACACCTGTACTAATTAGACAAGTCAGTGAGGGGCACCTGTACTAATTAGACAAGTCAGTAACGAGCACCTGTACTAATTAGGTAAGTCAGTGAGGGGCACCTGTACTAATTAGACAAGTCAGTGAGGGGCACCTGTACTAATTAGACAAGTCAGTAACGAGCACCTGTACTAATTAGACAAGTCAGTGAGGGGCACCTGTACTAATTAGACAAGTCAGTAACGAGCACCTGTACTAATTAGACAAGTCAGTGAGGGGCACCTGTACTAATTAGGCAAGTCAGTGAGGGGCAGCTGTACTAATTAGGCAAGTCAGTGAGGCACACCTGTACTAATTAGGTAAGTCAGTAATGAGCACCTGTACTAATTAGGTAAGTCAGTGAGGGGCAGCTGTACTAATTAGGCAAGTCAGTGAGGGGCAGCTGTACTAAGTATCAACAAACACGCGAGGCATCAACTCTGCTCAGGTCACTTCAGCTGCGAAGGAAATGAGACGGCGAGGGGGAATTGGATGTTCGCCTGCACGCAAGTTCCAGCGCAGCATACCCTGCAGGGCTCTGTAGGGGTTAAAGGTTTGACAATAATAATGAACATTCTACAGCACAGCTGCAACCCAGCGTGTGGCTGCTGAAGGTGATGTAGCGGTTAGCGCGCTGCCAGACGAACCCGGCCATCCAAGTTCGAATCCCGCTCACGGCCAACAATAGTGCCTTTTATTTGAATCGGTCCTGGGCCTCCTCGAGGTCGACTCCGCCTCAAATGCGTACCTGGTGCGGTGTGTAAACATCGCCACCCCCCCGCCCTCCCTCGTGTGCCGTGCCGGCCTTCATAGGCGCTCGCTAACAGCACTTGGCCCCAACAGTCCGTTAAAGCTACACGGGGGATCTTTGTCTTTGGTGGTGAAGTTGCGATGGGGGGGTTCGAGGCAGCGCGAACTGCAGCGAACGAGCTGAGCGTCAACCTCCACTCGCACGTGAAGTTCACCCCCAGCGCGGTGCCCGCGAGGTCAACAATGGCAATAACAAAGGAAGGGTCACGTGACATATGGAGACGAGATTGGCGCATGAATGCTCGTGTCGTAATCACGGTATCGCGGCAACACCAATAGACCCCACTAACAGTTTTCTCATTTGCATATTAATTTCTGTTTGAAATACACCTTACTCTTTAAAAAATATTACGTTTTATTGTAATTAAATGAGGGTCCCAAGATAACTGCATCACCCTGTACAATGTCCTATACTTTATGAACGGGAACTTTATAGCTCATCAGATTCCTACACTACAAATATTCCGATTCAATTGCCGCACGCGTTGGGCCGAGCACCCCCAGGCAACCACCGGACTCTGTCCCAGTGCTCGACCTCACCCCAGGCGCTTCCTCGTGCTGCGCCTCGCCACCCACCCCCCAGCGTTGTCGCGATCAATCCACTGCCCAGCACCTCATTGAGAATGGCCCCGCCATAGGGACGTGATGTTCCACCGCAGGCTCACGACCGCTGTAGTCACCCCACCATTAAAATAGAACACCCCAATCCCCTGTGCTCTCACGGGGGGTGTTGGAGGGGGCTACCCCCGACCGCCTTTGTCTCCCCCGCGCTGCTCAGTTTAGGCAGAGTTGGCCCAGCGCGGAGGTGAGGGAGGGGGGTGCCGGGACAGTCATGGACGCACGGAACCGCCACCGTAAGGGGGGGGGGGGGGTGTGAGTCTCAGTTCGTCACCACGGCGTGAGCTCGGCTCAGCACCGCCATGGCCACCACCACCACCGTCTCCTCCTCGCCACTCACCGCGAGCGCCACGTGACCACCGCCACCACCGCCTCCCGGAAGTGACGATCCCCCCCTTTACCCCCTCTTCACCCCCCTTTTACCCCCTCTACCCCCCAGCGGTGGTCACGTGTCACGCGATGGGTGGTGTCTTGTGTGGCAGCCACGCGGTCACGTGACAAGGGTGCTATGCCGAACGCGTGCGTCAATTTATCAGAATCTGTATTCATGGTGGAGGAATCCGATGAGCTTCAAAGCTCTTTTTCACAGATATCCAGTAGGGCCCGGTCAGAACTTTACAACAACAAACAATGCAAAAACACGACAGGAGTGCAACATATAGGTACAATTGTGCAGGTTGGACCAGATGTCTTGTGACCCTAATTTAATTCTCTAAAACTTTATATGTTTACTAGCAGGAAGTACCCGGCGTTGCCCGGGCAAAAAAGACACACACACACATCGACTTACACACACAGACATCGACTCACACACACAAACACATCGGCCCACACACACATCGACTCACACACAACAACAACCGCCATTCGCCACTAAGTGGCTGTGACGTCACCACGACGCTTGTGCCAGGCCATGTGCACCTTGAGGCCACGTGAAGTGTCGAACGCCCGCGGGCAGGAGGTCACGGGGCAGACCCAGGTGCCACGGGTCGACTGACTGAGATGACCGAGATTACCGGCTGATGTACCACCTGTGCCCCCTACTGTGCCAACTTGCTGTGCTTTAGCCACCCGGCGCTCCGCTCGTTGTTGTGAGCGTCGCTCCTCCGCCCTCCCTTGTTGTTGGAGGGCGACTGCCTCCAACTGCCCAGTAGCGTCCTTCACGAGCCTCCTCCACAGAGGCCGATCTTGACACCGCTGGTACCAGTCATCGGCAAGTCCACTCAGCTCCACATCCTCCTGTACCACATCACTCCATCTCTTCTCTAGCCCGTGCCACGCCCGTTTAGCCCCCTCGATCCGGCCGAACAAAAGCTGTTTCGGCATGCGGTGGCTGGGCATGCGGGCTACATGACCCAGCCAACGCAGCCTTGCCTGCTGGAGGAGCTCACCGATGGAACTTTGTCCAGATCTTTCGAGGATTTGTGAGCTCCTCACACAATCCAGCCTGGTTAATCCAGGATTGATCGTAGGCAGGCCAGCCTAAATGTTTCTAACCGGCGGAGATGTCCATTAGGGGGGTCCACGTTTCGCAAGCGTAGAGAAGGGAGGGAATGACCGTGGCCGAGAAGACCCGAAGCTTCGTGCGGAGCGACAGACCAGGTAGCTTCCACACAGCGTTACACAACCGATGAAAAGAATGCCGCTCGACTGATTCGGAGTGAGATCTCTGCTGTCAAACCGGAGCCGGTCATGAGCACACTGCCCAGGTATGGGAAACTCTCCACTCTCTCCACAACTGCCCCATCACCAATTGGGAGTTGTGGGGGTGGAGTGCCCGATGGAACAAAATACCCAGGCAGGTGCTTCGTTTTGGTGGGGCTGATGGTAAGACCCCACCTCTTAGTGGCACACTCCAGTTTCAACAACAGCGCCTCCAACTCCTCCTCTGAGTGAGCGGTAATTATCAGGTCGTCGGCATACATAACGTGGTTGACCAATAGGAAGCCATGCCTTGACCGCACCCGGGCATCGATCAGCCTCCCATTGTATCTGTACCAGATGGAAATTCCTCTGGTACAGCTACTGAAGGCTTCACCAACTACGTGGTCGAAATAGATGTTAAATCATGTTGGAGCCAGAGGACATCCCTGTCGCACCCCAAGGTGTACAGGGAATGGCTCTGACTCCCGGCCCCGTAGTTTTACCCGGGCCTGCTCACCATCATGAAGGTCCTTAATGAGCGTGAGCAGAGGGTCAGGGACTCCGAAAGCACGAAGAACAACCCAGAGCCCAGGCCTACTGATGGTATCATAGGGCTTGACCAGGCCAATGAAGCAGAGATGTAGATCTTGTTGGAATTCCCTACACCTCTGCTGTAGCAAACGGACAGAAAATATGGCATCTGTGCAGGACCGCCCTTTCCTGAAACCGCATCGGGGCTCTGCAAGCCTTTCCTCAGCGTGCCTAGCAAGGCGATGTTGAATAATCCTTGCAAGGCGATGTTAAATAATCCCTGCACACACAGACAGACAAACAATGACATTTATAGGTAAAAAAAAGTTAAGTTGATTTCAAACGGAAATGAATATGCAAATGAAAAATGTTCTAGGGGTCCATTAATTGGGAGTCACAATACATCTGGACCACTCTGCATTCTGCGTATGTGGCCTTGTGAAGGGGACGGGAGTACGAGACGACACCAATGATACCGTCTAGATCTTACAAGGATCTGTGAGCTCCCCACACAATCCAGTCTGGTTAAAGCCAGGATGGATCATAGGCAGGCCAGCCTGAACGATTAAAACCGGCACAGATCTCCACGTTTATCAAGCATAGGGAATGGAGGGCATAACTGTGGCTGAGATCCGGAGCTTCGAATGGAGCGACAGGCCAGGTAGCTTCGACACTTTACCCAGCTGATGAAAAGATAATGCCGCTCGACTGATTCGGAGTGAGACCTCTGCTGCAAAGCCGGAGTTGGTCATAAGCACACTGCGCAGGTATGGCAAACTCTCCACTCTCTTCACAACTGCCCGATCATTCATGGGGAGTTGAGGGGGTGGTGTATTGGATTACACAAATTACCCAGGCAGGTGATTCGTTTTGGTGGGCTGATGGTAAGGCCCCACCTCTTAGCAGCACACCCCAGGAAAAAACCTCCAACTCCTCAGAGTGAGCACCAATTACCAGATCATCAGCATACATAACATGGTTGACCAATAGGGAGCCATCCCTTGATTGCACACGGGCATCGATCATCCTCCCATTGTATCTGTCCCAGATATAAATTAATCTAGTACAGCCATGGAAAGTCTCTCGAACTATGTAGTTAAAGAATATGTTAAATAATGTGGGAGGATGTCCCTGTCGCACCCCAAGATAAACAGGGAATGGCTCGGACTCCTGGACACACAGCTTTACCCTGGCCTGCTCATCATCATAAGCATAGAGTCTGGGACCCCGAAAGCACAAAGAACAACATATAGCCCTGGTCTATTGATGGTAGATCAATAAAGCATAGGTGTAGGTCCAGTTAAAATTCCTACACCTCTGTTGTAGCAGATAGAGAATATGTTATCTGTGCAGGACCGCCTCGGTCTGAAACCACATTACATTGCTACAAAGACAAAGATCCCCCCTATAGCCTGAATAGACTGTTGGGGCAAGTTCTGTTAGCGAGCACCTATAAAGGCCGGCACTGTGGCACACGAGGGGGTGGGTGGCCAGTACCACGCCCAATCGCCTTTTTTCTCCCCAGTGGCGATGTTTACACACCGCACCAAGCACTAATTTGAGGATGAGTCGACCTAGAGGAAGTCCAGGACCGGATCAGATATTCGTCACCAGTAACCGCTACACCACCGCTCCCCATCCTCAGAAGTGCCCCACTCAACCACAAGCACCGCCCACACAGAGAGAGCAGCCGCCTGCTCACTGCCTGAAGATGAGTGACACGGATGGTGCCGTTTAGCCGGTTGTCCAGCTGTTTCACAAGGGGTTATCGGTGGTGCGTGAGCACAGCAGCAATATAAAAAGACTAAAACATCAACAAAGCAGAGAACGAATACAGGATCTTAAGGAATATTGCACAACGATCAAACGAGGTATTTAACAGTCGTAAACGAAACATGCCAATCGAGCAAGAGGCGCCAGAAACTTAGGTATGGGTGCACGTAAGCTCGTTGTTTTGGTATAAATTGGACATAAAGAGCGGAGTGAATGAAACAAACCAAGCTGTAGATCGTCTTCTTCCGTATGACTGCTGATGTCGATGCAGAGGACCAACTACAATCTCACATTCAGGTGGTCAAGCCCAGACAATCAGCGCAGGAGCAGCGGAGTTGTATCATCGCTGCGGTCTCCGTATTTATGAATCGGGCATTGCGTCGTGATAAGTTGTAGGGTCTGTTCTGGATGACCACAGTCGCACACTGGAGAGTTTTTAATTTTCCATTTGTGCATCGGGTATCCACATCTGCCATGGTGTGTGCAATGGCTACGGTTTAGGGTGGACCATGAGCTTCGTGGAAGATCAAACCCAGGGAAAGCTGTAGAGGAGCGGAAAAGGTATTCCAGAAACGCAGGAAGACGTTTTATCAATCCTAGTTTTAACAAATAGAATGTATAATTGGATTACCGAGGCACTTCTGAGGATACGAAAGTTATAGGAACTAAGTGGTAATTTAGGTATTTGGTGTATTTGCTTAAGAGGACTATTAGGATGATATCCAGGAGGGGGGAGATCTGAGTTAATGTCCAGGTTACGATGATGAGTTGCATCGGGGACGTCAAGGGCAACACCGATATCGGAGTCATATCCAGTGTAGTAATGAACTCAGACGGTTTAATACAAATTCGGAAGCTAGGTGGTAGATGGTGCCACAATACAGCAAATATCTGGGCAGGATGGTGGCTAGCCCGCCCACTGCATATTCCCCCCACTGCATATTAGCCCCCCCCATTTGTATATATAACTCAGTCCCGCCCATGAACTTTGACAAAGAAAATGTTAAATTGACAGGAGTGCAAGTGGGCATGATGGAGAGGTGCATGCTTGAAATAACCATGAGACAGAAACATAGATACAATTAATTGAGGCATGATCTTGACTTTTAAGAAAAGTCGGTGGACTTTGGCGGGACAGAGCACGAGAAGGGATGGGGGATGGTGGCCGGTGGTTGAAACCAAGGACGGTGGTGCTAGCAAGAGCACGCCCCCGTGCTCCAGGGGACGTCCACTTCGGAGACGTAGGAGCATCAGCTCGTGTGTAGGCGATAAATGTGTATGTTGAACTTCTTTCTCACCGTACATAGCCAACCGTGCTAATCGAAAGTGCAGGATGGTTACAGTGCAGGACAAAGGGCGGCTTTTATTCAGCACTGGACTATGGTTGATGATGGTGATCATGACCATCATTTATTATAGCTCATATTATCACCATCAATTATCGTCATGCATTATTACCATCAACATTTTGTCTCCTTTGCATCATCACTGCCATCTTCACGTGCGAGTGCGTGCGAGTCGGCTTTCCAGCATTTGGCAGACAGCTGTGACTTTTCAGTAACAACGTAAGTTTCCCTAAAGTCTCTGGACAAATATTTCACGTCCGTGGAATGGCCACTAGCCCTCCCAACGATTCCCACACAGGCACGCTCCAAATGATGATTGGCACCATTCCCAATACGAGGAAACTTTCCACGGTTGTCGACTGTCCTTACCACTTACTTTGAGTGATTACACAATTGTGGCAAAATGATCGTGTTTTTACGGAATTGGTCGTAGATGAATAGGGGATGCGTTATTAAATAGGAACATTTATCAGTGGTAATGGGTATTTTTGAGACCGAATGTGCGTATGATTAAAGCAATGATATAAGCAACTTACATATACTGCTGGAATAATCACGATAGCCACGATGTATACTTGTGTTATTTATTTCTCAATACATGGGGGAAGAGTGGTAGCACTTGGAACTCGGTAACCTGAGTTTGATTCCTGGCCATGGCTAACATCAGTGGCGAGTGACATCTGAACCGGTCCAGTGTCCGCACCACGTTACCAACCCGTACTGACCAGCCGAGTGAAGTATGGTCAAACAGTCCCCCAAGACCAACATAGGATGCGGAGGCTTCATCCAGCGGTAGATTGCCAAAGGGCTAAACATTAATATAAATTAATCCAAAGCACTTAACGGAAAGACAAATTTACGTTTATTGTAACAAATATATTACACACTTCACATTTATTTTGTACTTAAAGTGTACACAAACATACGAAACTGGCTCTCTCTGACAGCCTTGGAGTTCGATGATAAGCAGGAGGTACACGGAGAGTGCAGTTCGACCACGAGATGGAAGGAGAATGGAACTGCAATGCCCCCATAAAAAAGACAAACGCTTGTACGGTGGTTTTTACCATTATAGCACGTGCCGGTTTAGACATAACTAGAATTGTCCAACGATTTGCAAGATGGAGCAATGGCACAGTGCCATCAAAAGGGTAAAACTTCGCACATTGTCAGTCGCAATATCAGAAGTGCCTCCCTGATCTTACAAAAAATACCAGCTGTTGCAACTATGTATGGCGACATTTCCTTCCACGCTGCTGGCCCACGTTACTGGGATGTCCTCGCCTCTCAGCATAGGCTCAGCTCCCTCCCCTCCCTACATCGTTTAATATCAATTCTAGCTCAGCATGGACAGTTCGGCTGCACCTATACATAAACCCTTTGCCGTTACTTTTCGTATTCCCGTGGTGGTTGTTTGATTCGCTTGGATTCCCTTTGCCTCACGCACATCTCCTCTCCCACAATTCATTACCTCGTTTTTGATGTCGATTGTTATTCTTTCTGCATTATTTTGGCTTGTACCTCCAACGTGTTATTCCAATGTTGCCTGTTCCTCTGTATAATGTTGATGTTGTTCTTGTTCCTACATCTCCCTTGGAAACTAGCTGGGTGACTGGATAAAAGGGATTTTCCATGTAACAAATAAAGACTAAGTTAAATCGTATCAGCTGTGACCTACAGGGCTATAATAATTCACTCCACCGAGCGACGTGATACACGCTCTCGATTCGGTGCCGGAATCCGATTCAATAACCAATTCGTAATTCTTATATTCTCTCTTTTCTCTGTCAGTCTTTTTCAATACATTAATGTTCACATATAATGTTCATGGAAGTTAATGGAACATTATCGATGACTAAACCTTAACCGATATTGATTGACGAAACAATGCATCATCACACCCATAATGACTGCTTTTAGGCAACATTCCAATGACATTTGCCATTAATTACAAAAAAAGAGGTCTATATGCAGGTTGTGGTTTGGACTTGGAGTGGGTCGTCTCACTACTGCAATTGTTACTGAACGTTCCAAGTTGAGATCTCTTCCCGGCTTGCCATCCGCGCAACGCTCCCTCGCCTTGCAGCCTGCGCCTGCGCCTGCGCGGGAAGAAAGTCTACACGCAGGTGGAGGTGCCCGAGGGCGGTGACTTCCTCTCAAAGATTTCATAAAAGGATGAAACAGCACCAACCAGTGCATGTCATGGCATCTTTATACACCGTAAGCTTTGTACACTGTATTTAATTTGTGTGTAAGATTTGTGCTTGTGGTTTTCGGCGTAGCTCAACCTCTCTTAAGTCGCGCTAACGGATGGAGAGTTGTACGCTGTTACGGCACAATGCTGGTGGCCTTGCGCAGGGCCAGGTAACCCGACACAATGTCCATGGGCAGCGTGCGCACCTGGGAGAACTCCTCGGCATTGCTGAAGTGGAGTTTGCTCTGTGGGTCCGTGTAACTTGCCTGCAACCAGACACAACACGGAAAGGTTGCTATGGTTTATGAACAATATCTGTGTACATTATTAACTGATTTTGAAGTTGATAGAGCCAATATCAATGTCAACACATTTGTCAACTACACTGTGGCCTTAAAAGTAAAATAGGCAATGGTTCAGGCAATGGCCCTTCTTCATAGCACATACAGTGAGGGAAAAAAGTATTTGATCCCCTGTTGATTTTGTACATTTGCCCACTGACAAAGAAATGTTCAGTCTATAATTTTAATGGTAGGTTTATTTGAACAGCGAGAGACAGAACAACAACAAAAAAATCCAGAAAAACGCATGTCAAAAATGTTATAAATTGATTTGCATTTTAACGAGGGAAATACGTATTTGACCCCTCTGCAAAACATGACTTAGTACTTGGTGGCAAAACCCTTGTTGGCAATCACAGAGGTCAGACGTTTCTTGTAGTTGGCCACCAGGTTTGCACACATCTCAGGAGGGATTTTGTCCCACTCCTCTTTGCAGATCTTCTCCAAGTCATTAAGGTTTCGATGCTGACGTTTGGCAACTCGAACCTTCAGCTCCCTCCACAGATTTTCTATGGGATTAAGGTCTGGAGACTGGCTAGGCCACTCCAGAACCTTAATGTGCTTCTTCTTGAGCTACTCCTTTGTTGCCTTGGCCGTGTTGTTTTGGGTCATTGTAATGCTGGAATACCCATCCACGACCCATTTTCATTACCCTGGCTGAGGGAAGGAGGTTCTCACCCAAGATTTGACGGTACATGGCCCCGTCCATCGTCCCTTTGATGTGGTGAAGTTGTCCTGTCCCCTTAGCAGAAAAACACCCCCAAAGCATAATGTTTCCACCTCCATGTTTGACGGTGGGGATGGTGTTCTTGGGGTCATAGGCAGCATTCCTCCTCCTCCAAACACGGCGAGTTGAGTTGATGCCAAAGAGCTCCATTTTGGTCTCATCTGATCACAACACTTTCACCCAGTCGTCCTCTGAATCATTCAGATGTTCATTGGCAAACTTCAGACGTGCATGTATATGTGGTTTCTTGAGCAGGGGGACCTTGCGGGCGCTGCAGGATTTCAGTCCTTCACGGCGTAGTGTGTTACCAATTGTTTTCTTGGTGACTATGGGCCCAGCTGCCTTGAGATCATTGACAAGATCCTCCCGTGTAGTTCTGGGCTGATTCTTCACCGTTTTCATGATCATTGCAACTCCACGAGGTGAGATCTTGCATGGAGCCCCAGGCCGAGGGAGATTGACAGTTCTTTTGTGTTTCTTCCATTTGCGAATAATCGCACCAACTGTTGTCACCTTCTCACCAAGCTGCTTGGCAATGGTCATGTAGCCCATTCAAGCCTTGTGTAGGTCTACAATCTTGTCCCTGACATCCTTGGAGGGCTCTTTGGTCTTGGCCATGGTGGAAAGTTTGGAATCTGATTGATTGCTTCCGTGGACAGGTGTCTTTTATATAGGTAACAAGCTGAGATTAGGAGCACTCCCTTTAAGAGTGTGCTCCTAATCTCAGCTCGTTACCTGTATAAAAGACACCTGGGAGCCAGAAATCTTTCTGATTGAGAGGGGGTCAAATACTTATTTCCCTCATTAAAATGCAAATCCATTTATAACATTTTTGACATATTCTGTCTCTCACTGTTCAAATAAACCTAACATTAAATTTATAGACTGATCATTTGTTTGTCAGTAGGCAAACGTACAAAATCAGCAGGGGATCAAATACTTTTTTCCCTCACTGTAGATAAAGAGAGACCACGGTCCTAAAATGTCAGGCAGCAGCCCTTCTACAGATTTTGCCACTAGACTGTAGCTATGGTCAAGATTGGTGAATATTTTTTTCGGAGAAAATGTAGCGGGAAATAAAATCAATACTTTGCTTTGATGAGAAAGCTTGACAACAGCCTTAAATTATTAACTTTAAAAAACCCATGCTCCCGTGCCATCTGCCACATGTCATCCACACTTCTACTCTCCCCATATCAATGTGAACAACAGTTATACTGGGTGTGCCAAAATTGGATACATACCTACATTAATTATTTGTATCATTATTAAATCAAATTAATTACATTATATTCGGAATAGATGACAATATATCATGCAAGTAGCACAATTTACGAATTACTGGACTGTATTGTATAGTGAGTCTGCGTATATCTTACAGGCAAACCAGAGAGGTCTGAATACTTCTTGGCTGGCTTGAACGATGGAGGAGCGTCGATGTTGCTGTCTGTAAAAAATATTGTAAGATGTAAAACAAAGCAAACATTTCTGTCAAAATTAAGGTTGAATTTTTGCAAACAAGGCCTCTTTACCAGTAAACACACCTATCACAATATAAAATAAACCAATGCACAAATAACTACTCTTAAGTGTACATTATTAATTAATTAACACGTCCGAGGAGTTGCATGTCAGGAATCACATCCTTGACAGATGGGATCAAATCACGGATTTTGTGTACTGTGTTGAATCGAACCTGGATCTTGTGTTTGTTCAAGATTTTGGAAATCTTTTTAGTAACACCTGCTATGTATGGCAAGGTGATTGTTTTGGTTGGGTCCTCAGATGGTTTTCTCCCCATGGTTGGGGATACATTCAGACCGCACAATCCACAAAGCTGTCAAAAAATTATTGCTGTGGTTTTCACACCTGATGATGATTGCTTGTGTTGCAGTCGAAACGTCGTGAGGATTTTATTGTTTTATATTTTTATTATTTTATTGTTTCCCTTATACGTGACTTTACCGAAAAAACCAAGAATATGAGTCCCTGCAGTCACGAAAGGTTTAAATCAAAACTAAGTTGTGTCTGCGGCAGCAGTTACATCGGGGAAACGAAACGACATGTCTCGGACCGTGTTCGCAAACACAAGGCAGATTTGAAATACGGCAGAACCAATAACTCTGCCATGGCTATCACTGTTTTAACATGGTGGGTTCACACGATATTGTTTTTTTCTGAGACCAAGGTACTCTGCAAACTTTCGGGCTACCATCAAAGATTTGTCCATGAAGCCATCCAGATATATAAACACAGACACAATTTCAACCGAGAAGATGGATACAAACTGAGCAATCATTGGAAGGACGTTATTAACCGGTTTAGGTCAAAACTGGCTATGATGCTTCCCCCTTCCTGCCTGGCGATGTCAGTAGCTATTCTCGACTCTCTGAGTCACAGCTTCTCTCTCCCCCTTCCACCAGTTATCTATGCCCCACCCCCTCTCTCACCTTCTGCCGCCAATCTCCCCCTTGTCTCATGCGCAGCAGTCGTTTATGACTCTTGGGCTATGCCCATTTCTACCCTTTAGAAGCAGCCTGCATCAGCAGCTTGCCTCCTACCTTATATAACCACTTGTTGCAGCAGCTCTTTCTCCTTCGTCAGCAGTTCTGCTGTTGGTCTCACCTGATGACGATTGCTTGTGTTGCAATCGAAACGTCGTGATCTATTATTTTTCTACCTACGTGACTTTACCGAAAGAACCAAAGCGTATGGATTCCTGCAGTCACGAAAGCTTCAAATCAACATATTAACATTCGGTGTTTTGCTTAATTTAGAAAATTACCAGCTCTGAAAACTAAATATTTAACTTATTCTTGCAAGATAATAAGTGAAACTAATATATACCTCAAAATACACAAAACAAACTTAACATGTGTTGAATCGAACATTTCATTTGGAATGTAGAAAAATTTCCATAAATTTTGGAACAATTTTGTCCTCAGATCAAACACAAAAGATCAGTTTTCTTGCGTTGAACCGATGCTGCTAAAATTCAGCTCCCCCAGAGGGCCGTGCAGCTGATGGGAAGTGTATAACATCCTTTTATATTTTATGAAGAGTGGAAAATATGGGAGGCGTTTTGTCTACTCATTCATTTTAGCACACGCCAGTATTCACTCAATTTCACGTCTCTCCCCACAAATCCTTGATGTAACTTTGTCACCACTCTACCCCGTGACGAGTCACGCCGTACGCACATGTGGCATCATCAGGGCTCCAGTTCATGCTGCGCTCGGCTGCGATGATCTGCTTCAGGTTCTTCCACACGCGCGACTTGCGAACTCCCATGCCACCCAGACCTGAATGCTACAGGACACACACACATGCCACTGATGAGACACTGAATGGCGATACTGGTTCAGTTTGCTGGTAATAAACCGATGCTACTCCCAGAAGGGCACGTGGCTGGTGGGATGTGTAAATAAACTTATTTTGTATGTGGAGAGACAGATGTGGGAAGGTCTGTTGTCTATTTCTCACATGTGCCTCGTGTGGGCTGATACACGAAGGGGATTCCACTGGCACGACCCTCACCTTGACAAATCAAGGTGTTTAAGTCGATCACAAGGGTGGGGCGCAGCGTATGGTTACAGGTTCCATCTCAGATTACAAATTATTTACAGAATAATTTAAATTGCCAACTATATTTAGACTTTAAAATTTACTTTCCGAGGCCTCATGCCAAGGTACAGTCATACCTCGGTATACGACCACTTTGGAATACGTCGAATTTGGTATACGTCGTGTTGTGACGAGAAAAAAATGTCTTGGGATACGTCTTGCTTGGGATACTTTGCGCTTGCTAGAACTTGTCTGGGTCTGGATGAGTCACCACGTAGCCGCGTTTACCCCGTTCATGACTGAAACAAAGCGCGGCTCCTTCGTCTGCCTGTAGATCTCGTTCAGTGCACAAACCTTGCTATAACTCTGTGAATTTTCACGTGTTTTTTGTCATTTTAACTCCTTATTTATGCATTATGCATATATTTTAATGTATGTATGCATTTTAGTAATAGTGTCTACATTATATTATACAACCCCAGTAATGTATAATATGCCAAATAAAATATCATTTCTTATACTCTGGAACGGATTATTTCCTTTCCCTTTATTTCTTATGGGAAAAATTCGTTTGGTAGACGTCACTTCCGGTATAAGTCCTCCTGCCTTCTGGAATTAATGAACGTATACCGAGGTACCACTGTATCAATAATAATGTACAACCCTTTGTGAATGTTATAAATAATTTGTTTTTAATATTTCACATGGAAAAGCCTTTGAGATGTACACTTTGTTTGCACAGCTGTTCAGGGTGTACATCGACAAATACGTATCCACTGCTGGATGAAGGACTCTTTAAGCCGTGCCGATCATGGCCATACCTCACCACTCAGTAAGTGCAGGACCAGGACCGATTGATATATCACTTGCCACTGATGCTAGCCATGACCATATATCAAACTCGGGTGACAGGGTTTACAAGCGCAGTGCGTTAGCCACTGCCCCCCTTCCTGCAAGGCAGAGGTTACAAAATTAACCACTTAGTTTGGCCATAAGCGTCGTTTGAACACGAACAGGCAAATGCTGATGCCTAAACTAAACTATTTTTATTTTACCAGGTAAGGCCCAGTGATCTATATAGCTCTTTTTCAGAAGTGACCTGGCCACAAAAAATAGCTTAAAAATACTCTAGACGCGTGATGTTGATTCTAAATGTGGAGGGGAAACCCGGAGGACCCGGAGAAAAATCCACGGGACCATGGGGAGAGAGACGCGCAAACTCCAAATATACAGCAGGCGTCAGGGTCGGAATTGAACCCACGAACTCCTGTAGACCAGGCGAGGTCGTTAAGATCTCGCCACCGTGGGGCCTCAGACCAGCAGGAGGTGCGGCGGTAGGCGGTAGCTGGGCCCAGCACCACCAGTGGTCCCTTTCGTGCCACCCAAGTTTATCCTTGGCAGCCGCAGACTGCTGTCACGGTGCCCCCCCCCACACAACTTCTCGAATGCCCAACGCTCCGTCCGACAGGAGCAGGAGCCGCGTCTGGCTCGTAGCCACCCACGGTGAAGCTGGGGTTCTTGAAAGGAAGGGCCTTGCTCACGGCCGGCTCTGCCGACACGAGCACCGGCACCGCCTCCTTCCCCTCCACCGCTGCCACCGCCATCGTCGCCGTCGTCGTCGTCACCTCCCCCTCGCAAGTTGAAACTCCCGGCTGCTGCAGCTGCATCAACCCACACAGTGCACCAACCATGTACAGAAGCATCACGCACCACTGTCGTTGCTTGTTACAGGTATGCTCTCTGCACTGCACTTCCCTGGGTGAATAAAGATGCAATGCCTTGTGTCCTCGCTCCTCTCCCCTCACTAGCTCTCACTCCTCACCCGCTCCTCACTGGTCCCTCAATCGGTCCTCACCCCTCACTCGCTTCTCACTCCTCACCCTTCACTGGATCCTCACCCCTCACTCACTCCTAATCTCATCACTCGCTCCTCACCACTCACCTTGCCCCTCACTCGCTTCTCACTCCTTAATTCTTCCTCACCCCTCACTCACCGTTTACTTGCTCCTCACCCCTCACTCGCTCCTCACCCCTCATTCGCTCCTCACTCGCTCCTCACCCCTCATTCGCTCCTCACTCACCCCTCACCCCTCATTCATCACTCGCCCGTATCCCCTCACTCGCCCGTATCCCCTCACTCGCCCGTATCCCCTCACTCCCCTCACTCACTCTCCACACCTCCCCCTCACTCACTCCTCACCCCTCACTCACTCCTCACCCCTCATTCATCACTCACTCCTCATTCATCACTCACTCCTCACCGTCGCCACCTCCCCCTCACCCTCCCCACCTCCCCCTCACCACGCGTTTCTTCATGTTGGGTTTTGTCGCCGTCCCCGCTGCCGCTACCGCGAAGGCCGCGCTGCTCCCGGGCCGCTTCTTGCAGCGTGGCCGCTGGGGGGGAGGAGGAGGAGGAGCGGCGCTCGGGGGCACCGCCGACATGGCCGGGGGGCCCAAACTCCCTGCAAAGTCTCAGCGCCTCTCTGTTACCAGTGAGGCGGGCCGCGTCTCCCTCTCAGTCCCCGTGAGGCGGGCCGCGTCTCCCTCTCAGTCCCCGTGAGGCGGGCCGCGTCTCCCTCTCTGTTACCCGCGAGGCGGGCCGCGTCTCCCTCTCAGTCCCCGTGAGGCGGGCCGCGTCTCCCTCTCAGTCCCCGTGAGGCGGGCCGCGTCTCCCTCTCAGTCCCCGTGAGGCGGGCCGCGTCTCCCTCTCAGTCCCCGTGAGGCGGGCCGCGTCTCCCTCTCAGTCCCCGTGAGGCGGGCCGCGTCTCCCTCTCTGTTACCCGCGAGGCGGGCCGCGTCTCCCTCTCAGTCCCCGTGAGGCGGGCCGCGTCTCCCTCTCTGTTACCCGTGAGGCGGGCCGCGTCTCCTTCTCAGTCCCCGTGAGGCGGTCCGCGTCTCCCTCTCAGTCCCCGTGAGGCGGGCCGCGTCTCCCTCTCAGTCCCCGTGAGGCGGGCCGCGTCTCCCTCTCAGTCCCCGTGAGGCGGGCCGCGTCTCCCTCTCTGTTACCCGTGAGGCGGGCCGCGTCTCCCTCTCAGTCCCCGTGAGGCGGGCCGCGTCTCCCTCTCTGTTACCCGCGAGGCGGGCCGCGTCTCCCTCTCAGTCCCCGTGAGGCGGGCCGCGTCTCCCTCTCAGTCCCCGTGAGGCGGGCCGCGTCTCCCTCTCTGTTACCCGCGAGGCGGGCCGCGTCTCCCTCTCAGTCCCTGTGAGGCGGGCCGCGTCTCCCTCTCTGTTACCCGTGAGGCGGGCCGCGTCTCCCTCAGTCCCCGTGAGGCGGGCCGCGTCTCTCCTCGCTAGGCCGCAACGGTGTCGCCATGACGCCGCCTCCGAGCGCCGCCATTGGCTGGCGCGGTCACGCGGTCGCCGAGGGCACGCGAGAGCCGCGCGCTCCACGTGGCGGAGTGGCCGCCCGGAAAGTAACAACCACGGCCACCAAGTGGCCACGGCGATTGTGCCAGGCTACGTGCACTAAGGGCACGTGAAGTGTCGAAGGCCCACTGGCAGGAGATCACGGTACATGTGCCATGGGTTTGCTGACTTAGATGACTGGCAGATGCACCACCTGTGCCAACTTTTGGCGTTTTATCCACCCGGCGCCCCGCTCGTTGTTCTGAGCGTCGCTCTGCTGCCCTCCGTTGTTGCTGGAGGGCGATTGCCTCCATCTGCGCAGTAGCAGCGTCCTTCACGAACCTCCTCCACAGAGGCCGATCTGGACACTACTGGTACCGGTCATCGGCAAGTCCACTCAGTTCCACATCCTCCTCGGTTAACCCAATTGCCCTCGTGTGACAGTAGTATCTGATATCCCAGATATAGCAGATACATGCGCTTGCATTGATAATTATCCCGTATTGTAATGCCTGCCACCTGATTGCTATATAAAGATTATCCGGCCTTCACCTTCTTTCGTGTCTGCTTTATAGCACGTCATGAACCTGTCATGGATTGGTTATGTTACTCATCTGGCTAGGGACGCATCAAAGAAGCTTGGTTTTCTTTTTCTGTATTAAAGCCTCTTTAGCTCTCAACATTATTACGAAACAGCACAGGCAAAAGTTGGAAACTGTCATCCTGGAATGAGGCACCCAGGTGGCTAAACTTCACTGCACCTGATGGAGGAGTAAAGCGGCAGTCAGGTTGACTCATGACCCAGCACTCACCGGTTCACTCGCTCACTGGCGGTCAGTTATCTCTGTATCACTCTTCTCTCGCTAGTGCCATGGTTACCGTTCCCGTGAACTTCACTCATTGAGTCCTCTGCAATAGATGCAATGTAAAACTCTTTGTCAGCCGTCACCTTTATTCATCAATTTATGTACACTCACGTTTGTACAATGGGAGGAACAAAAAAAGAACTAAATGCACGCTTCTCATCACTGCGAGGTTGAGTACACCTTTTTTTACAGCCCCGAGTGCAGAGTTTGTACAGCACGTGTTTCCTCAACAGCCGCGTCACCAACTCTGCAACCCGTCCATGTCGAACTCCTGTGATCTCTCTGTCCTCTTCTCCCTCGCGCCACTCTTCTGCTCTCACGCTCTCCCCGCTCTCTCACCCTCTTGTACTCACGTCTGCCCCACCCTAACTCCACTCATTCTCTATACCTCTTCGATTTCTCCTCTTCCTCATATCCACCTCCTTTGAACCCCCTTCACCCCACTCTCTCCAGCTCACCCTCCCACCTCTGGAACTCGAGAAACCTGACGTCTGCTTCACCTACTTTGCTACACGTCACCTGTAAAAAAACTTACTTTGTACGGGACTAAGAAGATTTCATTTCATCCTCTGGACCTGTGCAAAAAATATGTTATATGATGGATGTTGTTGCGAAATTTCTGCCAACCCTTTCCACAAATGGCATATACCAAAGTATTAAATCTTGTTACACTGTGCTAACGAAAACACAGTACACGATAATTTCTTCAACGTTGAATGCATTTGAGGATTTGGTGATCTTCTCTGAAAGCGACAAACACTGATTTGAACTTTACTGATATTACAAAGACCATGGGCAGAGTTCGAAAATAACCCGAGGACAATTTCTCCCCCCTTGCGGACGGATCTCGATTCGTGCAATAGGGTAATTGCATTGTGAGTGGAAAGCTGTTGCCACAACTTTTCTCTGCGACTGCATCAAACAATTTTATGTAGTGCACAACATGTTGGATTAATGCATTTTTATGCATTAAGCGCATTTTCACCAATAAATATGTGCCTTGCCCACTTCACAGTGGACATTTAAGATCCCCTGACATCATTTGGAACAAGTGGGCCATTGTGTGTTGGTGGCTTGGTCGAAATGTTACAAGTTCGGAAAAGAGCCGCAAATTACTTGTTTGGAATATACATAGCAATCATCACCCCCTAATGCTTTCTGGGTAAACAAATATAATAACAAAAAATATATAGAACTTTAGAGCTGAAATTCTGTGGTTGTGTAGTGTCACGTAATGCAACATGTCGTGGTGCTATTGTGCACCACACTAGGTGACCAATGCCCTGTGGACTGCCATGATGTGGCGTGCTTTTGTGCACCGAGTGTGCATGCGCTATTGCTGTGCGTGTGTGATGCGCTATTGCTGTGTGCTTGTGACGAGCGCTCGAGCGTAACATTCGGCAGGTCCTGGCCCGCTGCGCGCTCAGAGGCGCAGTCGCTTGATGTCCTCACTGCGGAAGTCGGCGCGCAGCGACAGGGCGCGCCGCACCTCAGCGGGAGTGAGCCGCCACGTAAGTGGCCCCGAGTTTGGGCCCCAGTAGTCCAGGATTTCCGTCACCTGGACACGGTCCACAGGGGAGGCGGTTTTGGGCGGTGCAGGTGACGGAAAAACCAGGGAGCGACCTCCCGTGGAGCGTGCATAATGTGTTACCTGGCCACTGAGGGGGGCGAAAACTTGTAACATCAATAAAAGCACTTCTTCGCATTATCCACTTCACTTTTAAGTTTACAAATCCATTTTGTACATCACACAAAGTATAACTTCGCTTACCTAGCACCTTCATAAAAAAATGCATTAATTGTAACTTGAATTGGCCAAACATCCAAATTATGAAAAATTACTTAGAAATTACTCAATTGGGATTATACAGAACAACACCGGCCCCTACTGCGATAACTTGGCAGGTCCCCCCCTGAGTGAGACTTTGCAGGATAAACACGCAGAATAATCTGTGCCTGAACGAAGCAACTCCTAAAATGTTCTTTTATTACTGATCGACATGCTGAGTCTCACCCGCTCCAGGTTGAGGATGGTGGCCATCTGTGTGAGCCGAGCGAACTTGTCACGGATGGTCCAGGTCGTGATGGAGGTGAGGTAGGCCACCAGTGCCCTCAGCTCCTTGTCAAACTGCAGTCCTCCCAGCTGCAAAATAAAGGTGGGCCCTGCTTGTTTTATTGTACAGGGTGGCAGGGTGATGGTGGTATATACGTCTGTATGTATGTTGAACTTCTTTCGCACCCCATGTAGCCAACCATGCTAATCGAAGGTGCGGAGTGGTAACACTCATGCCTCACAGCACGAAGGATCCTGGGTTCGATTCCGAACTCAGGCAGCTTTTCTGTATAGAGTTTGTATGTTCTCCCCCTGTTCTGTATGGGTTTCATCGGGGTTCTCCCGCTTCCTCCCATGGCTAAAGAAAACAATGTAACCGGTAATGGCCAAACATCCCAATGCTGAAATATTACAAGCACATCACTCAAATGGGATGAGGCTACATTGCCCCCGACTTTGAGTCTGGAGACTCAGTAAATATTCTCTCGTAACCAAGCATAACAACAATAATAAAGCTGTCCCAGTGGTAGTGGGTTCCCGTCTCCACTCCTGCCAGTGGGCGTGGGGCACTCACCCGGCTGAATGTGGTTTTATGCACGCAGCGCTCCATCTCCTGGCTGATGAGGCCCGTCGCGAGTCCAATGAGGCTGTCGTATATGGAGGGCGACACGGCCGCCTGCCACGATACGTAGGCCAGCAAGGCCCCATTACACGGCAGGTATTATAAGAGACGTTCTTTTGTACAAGCACGTTTAAGAAAATTTATGTTAATCATAATCCACGCTGCAGTGTCTACAGCCTTTTCTCAATCCACTGCTGGATGAGGGCCTCCTCACGCCAGGTGGGTTGTGGCCGTTATTTGACCATACTTCACCGCACTGGGTTCTTCTGGGTTGTTGAAGCATAGATGTAGGAGCAGAGAATTACAGTACAATGATGGATGTGTTGCACTGCCCTCTGCTGTCCACCACGTAGCGCCACTGCAGCCAAAAGCAATCTGCTGTGCGCAGTGGCCGCCCATACGAGCACTATCCAGGCTCAACTCTGCTTCGCTGCAGAGGTCCGGGCGTTACGGTGGCGAGATGTTAACTACCTCGCCTTGTATGCAGGATATCGTTGTGTTCGATCCCGACCCTGACGCCTGTATATTTGGAGTTTGCATGTTCTGCCCGTGGCCGCGTGGATTTTTCTCTGGGTCTTCCGGGTTTTCCCTCTACATTTAGAAACATGAATTTGGAGTATTTGGCTGCTATAAATTACACATGACAGGCTGCTTCATTGAGCTATCATTTTTGGCCAGGTCACTTCTGAAAAGAGCTATATAGCTCAGTGGGCCTTACCTGGTTTAAAAAAAAAGTTTTTATAGACTTATTAGCACGAGATAATTGAATTTTACATGCAGGAGCCCAATCTGGGATGGCTTACCTTGAACTCTGCCATCAGCTGCTCGAAATTAACGATGAACTTCTGAGCCCAGGGGTCGTTGGCTTCGTAGTCATTGAATTCCTCCTGGAACGCGACGTACACACGCATGCCACCGCAGTGTCACCATCATGGCTAAGTCTTCGTGGCTGTTTATTCACTCATTGTCAGGGTTGTGCAACGATAACCGGTAATCCATAATAGAGTTTTTTTGGGTTAGATCACGTAAATATAAATGTCATTAAACCCGCCACCACCCGACACAGCCAATCAGTAAGGTTTGTTACGTAAACAGAACATGCCAATTTGTTACTAGTACAGCACACCGGTGTGTTGTAGAGTAAATCCACAGCATTTACAATCTGAGTACGAGGTTTCGCCAGTAATTACAACTAGCATCATCAGTAGTTACTGATTTGTAATTACTGGCGAAACATTGTACTTAGATTATAGAATGTTGTGGATTTACTCTACAACACACCAGTGTGCTGTACTAGTAACAAATGGGCATGTTCTGTTTACGTAACAAACCTTACTAATTGGCTGTGTCGGGTGGTGGCAGGTTTAACGACACATTTATATTTACGCGATCTAACCCAAAAAAAATCTATTCCAAAATCGGTAACTGGTTCAGGCAGTCAGGAACCGGAAAACCGATTCCAGTAGGATTTTAGTCATGAATACACCGATTTAAGAAACGTGCCCCATTGTTTCAACTTCTGTGTCGGGAGATTGAATCGAACCGGTGACCTCTGGATTGCAAGTCCAGTGCACTGACCAATGCACCGTGGCAACACCCTTCAAATCGAAGACTAAAGTTGCAAGTCAACTCTTGCAAATACTACCCTAGTCACTTTGGGCAGCAGGGTTGCACAATGGTAACACTTGTGCCACACGGCAAGAAGGAGCTGGGTTGGATACCTGACTCGGGCACCTTTTGGTTTGAATTCTCCCCCTGTTCTTCATGGGTTTCCTCCCATTACTAATCAAACATTTAATGGTACTGGTATTAGTTAAAACACCTTAATGTTAAAAAATTACCGGCAAATCACTCGATTGGGATAACGCACAGCAGCAACATCGCCCCCCCCCCCCCTCTACTCCGAACACTTGGTAGGACCCTCCTGAAAAGAGCCGAGACTCGGTGAGGCTTTCATGGGTAAACACGTCTACTCATAATTACATCACATTTACATCACTACTGCGAATGAGACTGCCGTTGGTCTCTTGGGTTTCTCACCCGGTTGAACAGAATGAAATGCCTATGACAAGTGACTCGACAGGGACTCTATACCCGACCCACGCAGCTCCCTCCACACACACGGTGAGGGGGTGGGAGGCTGTCTGGCGTGAGTGTGCCAGGTGCCGTGGCTCGGCCTGTGGAGCGGCACCTCCTCGATGTTGTGCGAGACGAGCAGGAAGTCGTTCATCCAAGGCTTCACTTGCGGCATGATGGCTGCGTTGTTCAGCTCTGCCAGACCCTCCTGTGAGGCGGACAGCGTGAACGGACGGACTGCATGCATGGACAGACTATGTGCACATACAGCTGGTGTGTACACAGGCACCGTGCGCACCACGCGGCCTGCAAACGGGGCCTACAATCGCCCATGTTCTACAGACGCACGTCGCCACGGTGGTAGTGCGTCGCTACTGCGGTGACATTGCGTCACCACTGTGGTGATAGTGGTGCACAACTAACAAAAACACATCGGGCGGCGTAGTCGGATGCATTTCTGCGGCCGTCTGGAACGTTCTTCCTTCCGATATTAGGAAGACAGTGGGGCTATGCGCTTTTAAATAATCTAGATTGAAAACTCATTTCTTTAGAACTGCTTTTTGTGTTTAGTTTGTTATCCTTCCCCCCGCACCTCCGATTAGCAAATACTTGGCAGGACCCTCCTGAAAGAGAGTCTTGAGACTCAGTGAGGCATTTTTCCACCTCCAATTCGCACAGTTGGCTACGTACAGTGCGAAAGAAGTTCAACATGCATACAATAGCACTGCCTTTTGGTTGAACTTCGTAAGCCGCCTTCATTTCGCTGGTGAATATTTACGACCAAGCACAGGCAGACCTCACTTAGCGCTCAAGATGCGTTCCTGGAAAAGTGAGCGTGACCCAAATCGGAGCTAAAAGTGATCACGCTAAGCGAGGTTTGCCTGTATAGGGAGAACTGTCAAATAACAGGACACGTGTAAAAATTGCAGTCCAAGTCAAAGTGATTTTCTGCTTAAATAATAACTAAAACAATAAACTAAAACTATAAACAATTTTTTTTTATCAAGGCCCACTGAGCTACATAGGTATCTTTCAGAAGTGACGTGGCCACAAATGATTGCCCAATTAAGTGGCTTATCACATGAGAATGTATAAAGCAACAAAATACTCGAAACGCATGTTTCTAAATTTGGAGGGAAAAACCGGAGGACCTGTAGAATATCCACGCAACCACGGGGAGAGAGACACGCAAACTCCAATTATACAGCAGGCGTCAAGGTCAGGATTGAACCAACAATCTCCTGTATCCCAGGCGAGGTAGTTAACATCTCAACACCGTGGCACCCACATGAACAATAAAGCATTGGTGCTTATGTTCTGTTAGAGCCCTGAGCCAGTGGTGACAGTTCCACATTCCTATGGCGGGGCAAGCCTGTCTTTAGTAAATTATTTTTAAAATGTATTTATACTATAATTTTTATGCTGAGTGTCTACTGCTGCTGTGTCCTGTACAGCACTTTGAGATCCTAGATGAAAAGAACGATATAAATAGAATTATTATCTATAGGAAAACTACCGTTGACTTCCCCACTAAGTGGTACTTATTTTTTAATCCCGAGGGGGTGATGGGCTGAGTCAACCCTAACCAGGACTTGAACTTGCAACCTCTAATTGCGAGCCGCTCATTCTACTGCTGAGTCACCTGGCTAGTTTGTACATTACAGTGTAAGTTAAGATATTCTCAGTGTTACGGTCTCCTGCATTATTAATATTGTAAGATCTTACCTGCAAGAGATCCTTGAAATGGTTGGAGACAGACACCAGGTCTAAGAGACAGCTGTCCACTTTGGCACGGGACTGCTCACTCTTGGTACCTTGATTAAGCAACATCTGGCAGTCAGCCTGGGCATAAATACACACACATAGAGGCACACCATTATATGCACATAAGTGCAAACACAAGGTACAATCCAATAACGTTTCACCACAAATCTGGCTGTCCGCCTAGTTGTAATTACAGGCGAAACGTCGTACTCAGATTGTAAATGTTGTGGATTTACTCTACAACACACCGTTGTGCTGTACTAGTAACGAATTGCCATGTTCTGTTTATGTGACAAACCTTACGAATTGGCTGTGTTGGGTGATGGTGGGTTTAACGACACATTTATATTTACGTGATCTAACCCAAAAAAAACCTATATTATGGATGAATATGGTCGGGAAAGCCTACATGTTAAACTGACAAGGTACAATAAAACATTATATTGCACACACACTTACCCAGGGGAGCCTCAGTGACTCACAAGACACTTTTTCAGAAGGGTCTTGCTGTGTTTTAGCAGTATGGGGTGACAACAATGATGACGCTATGAATATTTCTTTATCAGAATACTTTTTTAAACTGGAGGAGGAATTCGATGAGCTATGAAGCTCTTTTTCACAGATCTCCAGTAGGTGATTGCTATGTGTGATTGCTGTGTGATTGCTATGTGTGATTTCTATGTGTGATTGCTATGTGTGATTGCTATGTGTGATTGCTATGTGTGATTTCTATGTGTGATTTCTATGTGTGATTGCTATGTGTGATTGCAATGTGTGATTGCTATGTGTGATTGCTATGTGTGATTTCTATGTGTGATTGCTATGTGTGATTTCTCTGTGTGATTGCTATGTGTGATTGCTATGTGTGATTGCTATGTGTGATTGCTATGTGTGATTGCTATGTGTGATTGCTATGTGCGATTTCTATGTGCGATTGCTATGTGCGATTGCTATGTGCGATTTCTATGTGCGATTGCTATGTGTGATTGCTATGTGTGATTGCTATGTGTGATTGCTATGTGTGATTGCTATGTGTGATTGCTATGTGCGATTTCTATGTGCGATTGCTATGTGCGATTGCTATGTGCGATTTCTATGTGCGATTGCTATGTGTGATTGCTATGTGTGATTGCAATGTGTGATTGCTATGTGTGATTGCTATGTGTGATTTCTATGTGTGATTGCTATGTGTGATTTCTCTGTGTGATTGCTATGTGTGATTGCTATGTGTGATTGCTATGTGTGATTGCTATGTGTGATTGCTATGTGTGATTGCTATGTGCGATTTCTATGTGCGATTGCTATGTGCGATTGCTATGTGCGATTTCTATGTGCGATTGCTATGTGTGATTGCTATGTGTGATTGCTATGTGCGATTGCTATGTGCGATTTCTATGTGCGATTGCTATGTGCGATTGCTATGTGCGATTGCTATGTGTGATTTCTATGTGTGATTGCTATGTGTGATTGCTATGTGTGATTTCTATGTGCGATTGCTATGTGCGATTGCTATGTTCGATTTCTATGTGTGATTGCTATGTGTGATTGCTATGTGTGATTTCTATGTGTGATTGCTATGTGTGATTGCTATGTGTGATTGCTATGTGTGATTGCTACGTATGATTGCTATGTGTTCCCAAATTAAGTGATTCGCGGGTAGTGATCAATGTGGACCGTGATGCTGGCACACAATAGCTTAATGTTCTTCGAATTACGTCACAGGATCTTTTATCAACCACTGTGAAGCAAACGGCGCGTACATTATGGATAAATATACCCAAAGTATTAATCAGGGAGGCCTGCTGGATTCAATCCACGAACCTCTGCAACAAGCGGGGCACGCCAGACCGTGTCACCGCTGTCACCGCTGTAAGCGCTGCAGAGCTGCGTTGGCAGTGGTGCACACAAACTCAACACGGGCGACGGCTGCCCGACGTTCAAAAACCGTGACCAAGCACGTTACCTCCAGCGTCTTCTTGAGGGTCTGGATGTTGTCGCTGCACACCTCCGTGTTGTTCAGTGTCACCTGAGCGCATGGGGAGGGAGCAGAGTGACACTCAACGCCTGTTTGACACTGGGAGAGAGGAGAGTGACACTCAGCGCCTGTTTACCACTGGGAGGTAGAGCAGAGTGACACTCAGCGCCTGTTTACCACTGGGAGGTACAGTAGAGTGACACTCAGTGCCTGTTTGACACGTGGAGGTTGAGCAGAGTGACACTCAGCGCCTGGTGACACTGGGAGGTAGAGCAGAGTGACACTCAGCGCTTGTTTGACACTGGGAGAGAGCAGAGTGACGCTCAGCACCTGTTTGACATTGGGAGGTAGAGCAGAGTGACACTCAGCGCCTGTTTGACACTGGGAGGTTGAGCAGAGTGACACTCAGCGCCTGTTTACCACTTGGAGGTAGAGCAGAGTGACACTCAGCACTTGTTTGACACTGGGAGGTACAGCAGAGTGACACTCAGCGCCTGTTTGACACTGGGAGAGAGCAGAGTGACACTCAGCGCTTGTTTACCACTTGGAGGTAGAGCAGAGTGACACTCAGCGCTTGTTTGACACTGGGAGGTGAGCACGTTAAATACAGAACACAAGTATAATTCATGTGACCACAGTGAGGTGACTCCAGGAGGGGGTATTTTTGCACGGGATCATATTTAAACTCATTCACACTCACTCATTTGTATCGCTTGTCATTAGTGGCCCTGGGAAGGTGATACTGCAGAACAACCTCTGATGTTACCAATCTGAGGGGTGATTGTACTACTTACTCTGTAAAAAGTTTAATTAAACCAGATTTTAGTGCCCTCAGAGCTGGTATACATAAAATTAAGTGACGAACTAATATACAGTCATACCTCGGTATACGACCGCTTTGGAATACGTCGAATTTGGTATACGTCGTGTTTTGACGAGAAAAAAATGTCTTGGGATACATCTTGCTTGGGATACGACGCGCTTGCTAGAACTTGTATGGGTCGGGATGAGTCACCACGTACCCGCGTAGACCCCGTTCACGACTAAAACAAAGCACCGCTCCTCAGTCTGCCTGTACAGTACATCTCGTTCAGTGCACAACCCTTGCTATAACTCTCCGTGAATTTTCACGTATTTTTTTTGTAATTTTAACGTGAATCTTTTGCGAAATCATTCAAGATGGGTCCTAAGAAAGTTAGTGAGAAAAGCTAAGCTACAAAGAGAATGGTTAGGATCACTGTTGACATGAACAAAGAGATCATAGAAAAGAATGAAAGTGGGATCTTAGTAAAACTCAAAGCTGGTGAGCCTCAACCAGGTCCAAGTCAAGAAAAAAAAGACAGAAAAGAGAAAGAGAAAAAAACTCCAGAATTTCAGCTTCCTGAAGTTTTAATGGAAGGGGACTCTCGTTCCAAATAATAACATCTTCTCCTCCCCTTCCTCACCACCATCCTCGTAGGCTATCAACTCCTCTCAGCAAGCTAAAGTGATGTTAACTTTTATTTTTATTTCAATTTATTTTAATTTATTTATGCATTTATTTTAATGTATGTATGCATTTTAGTAATAATTAGTGTACATTATATTAAACAACCCCAGTAATGTATAATATGCCAAATAAAATATCATTTCTTATACTCTGGAACGGATTATTTCCTTAACCTTTATTTCTTATGGGAAAAAATTCGTTTGGTATTCGTCATTTTCGGTATAAGTCCTCCTAGCTTCTGGAACGAATTAACGACGTATATCGAGGTACCACTGCATATCATATACAGTAATAACAATTCACATTTTTTCTTTTTCAACGGTTTTAATTAACTTCACTTGTGTTTGTCGTGGTCAAATTGTGTAATCAAAAGTTAGTCTACTTCCTGTTGTCCCATCAATTCCAAATTTTGCACACGTACTCAGATCCGGAGACAATGCATGCCTCTATGAAAATCGGCATTAATTCATCAATTAATTGCCTTCTTTCAAGCAATTACAATTTTTGTATGGACGGCTTATTAATTATATCTTTTTGTGTAGGTCAAAAATGCCGCGGTCCCTAAACTGTGGAATCGGCTCACACAAAAAGCAGGTGCCGTGTGTCTCAGGCTCACACACAAAGCAGGAGCCACGTGTCTCAGGCTCACACACAAAGCAGGAGCCACGTGTCTCAGGCTCACACACAAAGCAGGCGCCACGTGTCTCAGGCTCACAGACAAAGCAGGTGCCACGTGTCTCAGGCTCACACACAAAGCAGGAGCCACGTGTCTCAGGCTCACACACAAAGCAGGTGCCACGTGTCTCAGGCTCACACACAAAGCAGGTGCCACGTGTCTCAGGCTCGCACACAAAGCAGGTGCCACGTGTCTCAGGCTCGCACACAAAGCAGTCGCTGTGTGTCTCAGGCTCACACACAAAGCAGGAGCCACGTGTCTCAGGCTCACACACAAAGCAGGAGCCACGTGTCTCAGGCTCACACACAAAGCAGGTGCCACGTGTCTCAGGCTCACACACCAAGCAGGTGCCACGTGTCTCAGGCTCACACACAAAGCAGGAGCCAGGTGTCTCAGGCTCACACACAAAGCAGGAGCCAGGTGTCTCAGGCTCACACACAAAGCAGGAGCCACGTGTCTCAGGCTCACACACCAAGCAGGCGCCGTGGCTCAGGCACCATTGAGGGACTTCTCGACCGTGAGTTAAACGAAGTTGTTAATAAAACTGTTGGTTAAAAAACTATTTTTAAGGAGTTTATTTACATATAACGCCACACATGCAGATTCCCCGTATAGCCTAAACAGACTTTTGGGGCAAGTGCCATTAGCAAGCACCAATGAAGGCCGGTACAGCACACAAGGGGGTGGGTGGCCAACGTTACACTCGGGTGCCTTTGTCTCCCTAGTGGCGATGTTTACACACTGCACCGGTTACTCATTTGAGGCTGAGTCGACCTAGGGGAGGCCCAGGACCGGTTCAGATAATCGTCACTGGTGTTGGCCGTGAGCGGCAATTGAACTCGTGTCGCCGGGTTTGTAGTGCAACGCGCTAACTACTACACTACCGCTCCTCACACACAGATACAAAGATCAAAGATCCCCCATTTAGCCTTAACAGACTGTAGGCGCAAGTGCTGTTAGCGAGCACCTATGAAGACCGGCACAGTACACGAGGGGGTGGGTGGCCAACACCACGCCCAGCCGCCTTTGTCTCCCTACTGACGATGTTTACACATCGCACCAGGTACTCATTTGAGGCTGAGTCGACCTAGGGGAGGCCCGGGACCGGTTCAGATAATCGTCACTGGTGTTGGCCGTGGGCGGGAATCGAACCCTGGTCGCCAGGTTCATACCGCAGCGCGCTAACCGCTACACTATCGCTCCCCACACAGATACACACACACAGATGGGAGGGGGCTGGCGGGGGAGCCTAGGCAGTGCAGGCTCACCAGGAATGACTGCTTTGCCTCCTCGGTGCTCTCAATGCCGCGCGCCTCGAACTTGCCCTGCTGCAGGCTGCTCTGCATGAGGCTCACGGCGCTGCTAACGCCGCGCTGGATGTCCTGCAGCGTCGTCGCTGGGAAGCCCACGCGCAGCTTCGTGTTGAGTACCTCCCTGCGCGACAAATGGCATGGCTCCATCGCTCTAGGCACACGACAACAACGAGGTGCACTCGAGAAAAACAGTGCACTGCGTGCAATACAGCTTACATTTATAGAGCAGCTTAACACAGTTGTATGACAGGAACCCAGATGTTAACTATATCGCCTGGTAGACAAGAGGTCATGGGCTCCATCCTGAATATCACTCCTGCTCTATATTTGGAGTTTGCGTGTTTCTCTCCCTGTGGCCGTGTGCATTTTACTCCAGGTCCTCTGGTTTTTCCCTCCACATTTAGAAACATGTGATTAAGATGTTTGGCTGCGATAAAGTTCCACATGATAAGCCACTTCATTGGGCTTTCATTTGTGGCCGGGTCGCTTCTGAAAAAGAGCTACATAGCTCAGTGGGCTTTACCTGGTAAAATAAAAATAGTTTAGTTTGAATGTTTTCCAACCAAGGTAGAAAGCATCATTAGACCTCCTTTGCCAGTACTAAAATGTAATAGGGTTTTTCCCCTTTTTTTTGGCAACAAAACTGAAACCTTTTTTACAAGGATTCATGTCTGCATTAACCACAATACCTGCAGTCAAAATGCAAACAAAAAACATACTATGATAATATATGCATTGTCCTTGAAACTGGTTGGTCCAGACCAAGGGACGGCTTTCTTTTGAGCCTCGACCCAATTAGTGCTCGACCAGATGACGCCAAAAGGCGCACAGCTCAAAGACAATGCACTATCAAAGTAAATGAGTGCTCGCGGTGAGCATCTACATCATTAGACCTCCTTTGCCAGTACCAAAATGTAAAAAAAGGTTTCAGATTTGTTGCCAGAAAAAAAGGGGAAAAACCCTATTATTACATTTTGGTACTGGCAAAGGAGGTCTAATGATGTAGATGCTCACCCCGAGCCCTCATTTACTTTGATAGTGCATTGTCTTTGAGCTGTACGCCTTTTGGCGTCATCTGGTCGAGCACCAATTGGGTCGAGGCTCAAAAGAAAGCCGTCCCTTGGTCTGGACCAATCAGTTTCAAGGACAATGCATATATTATCATAGTATGTTTTTTGTTTGCATTTTGACTGCAGGTATTGTGGTTAATGCAGACATGAATCCTTGTAAAAAAAGGTTTCAATTTTGTTGCCAGAAAAAAAGGGGAAAAACCCTATTTTAATAAGGTAGAAAGGGTTAATGCATTTACTCTGTCCACGAGAGCCCACACACACAGCCCATGCTGTGGTGCTGTGTACTCACTAATCCCACAAACAGCCCATGCTGTGGTGCCGTTTACTCACTAATGATCAGAGACAAAACAAACACAAAGATCACCCGTATATCCTTAGGAGACTGTTGGGGCAAGTGCTGTTAGCGGCACCTATGAAGGCAGGCACAACACACGAGTGGGTGGGTGGCTAACACCACGCCCAGTCGCCTTTGTCATCATGTTTACACACCACACCAAATACTCATTTGAGGCCGAGTCGACCTAGGGGAAACCCAGAACTTGTGTTGGCCATAGCGCAGCGCGCTAACTGCTACACTACCGCTCACCCCCGGTGTACTAATTCCACACATACATGCACAGAGAGCACGGGCCCGTGCTACGGTACCGTCTAAGCAGCCAAGCTCACCGGAAGTCCTCATCGAGCAGTGTGGTCGCGTGATTGATCATGGCACACAGGCAGTCAATGTTGGAGCTGGCCATGGCTCGTCCAATGCACTTCTTGACGATGTAGAACACGTCGTCCACCACGCTGGACGTGAGCTGCCCTTTCTCCACCGTGTCCATCGCCACAGCCTGCCACCGGCATGCAGCGCCACTTTATTGTATTATTGTTATTATTACAACACTTGTTTACCCAGGAAAGCCTCACGAGTCTCAGGACATTTTTTAAATAAGAATGACATCAACTTGTAACGTGCCACCCACCACACAGTATTTGCTTGCTCCCAAAGAGACACCGGAAACAACTCAGGCGTGAGGAGGAACAAGAACAGATGAGACCCTACTGGACATCTGTGCAAAAAGAGCTTCATAACAGCTCGTCGGATTTCTCCGGTCTACTCAAAGATTCTGATTCTGAACAGCCAGGAGGTTAGCCGGCACGAAACCCTCCCCCCCCCCAACCTCTGCGGTCCTGTATATATGAAGGTGTTATTGTGTTTACATGTGGGAGAGAACCTGACCACCCAGAAAAAACCCCCACGTGCAAGGTGGCAACGCTTCTATCCCACACAGATGGAACAGGTGGAGTCTGCAACTTTCTGTACCGCCTTCTACTGGCGAGCCAGGGTATAGCACTTCCTTGAAGCTCACGGGAAAGGGGTTCACAACATTTGTGCAATCTGCCCACCCTCATTGCCTCCACAGGGCTGGGTTACAGGCCAAGTGCGAAGCCACCGCTGCCCAGCGAAGGTGGCTCCTGCCGCGTTGTTGCAGGAGGGGGCAATGTTGCTGCTGTGTAATTGAATTATTTTCAGGAAAGTTTCAGTATTGGGATGTTTCACCAATACCAGTTACACTCAATGGCTTCTTGGTAGCTATGGTAGGAAACTGGAGAACACCAAGGAAACCCACAAAAATAGGGAAGAACATACAAGCAGCACACAGAGAGGTGCATGATTTGGGAATGAAACCCAGGGCCTTCTTGTTGTGAGGCATAGGCGTTACCACTTCACCACCATGCTGCCAATGGAAAGAGTTTAAGTTTATTTTGATGTGTCACAAGGGTGGTCCCGTTTAGCCAGTTGCCTGGCTATTTTAGGAGGGAGATCCGTGGTGCTGCGTGAGCATGGCAACAAAACAAGAACGTCACTATTGCGGAGAACGACTGCACCATCCTTGCTGAGCCCCAGGAGGGAGCGCTAGGCGGTACCTTATTGACGGTCTCTCGCATGAAGTACTCTTCCATGGTGATGTAAGAGCACATGAGCTCCTGCATGCTGCGGCTCAGCACGCAGTTGTTTATCAGCTTCTCCAGCGCAGACAGGTGCCCTGACAAACAACACCACATTCTCATCACAAAAAATCCATTGTAACTTATATGACTACATTAACCCAATAGGCTCACAGTGACAACAACCAGCGGCGAAATGTCACGGTACTTGAATTGTAAATATTGTGGGTTTACTCTCCAACACACCTTTGGCATGTTTTGTTTATGTGACAAACCTGACTAATTGGCTGTGTCAGGTGGTGATGGGTTTAATAACATATTTATATCTTGATTTGATGATGACTGCTTGTGTTGCGATCGAAACGTCGTGATTTGTTTTATTATATTTCTAACTACGTGACTTTACCGAAAGAACCAAAGAGTATGGACATTCATATTCATGCAATCTAATCCAAAAAAACCTTTATTATGGAGTCACGCTCTATATCGCACATGCACTTTCACCCGTCACGACTCGCCTCAGCCTTGGCTTTGACTCAAGTGAGCCGGCACAGAACCATGCTCTTAACACAGCTCCAAGCATGGTCCCGGACACGCTCAGGATTCCCATGAGCCGTGCTACGGCTGAGCCGCTCACTTGCTTCCTTGGAAGCCACTGAGTGGCTCAAACCTGAGTTCAACAGAGAGGCCGAGCCAGAGTCGAGCTGCGACTGACCTTACGACCCTGAGAGCTTGGAGACCGGTAGACCAAACAGCTGTCATTAATACTAAGAAAAACAATTAAGCACACAGTACACCTCCTTCACATATCTGTCCCTCTGTATGAGTAAAGTACAATACTTTTTGTTGCACACCCCAACAACCACAAGGTCTTCGAGGAAAGAATAATTTAAATGCACTCTGGTGAAGAGACACTGAATGTCGAAACCGATCTCGGGTTTGTTTGTGCTGATTTGATTTATACTTAGAACTACTGGGACTATCATCATGAAGCATTGTATGACCAGTGTCCATGGTATTGTGCATAGATGCTTTCAATGAAAGGCTGAGGGGAAACACGACAGTGACAACCGCACCGTGCTCTGCACTCACCGTTGCGTGTTTCCTCGCTGGCGTCGGCGTCGCACACCTCCAGGTCAGCGAGCACGCGGCGCCGCACGAAACGCAGGTAGAGCTCGGCGCGAGCATTCATCACGCTCATCTCTCCCAGGATCGTGTCCAACTCCCTGCGCAACACATACATAGTCTCTCCATTACCCTCTGTCACACACCCACACAGCCTCTCACGTGTTACCCTGCTCTCACACACAGAGACTCTCACATAGGACACACTCTCCGTTACTTGATCAGAGAGACAAATATCCCCAGTATAGCCTTAATAGACATTTGGGGCAAGTGCTGTTAGCAAGCACCTATAAAGGCCGGCACGGTACATGTGGGGGTAGGTGGCCAGGACCATGCTCGGCCGCCTTTGTCCCCTAGTGGCAATGTTTACACCTGGCACCAGGTACTCAAGTGAGGCTGAATCGACCTAGGGGAGACCCAGGACTGGTTCAGATATTCGTCTCCAATGTTGGCCGTGAGCGGGAATCAAACTCAGGTCGGTAGATTCAAAGTGCAGCACGTTAACCGCTACACTACCGCTCCCCACTTTAACACACAAACAACGACAAAGATCCACCGTATAGTCTTAACAGACTGTTGGGGCAAGCGTTGTTAGCGAGCACCTATGAGACAAACTCATAAAGACACACTCGCATACACAGACACTTGCATGACGTTGATGTGCGTGCAGCACGGCCATACCTCGGCGCGATCCTCTCCAGCTGGGAGCCTCTCAGCAAGCTGCCCTCCACGCGCTTCAACTGTGCACACAGGAGGCACGTGCACCATGCTTGACATCCAAACAAGTAATCAGAAAACACCACTTGGAATGATGACTAAAGACTCACCCACTTATGTGCGACATTTCCGAACAATAGCTTCACTCTACCATCGGTCATCGGGGAGCATACTTCCAATGGTGTTTGAAAATAAAATCTCAACTCAAGCGCAAAGTTTCCATGCAGTCACGCACAAACGCATGCAGCATGTACACTCCGCATGGAGCATGCACAGGCGCACCGCTCCAGTGAGGATCTGCCATGGTTTTCCACATCACGTCTTGGGATTAATGGGAACATCTTAACACTTTATCTGTGCAGAGAATGAATACAAGTGGACGATCGCATCATGAGCCACGATCTATCTACTGCTGAGTGAAGGTCTCTCCCAGTCTTTGCCACCTCTCACGATGCAACAATCTATCTCGCACCTGCACACGAGCCAATTGCATTGCTTCTTCTTCAGATACGCTCCTGTGGCCGTCTGGAACGCTCTTCCTTCCGATATTCGGAAGCCGCTGTAGCTATGCACGATTAAATCATCTAGATTGAAAAGTTATTTCTTTAAAACTGCTTTTTGTGTTTAGTTTGTTGTCCTTCCCCCGCACCTCCGATTAGCATGGTGGCTACGTACGGTGCGAAAGAAGTTCAACATACATACAAGTGTGCCTTTCTCCGTGCTCCTTTGCGCACTTTTTCAGCATTTGTGTTTCTGATCCGTGATTAGGATTAAAAATGGAATCACTGGGTAAGAACAGGGGACCTGTTAAATTTGACCATACTACATACAACACGTGGAATCTATCTGGACAATCAAACTCTGTTTAACTGGAGAGATCAAGAGAAATAATCTGGGATATTGTTAAATTGAGACATAGTTGGTCTCAGTGAGGTGAGACGCAAAGAGCAGCCTTCTCTCTCATAGAAGGGGAGTTGACAGGAACCACGAATTAGTGAGATTCTTAGTCAGACCAGGAATCAAACATTGAGTTTTAGGTTTTCAGATTCAGGAATTGAGGACTCTGGTCAGGTGACTCAGTAGTCAAGCGAGTGGCCCACAATCGGAAGGATGCGAGTTAACATCCTGTTTGGGGGTTGACTCAGCCCAGCATCCCTCTGGGGTTGATACAATGCTTACCACTTTGTGGGGAAGTCAACGGCGGTTGTCCTACGGTTACTCGTCCCAGCAGTAGGAATACAAATTTTTTGCCACTGGCTCAGGGCAGTATAGAGCAGCTGAGTACTGCACCAATGCTCATTTGAGCATGAAATCACCGACTTTGAATGAGAGAAGGGGGGGCTGTTCAAAGCGATGAGCAGCAATCCTCGTCCAGATGGGGCTGTAGTTGAGGACCCACCTTCTGCTCGTAGTGACGATGCTCCGTGAATCTGTCGACGACACGCTGCACCTGCCGGTCACACTCCCCCTGCAGGTGCTTGAGCAGGACAAATAGGCGGCCGGGCCCGTAGAATGTCTCCACGATGGGCTGGTGCGTTTCCACTATGCGAGCGATTCCTGTACCCAACGAAATGTTCACGCTATTAGGCTACGTGTGCAGACCTGTGTCTTTATCCGGCCACGCCTTACAGAGGGTTGGCACCCAACCCGAGATAGATAGGTGTAAGTAATGATAATAATTAAGACTTGTAACAGTTTTCACTCGCTATGGAAGCTGACTCAGAGGCGTGAGGGATGACAGACAAGCAGGAAAGCAGCCAGGCAGTGAGCCTGTGCCAATAAATGCCCAAGCTCTGCAATCCTCTATATATGAAGATGTTTTCAGCCAAGTAATGAGTGTTTATACGAGTGGGAGGAAACTGGAGCTCCCGAAGAAAATCCACGAATGTGAAGCTGAAAATACTCCATCCCCATAAGATGTCGATTAATCAAGTTGCTGTAAAGCCTTCTCCTGTGAAGCCAGGGTATTGCACCTCGAGCCCCATGGGAAGGGAGTTTCACAAACTTTGTGTGATCCACCAACTCTTGCTGCCTCCACAAGTGCTGGATCAAAGACCACATGCAACATAGTCACTGCCCACCAAATTTGAAGTTAAATGGTACAACTTTTAGGTGTGTGACTTTGCTACATTCTTCAAATATTCTGGAACATCTTAACACTGTTTTGCACCACAGTGCCATGTTACTGAACCATTTAACTCAAATCTCGTGCACTAATAAGAGGCTGGAAGGCTCAAACCCCTGCCCTCCCCTCTCGCCTGGACGGCCTCGCTCAGAGAGACCTGCTGGCTATCTAGGCAAGAAAAGGTGCCTGCTCGGTCTATGTGTAGCGCTGAGCGCCCCCGCCACCGTAGTCTCCGTGACAAGCGACACCAGCTGTACGACCACCACCCGTAATAAGTCCAGCTGCTCCGACACCTTCCAGCCGTCTTTGGGCTGCTGATGCGGAGATGCTGTGTCTGGATCGACCGCCTCCGGCGCAGCCAACTCCCCCGCAGTGGTTTCAATAACCGGGACCACAGTTCCCGTGGTCGGCAGGAGGTCTTAGGTCGAATTTTCGTCATCGGAAGACACCACAGGTGGGTTCCATTTCTTCTGATGTTTGGACATACTGAAATTTTCGCTGTTTAACACAAATTCTTCTGTTTAATCTTTTTTTTTAACCACTTCTGACTCCAATGTAATGAGCGTCTTCCGCGACACGTCGTGTAGAGGGTACTTCTTCTTTATTCTGACATGGGCACAACACGGGCCAACCTGATCCTTCTCACTCTGAGTACACACTGAGATATTTATGTCTCTACTGGCTACACACATGGCCGATTACTCGACGCGGTTCCAGCGCCCTCACTCGGCTACGCCGCTGGCTGGTGGCGTGACGAGGATGGCGATGGAAGCCGAGCAGGGGATCTTCCACGTGGCCGGACGACGGAGAGAGATGACGGCGAGCAGCGACGCAGTCCGGACCCAAGAATCCACACACGAACCCCGAAGCCTGGTCTGCCCCCGCTTATATCCCCCCAGGCGTGGCTATGCTCTACCTCCAGCCACGCCCTCTCGTGAAACCTTCGAGTAAGTTCCCAGAGCATCTCGGCCAACCCCGCCTATTACCTTTGCCCCAGATACCTCTCCCTTCCAGATTGGATGTTGTCTTAAGCGGTGCCCGTACCCGTGCATCCCTTTCCCAGCCAACAGGTGTCATCATGTCATTTCTTATGTATAAAAGCAAAACTTTCCAGAAATTGTGGCAGAAATACCAGAAAAATAACGAAGCCAAGTGTGTTAATGAACTTGATAAAGACAAACAATCCTATATTATCAAACATCTCTATCCTGGCATCATTGTCAGGCCTCCCCCCCCACTCCTTCGCACCTTCAAAGAGCAGGGTGAGGGTGTCTGCAAAAATGACGCCGGCTCGCTTATCGCCCACATCCGTGGTCATGGCGAGCTGTAGGTTCTCCTCCGCCTTGATGGCGACCTGCACAGCCACACGGCAAGGCCCAGGACCGTTGGTCTCACATGGGAAGAGCTCGTCACAGCCCCAGGTGCGTGTCAGTGGTTAATCTCACCATTCGCATGCACAAACTCACACTGATAAGCATTGGAATGTGTTTGAAGTGCCAATAAGATGCATATCTAATCGGTGGCACTGACGGCATGGCCCTCTGCTTATTTAGTTTAGGGCCCATGTTATGTATCTGGACACAAACTCAAAAAATGCACGTGGATCTTTACACAGGTTCACAAAGATACAGCATGCCCATCAATGAGTGTTGGCTACGTATGGTGGGAAAGAAGTTCAAAATACATACATCGCTGCCAATTGCACCTTTATAATTATTATACTTGCTTACCCACGACAGCCCGAGTCCCAACTCTTTTTCAGGGTCTTGCTAAGTTGTCAGAGTTGGGGTGATGATTGTTGTGCCTCCCAATCACGTGATTTGCAAGGAATTTGTCTAATTTGACAAGTTTGGGCCATAACACCGACACACACGATGGCCTACACTTCTTTGACAGACATCACAGCATCTTGAACATCAACCGCGACCCTCGCATCAACAGGCGTTAACGCTGGGCTATGTTACATAGCTCATGCAAAAGTGACAACGTCTATCCCGCAGCATTGACAGGCTTCAGGAGAAGGTGGCATCTCAGCCGGGTGGCAGTGGCGCACCTGGGCACAGAGGTACTGCGCAAACTTGCTGAGGCCTTCGTCGTGAAGGCCCAGCAGGGGGAAGATCTTGAAGAAGCGCTCCACTTGCGGCAGGTTTCCCTCCTTTATGGCCGCGTCAAACCGCACCACCACGATGGCCTTCAGTTTCTTCTCGGCGTCTTGCAGCAGGCCGAGGTTTGTGTCCGCCATCCCACCTGGTATAAAAACGATGGCACATGGCACCGTGTTCAGAGCGAGCACCATTACCGAATCACTTGTTATACTTTCATCATTAATATTTGTTTCTATGCTGCTTACCTGGGAAAGTGTTTTAGGAGGGTTTTGCGAAGCCTTCACAGGAGGGGACAATGTTGCTCTGTTAAATTTTTCAGCATTACAATGTTTTTTTTAGCTATGGGAGGAAACCGAATAACCTGAAGGAAAACCATGCAGAACAGGGGGAGAACATACAAACGCCACACAGAAAGGCACCAGAGCCGGGAATTGAACTCAGGACCTTCTAGCCTGCGTCACCCTGCCACCCATGAAAAAAGAGATAAGCAAAAATGACTCTATAGTCACATTAGTTCCACTTGTTACGGCATCCAAAATATGAATTGGTCTCTAATATAGGAAACACAAGCAGGTCAGCGAGGGTGTCAGGTGAAAAGGTCTGTATAACTACAACCTACAGATCAGTGCAGCGCCTCATACCTTACTGGACATCTGTGATAAAGAGCTTAACAGCTCATTGGATTCCTCCAGTATAAATATTCTGATTCTGATCTTCACAATATCTTTATGAAATGAGCAATAGCTTAATAACTGCACATACCCCCACGCCATGCCCCCACGCTATGTTGTGCACCGTTCTGCACGCTGAAGACACATGATCGGTGTCGAGAAGAGAACCCAACGTGGGGGAGGCCTCTCACCGTCCCTGCCATCGCAACTCATTTCCAGCACGGACTTGTCCAGCGAGAGGAAGCGGTGAACGTGGCCCGCGGCCGTCTCGTAGTCCTCGCTGTTGAGAGCGGCCTGCACCCCGTCGGTGCACAGCGCCAGGTCCAGGATATCGTCCACGCGCTGGATCGCCTGGTACACGCGCGTCTGAGCCACATGTGTGCGCACACACACACACACACGCGCGCCGCACTTCACTTGCAGTCGATGTTTTTCACGTGTATACCGTTGTCTGTTTGCATACACATCGCTCACTCAATTGGGATTAGACACAGCAGTTGCACCACCACGCCTACTGTGAAACCACTGCAGGCTGTGTCTGAGAAACGCAGCAGTGCCTTCCTCCGTGATCGCCTTGCTCTATAACAATGGCGCGAATACCAGATGTGCCAAGTTATTATTCACGTAATAATCACACCAATTGATGTTTCAATCATTTTACTGTACTTTTTTTTAAAGAAAATTGAGCCAAACGAAATGTATTTTATTTAATATTACGTTTGCACAGTTCTTGATTTGTAATGTAACACCGTATTTTACACCTGTTTTCTTGCCAGAAAAAAGGGGAAAACCTATTATCACCGTTGTTTTTGTTTTGATTTTTATCTGCTTAATTGTTCACCCCCTGAAAGAAGCAAACAGCAGCAGTTTTTTGTTGCGTGCGTGTAAGCATGTGTGTTAAAATACAGGGTCATTTAACAACAGGTTTATTTGTATTCTTTAGGTTTTTCGGTAAAGTAATTTAACAACAGGTTTAATGTATTCTTTGGGTCTTTCGGTAAAGTCACGAAGATAGAAAAAAATTAATGCGGTGGGCTCACACGAAATTGATTTCTCCAAGACGAAGGTGCTCTGCAAACCCACGGGATATCAACAAAGATTCGTTCATGAAGCCATCCAGATATATAGACACAGACACAATTTTAACCGAGAAGAAGGAAACTGAGCAATCATTGGAAGGACGTTGTTAACCAGTTTAATTCATAATTGGCTGTGATGTTTCCATCCTACCTTCCGATGTTGGTGGTTATTTTCGACTCTCTGATTTTACATTGACAGGTTGGATGTCTCACACTGGCACAGCCGCCGTCGCTCGTGTCCTCGATGTGGCGGTGGCTCTGAGATCTTACATTGACATGCTAATCTCTGATTTAACAATAACAGATTAAATGTCTCACACTAACACAGACACCGTCGCTCGTGTCCTCGATGTGGTGGCGGCTCTGTGATCTTACATTGACATGCTAATCTCTGATTTTACATTAACAGGTTAAATGTCTCACACTAACACAGCCACCGTCGCTCGTGTCCTCGATGTGGCGGTGGCTCTGCGATCTTACATTGACATGCTAATCTCTGATTTTACATTAACAGGTTAAATGTCTCACTAACACAGCCGCCGTCGCTCGTGTCCTCAATGTGGCGGTGGCTCTGTGATCTTACATTGACATGCTAATCTCTGATTTTACATTAACAGGTTAAATGTCTCACTAACGCAAGACGCCGTCGCTCGTGTAACTCAATGTGGCGGCGTCTCTGAGATATTACATTGACATGCTAATCTGTCACAATACAATGGCCACCTCCATGCCCTCGTCGTGGAGGTAGCTCTCCGGTCTAACATTGACATGCAAATTTCTCACTTTAACATCACTAGCCCCGCCCACTTCGTTTATTACCCTTGGGCTACACCCATTTCAAACCTTTAAAACAGCCTGATGACGATTGCTTGTGTTGCGATCGAAACGTCGTGATATTTGTATTTTTTTCATTTTTATTATTTTATTGTTATTATTTTTCTATCTAAGTGACTTTACCGAAATAATATGAATACCTGCAGTCACGAAAGCTTTAAGTGAAGATTTATTTGTGAGGAGGAAAATATTGGCCACTCAGTGACAGTTAAGAAAAATGCGGAATGTTGAAATTACCGTTCTTTTTTTAACCTAGTCAGCTATGCTTCAGTGACAAAAATCCCTGGCTTCCTCTAGGTCGACTCAGCCTTAATGAATACCTAGTGCAGTGTGACAGTGTCACCAATGGGGAGGCGAAGGCAGCTGGGCATGGTGCTGACCACACCACCTTTCCCATGTGTCGTGTTGGCCTTCATAAGTGCTTGCTAATGGACCTTGCCCCAACAGTCTGTTAAGGCTAGAGGCGATCTTTGCGTCTTTGTGTGCCTGCGTGCACATGTGTAAACAGTAACACCTCTTCAAGTCACGCTAACACACGCATGCATCTGTCAAATGGATCGGCGCCCGATTGGTCACCAAAGAGAAATTCCTGTGCTCCGACTCCTTGCATCTGCTCCGCTGCTTTCGCACGATGGAAGCGACACTAATTTATCACGAACTGGGTGAAACGCTTCTTACGCAGCATTGCCAACATGGAATAACCTGGGCCAGTTCATGCATTGCACCGTTGTGTTGAGAGTTCAAACCCATCGTGCAGTCAGCAGGGACACTTGCTGCAGCGTGTGGATGGGGATGCTATGCGTCCAAGCGTGCCCACACCTTGGCCAGGTCCAGCTGGCGGACTTTGCTGCTGATGTTCTCGGCCAGGTTGCAGGTGAAGTTGATCATTCCAGCGAGCTGAGAGGCATCCCCTTCAATCAGCTGCAGGTTTGGTCTGACAAATGGCAGCGTCAGAAGCATTGCATTGTCCGTAAACAACTGTCACATACACTATGCATTTGAAATGCTAATCTATATTTAAAGGTTATAAATGAGAGCGACACTCACCGCATGCGATGCAGAGAGCCCATTTTTGACTCCAATCCACTCTGCTTCTCCAGCAATGAGTCCAGTTCAGCTGTGACTTCTTCCTGCAGTCCATCGGCATAATACTCTTTAAACTAAAGCAATAAATTATGTTTTATATTACCAGGTAAGACCCACTGAGATATATAGCTATTTTTCAAAAGCGACCTGGCCACAACTGATAGATCAACGAAATGGCTTATCATGTGGAAACTCATAGCAGCCAAATAATTTAAATGCATGTTTCTAAATGTGGAGGGATAAACTGGAGGATCCGGAGAAAAATCCAGGCAGCCACGGGGAGAGAGACGTACAAACTCCAAACATATAGCAGCCATCAGGGTCGGGATCGAACCTATGACCTCCTGTATACCAAGCGAGGTAGTTTTGATCTTCTACTCATCGTGGCGCCCACTCGCCCAATGACACAATACACTCGCCCAATGAGGGCTCATTCCAACTCAATTTTGTGGTCTACAACCAACGACCTTGATGGTAGTTTTAAGCCACTGACCCAGGTGGTGGACAGGGCTGTTGAAGGGCAGAGTCAATGGGGAAGGGCAGGGGCAATGGGGAAGGGCAGAGTCAATGGGGAAGAGCAGAGTCAATGGCGAAGGGGATGCTGATCAAGGGTCGGTGCCATGCGTGTAGTCTTGTCACAGCATTGACTCCAGCCACGTTTGACGCGCCAAGTGCAGTGAGAGCAGTGAGAGCTTATCCTGAACTCAGCATGCACAACTCAAGTCTAAAAGCAGTCACCGCCGCTTGATAATTGCCACGAGTGGGTGCAATGCACGGCAGTGCGGGGTTGTGAGGCGTGCTCGTGCCAAGTGGAGTTTGGTGAGCATCGGGGGAGTGGTGACCGGCGAGTTGTGGTTTGGTGAGGGGCCGTGCTCGGTCTTCACACGAGAGGGCAATGGTTACCGTTTACCCGCGACAGTGGTTTGGGAGTAGTCTGTTTTCTCATTTGGATCACGGACGACGTCACGGAGTCTTTAACATCCACGGTTAGACAGCGGTCGGAGTTCTCCGGAGAGCGCGTATCTTGTGGTTAATAACGAATACAATTGTAACTGGTATGGGTCAAACCTCCCACCGCTAAAAATGAGCCTGCTAATTACTCCACTGGGATCACACGTCACAAGCAGCAACATCGCCCCCTACTGCGAACAACTCGGCAGGAGCCTCCTGAACAAGAGTCTTCAAGACTCGGCGGATATTTCCCGAGTAAACGAGTGAAATAATAACAACAATAACTATGTTGACGACGACAATGATGATACACCCGCCGCATTAACCGGGGCGGCCGGTCGGAACGGAACCGCGAATGTGAACGCTGCGAACGCGCGACCGCCGGGCTGGCCCCGCGTCAGCGCGCACCTCGTCGCGGCACAGGCGCTCGTAGTCGCGCTGCAGCTGCCCCAGCTCGGCCAGGCCGCGCATCGCCTCCCACGACACCGAGGAGGCGGGGGGCGAAGAGGTGAAGGCGGCCCGGTCGCGGTGCGACGTGGAAGCAGAGGCCGCCGCCATCGCGCTTCCCTGCGTGGTGACGTCACCGCGCAGGCCACGGAGCGTTTCCTCGTGCGCGATGACGTCACCACGCACGTGGGATCGACCCGCCCTCTATGGGCGTCATCGCGAAGCGCGGTGTGCTGGGAGGGATATAAAAGGGATCGCCACGTGGGGAGACGCTCTCTTTGCGACGGGGACACAGAGAGACACTGGGAGAGAGAGAGACACACTGGGAGAGAGAGAGAGACACACTGGGAGAGAGAGAGACACACTGGGAGAGAGAGACACTGGGAGAGAGAGAGACACTGGGAGAGAGAGAGACACTGGGAGAGAGAGACACTGGAAGAGAGAGACACTGGAAGAGAGAGACACTGGAAGAGAGAGACACTGGAAGAGAGAGACACTGGGGGAGAGAGAGACACTGGGAGGGAGAGACACACTGGAAGAGAGAGACACAGGGAGAGAGAGACACGAGGGGAGAGGAGCGACATGGGTACACAGGGAGAGACACGAGGAGAGAGAGACGAGGGGAGGGACATGGGGAGAGACATGGGTACACGCGGCCTGGATACGAGGGGCCACGAAGACTCTGAACGCGCGGGCGCCGTGGTGAGGTGAGAATCCCCCGTGGTCTGTGTGCTAGAGCGGGGCGCGGTATCGCGTGCGAGAGGCTCCCTTGTGGACCTCCCTTCACCGTGAGCTGGAGCTGCTGTCCGGAGTTGCTGAATCTTGTGTTCAGCACCCGGAGACCACCGCGCTAGGAGGCCGCGGCCCTACCGGCACGCAGTGCGGCCTACCCAGTAGATCCGCAATCTGATGCCCCCCCCCCCCGTCTCGACGAGACCTTCGGACGATTATTTTGTAAACAATTACCCAATAAGAACGAAACTTTAAATCCGTGTATCCCAAAACGGATTGTTTCAAATTCGGGAGGTTAAAAATGAAACTAGTGAATGCGCGTTATTGCCTTTCAAGCGCACGGCGGGGTAAGTCGGGTTATAAAAATGTTTTACAAAACCGCTAACCGCTTGAAAACCCCGCGACAAACCCGGTGGTTACCGATTTGCCGCGCAGCAATGCACGTGGGCAGTGGCGTGGTCTCGCGGTGGGCGCTGTGTAGTCGAGGGGAGATGGCAGCTCGACCCCCAGGCCGCTACACCATGGGTGCTACGGCAAGACAAATTCGCGTCCTCCGTCTCAAGGACGGTGGACGTTAAAGACTCCGTGACGTCGTTCTCGAGAGCGAGGCCATTGTGTGGCGGCGTCATGAACCACCACACCAGCCCAATTTTTAAAATGTACCCCCCAAAAAATGTTCGTGCATAGCAGCAACATGGCCCCTTCTGGGGAAACCTGGCAGGACCCTCCTGAAAAATATTCTTTAGATTCGGCGAGGCTTGCTTGGGGAAACGAGTGGAATTAAATATTGATAACTGGGAAGCGTGCAAATATATATACATACCACGTGGTAACGGAGACCACCGTGCCCGTCTGTTACCAATGGGTGCATGAATGACGACTTCATTCCACTGGAATCCATTGTCGTTTTAAGGACCCAAGGTGGTGAAGGTGGTGAATAATGACTAGCCGTATCGGTTTCAACACATTTACAGAGGCAACACTTCCTATGAGGCTCCAGGTTTTGGGCGACGCTTTTATCACCTTTCTCAGTTTTCCCTACGGAAATTCCCGGATATAATCGCTTGGTGTAACGACGTGGTATTCGCGTGATTATCTAACGTGGGCTCGTCATTCCCAGAGTCGCCGCGCGAGGCTTAGAGTCATGTGTTAGGGTTCGCGTCTCCTCCACATGCTAAAGCACTCGCAGAAAAATCTGCGCGCCTTTATTCACTGGCTGTCTCTGTTGTGAGTCTTCCGGTCACCGGGCTTGCTACATACACTAAACTAAAGCGACACTTTTTATTTGACCACGTAAGGCCCACTGGAGCTGTGTAGATAATTTTCAGAAGCGACCTCGTCACGAGTGATGGCTCAACAAAGTGGCTGATGTGTAAATTTATAGCAGCCTAAACGCGTGTTTCTAAGTTTGTTCGTGTTTCTAAATGTGGAGGGAAACCCCGTAGGACCAAACGACCACGGGGAGAGAAGACGCAGACTCTAAACATACAGCAGGCGTCAGGGTCGAACCCACGACCTGCATATCAGGCGAGGTAGTTTACATTAAAGGGTTTGGCAGGGTGCTGGCCACACTCGTGCCTCGCAACAAAGTTTGCCGCGTTAAATTCCGGACTCGGGCACTTTTATTAGTGCAGTTTGTATTCTTACTCCACTCCAGTTTCCTCCAATAGCTAAAAAGCTTGATTCTGATAAATAACCGGCAAATTGCTCTATCGATGACACATTGCAATTAATTTACTGGACATATGTGAAAATACTGGACGGTGAAAAATAGCTTCATAGCTCATCGGATAAACATCGCTCCAAGCGTGAAAACTTGGCAAGGACCTTCCTGACAAAGTCTTGAGACTTCGCGGCTTTCCTGAACAAGCGTCGTCGTCGGCGTGTGGTGGTGGAGTGTAATGTGTGGCCTGTCCGTGTTGCCGGTGTGTGGTTGACCCTCCTGCCTGTCCACAGTTGCCACGCTATAATAAACAAGTCGTTGGCGCTGCTGTGAGATGGTGCAGCCCGGGACCTGGCGCCGCCTGCGCGTGCGGAGACCCCAGCAGGTGAGCGGCGCCCGGCACCGGGGCTTTAACGCAGTCGATGGACTGCTTCGACGGCATTGCCTATAGTGCAGATATTAGCCAATCAAAATAAGGCGAGCGTGTAGCACGATGCTACACTAACCAATGGGATCACTCGATCCATGGATCTATTGGCACTGGATCTACACCGATGAATTCACAAAGTACGATCCACTTTGAGCTGGCTTGCCGGATCGACTGAACAAAATCTATACAATTAACCACGATTCACCGGACCGTATATGGGCAAAGACACGCCCCTTCAGGCAACACCACGCCAACTTTTATGGGCAGATCTGATCGCTGATTTCGTCGGGTGTCCGATTTTATAGAATTTTGCAGCACCGAGCCAAGGGCTGCCCTTGCATGATGAGCTGATATGCATTTAGTGTTTCACATGATTGCCTGTGATTATTTGTTGCGTCTGAGCAAGGGCAGATGCAGGATCACCAGCGGGTGCGTTTGCCTGTGCACTGCTGACGTTCCCTTGTACTTTCAGGACGTGAACCCTCGGCCATGTTTCTCCGTTCCTCATCGGCGTCTGGGTATGCCGATTCCTTGTTCCCAGACGGTAAGAGACTTTGTTTACGTACGGTATGCAGCCACTGTCCCTTAATAAGCTCATAATGGTTGGCCTCCAGTTTTGTGGCTTTCTGTGCTCTGCTATGGATAAGTGGTCGAATGGGTGTCCGTTTGGTAACTGACCTGAGGTTCATTAACTTTATACTTGTGAATGCGATGGTGGGTCTTCTGATAGAGCAATACTCGTGTAATGCTTGTTTCCAGAATGCATTTCTCATTATTTGGCACTTCATGTGTTTTTGCTCTATCAATACAGATGGAGCGCATGCTTGTTATGCCAAAATTCTCCTGCATGGACTGCAACCAGCAGAAAGTGTGCACACATGATGGTATTGGAAGCCTGACCACATTCTGCGTGTTTCTCATGTGCAGGCACGTGGTCCTCTTGTCAGGAGGCTGCTTGAATGCACGTTGCTGTGAAAACTCTGCTTGGCCATTGAGTTGGAGGTGAGCAAACTTGGAGGTTCGCAGCAATGCACGTGGACAGTGGCGTGGTCTCGCGGTGGATGCTTTGTAGTCGAGGGGAGATGGCAGTTCGACCCCAGAGGGCGCTACACCATGGGTGCTTACACCATGGGTGTAACGGCAAAACAATTTAGCGTCCGTCTCAAGGACGGTGGACGTTAAAGACTCCGTGACGTCGTTCTCGAGCGAGGCCATTGTGTGGTGGCGTCATGAACCACCACACCTGCCCAATTAAAAAAATGTCCCCCCAAAAAATGTTCGTGCATAGCAGCAACATGGCCCCTTCTGGGGAAACCTGGCAGGACCCTCCTGAAAAATATTCTTGAGATTTGGCGAGGCTTGCTTGGGGAAACGAGTGGAATTAAATATTGATAACTGGGAAGCGTGCAAATATATATACATACCACGTGGTAACGGAGACCACCATACCCGTCTGTTGCCAATGGGTGCATGAATGATGATTTCATTCCACTGGAATCCATTTTTGTTTTAAGGACCCAAGGTGGTGAATAATGACTATAGCCGTATCGGTTTCAACACATTTACAGAGGCAACACTTCCTGTGAGGCTCCAGGTTTTGGGCGACGCTTTTATCACCTTAGTTTTCCGTACGGAAATTCCCGGATATAATCACTTGCTGTAACGTGGTATTCGCGTGATGCGTGATTATCTAACGTGGGCTCGTCATTCCCAGAGTTGTCACGCGAGGCTTAGAGTCATGTGTTGGGGTTCGCGTCTCCTCCACATGCTAAAGCACTCGCAGAAAAATCTGCGCGCCTTTATTCACTGGCTGGCTCTGTTGTGAGTCTTCCGGTCACCGGGCTTGCTACATACACTAAACTAAAACGACACTTTTTATTTGACCAGGTAAGGCCCACTGGAGCTGTGTAGATAATTTTCAGAAGCGACCTCGTCACGAGTGATGGCTCAACAAAGTGGCTGATGTGTAAATTTATAGCAGCCTAAACGCGTGTTTCTAAGTTTATTCGTGTTTCTAAATGTGGAGGGAAACCCCGTAGGACCAAACGACCACGGGGAGAGAGACGCAGACTCTAAACATACAGCAGGTGTCAGGGTCGAACCCACGACCTGCATATCAGGCGAGGTAGTTTACATTAAAGGGTTTGGCAGGGTGCTGGCCACACTCGTGCCTCGCAACAAAGTTGGCCGCGTTAAATTCCGGACTCGGGCACTTTTATTAGTGCAGTTTGTATTCTTACTCCACTCCAGTTTCCTCCAATAGCTAAAAAGCTTGATTCTGATAAATAACCAGCAAATTGCTCTATCGATGACACATTGCAATTAATTTACTGGACATCTGTGAAAATACTGGACAGTGAAAAATAGCTTCATAGCTCATCGGATAAACATCGCTCCAAGCGTGAAAACTTGGCAAGGACCTTCCTGACAAAGTCTTGAGACTACGCGGCTTTCCTGAACAAGCGTCATCGTCTGCGTGTGGTGGTGGACTAATGTGTGGCCTGTCCCTCTTGCCGGTGTGTGGTTGACCCTCCTGCCTGTCCACAGTTGCCACGCTATAATAAACAAGTCGTTGGCGCTGCTGCTGTGAAATGGTGCAGGGCGGCACCTGGCGTTGCCTGCACGCGCGGAGACCCCCAGCAGGTGAGCAGCGCCCTGCAGTAGCGCAGAGCCAAGGGCTGCCCTTGCATGATGAGCTGATATGCATTCCGTGTTTCACATGATTGCCTGTGATTACTTGTTGCTTCTGAGCAAGGGTAGATGCAGGATCCCGTGGTTGCGTTTTCCTGTGCACAGCTGATGTTGTTCCCTTGTATTTTCAGGGTGTGAAACATCGGTCACTTTCCTCCATTCCCCATCGGCATCTGGGTACACGGAGCCCTTGTTCCCAGACGGTGAGAGACTCGCCGACACTTGGCCAGTCTACACGTGCTCTCTTTAATAAACACGTTGCATTTTTCAGCTCTTTTACTTCCTCCTATCCAGCTCTTGCTGGTAGCTTATCTCGACAGGTGTTCCTCTTGCTGCTTGAAGCCATAGCAGCAGGATTTAGTTCTGTCGGAGAGCAAAACGGCTTGATTCACTCTAGATGCCCGCCAGGCGGTTGTGCTGCCCCTCCACGGCATTTGGAAGTTTGCGAAGTCTGACAACTTGACCATTGAAAACGAGCTGTGCAGAGGATGGGCACAGAGTAACTAAATGTAGTACGGCATGTGTACGTTATGGCGCGAATACCCCCCACACTCGAATTGGGTTTGCTTTACCGGTTAGTGTGCTGTCGCAATGCATGGAGATGTGTGGGGTGCCACAGTGGTGATGTTAACTCCCTCACCTGGTATACAGGTCGTGGATTTAGAGTTTCACGACTATACATTTCCATACTCTTTGGTTCTTTCGGTAAAGTCGCGTATGTATAAAATAAATCGCGACGTTTTGGGGCGCAACACAAGCGTCTGTCATCAGGTTTTCCAAGCATGATCTGCTGCTGAGGCAGACTGTTTCCACACAAATAAGCCACTTTGTTAGGCTATTATTTGTGGCCTGGTTGCTTCTGAAAAAGTTATAGTAAAATAAAAAAATAGTTTAGTGTGACGAATACAATTTGGAATGAGACCGGCATTGGAGTAGACTCTCCTGTGTGCGTGGGGGGGGGCATTAACATCTTTGGCGACGGATGGTGTCTTGATCTTGACACCTGCCGAATCGTTTAACACTTGATCGTGGCAATGTCTCCTTTGCATTGTTTCTAGGTGTGCCTGCGGTTGGCTGCATTTCACCCGGGCGTGGTTGCTGTGATTGGAGGTGCTGTGTACATCTGGCGGAACACAATTGTTTCGTTTGTGCAACAAGATGCTTCAATTATTTCTTGCTCAAATGAGCATTGGGGTAGTGCTGTTTACAGCTGAGCCAGTTATGGAAATTCCACATTCATATGGCAGGGGTGAGTATCTACAGGACAATAAGTAGTACTTTTATTAACCCTGGAAGGATGATTGCTAAGTCAACCCCCAACCAGGATTTGAACCTGCAAACTTGAGCTGATGGCTGTTGCTTAGCCACCTGGCTGGATGTTTACATTAACACTCGGGAATTGACTAAACATTCCTCTGTAGGAGATTTCTATCTGCAAATGCTAAGTAGGTGCTTATTTCTATTTTTCTCAAATGGTATATATATTTTAACATGTAAAGCAGCTGTGATTGTATTCTACTTGCTGTGAACTTGACATGGAATTCAATGTTGTGGTAATATTTAAATAAATATTTCCCTTGACTCGTGGATTGATTTGTGTCGTTGCAATCCCGGACGCAGTGTCGACAGCCAATTTTGGGGGAAAGGGAGAGCAGTGATTGTGCCTCGGAAAGAAGAACGGCCTGGGTTTAACTTTAGGCTGGTGCCTTTCTGTGCAGATGAATACGTTGTCCCTGGTTTGCATGGGTTCCCTCCCATAGCTAAAACTGCATGTACAATCTCTTAGGTATTGGACAATCATGTAAATGATGAAACAACTGCAATTTACTCAATTAGCGTTCCCAATGCAATCATGACTGGACTCGCATGAAAAAGTTGAGGTTCAGCCAGGCTTTCATGGGTAAGCAAGCAGCCAGCAACAGGCGGGTATGGCCTAATGTTCTACGACTGGGCAGAGTGGTGGACCCAAAGGTTTATCTCCAGGAGAACACATGGGCATGAGCTGCTTTATTAAGGAAAGCCTAACGACTTTTGATTGCTGTGCCTGAGCCTCTAGGCACGTTATCACATTTTCAAAAGGGGAGGGGGGCTCATTTGTGTAAATAAGTGAGGGCTGCCACACTTCACACCATTGAGTTTTCACATGTATTGGTTGGGGGTGGCCTGTGGGGTCTTGGTGATGAACACTGCTCTAATCTGAAAACGCGTGGTGTCACTTTCAATGGCACTGGGGAAGTTCTGAAAGAAATTAGATCGAGGGCATCCCATTGGCCCTGTGGTGCATGTATCCACGATTGTGGGAAATAAGTCTTGGAAACCCAACTCGGCATGTGAACATGGATTTAATATTGATTCACTACTCACCACAGACTTAGCCATACTTTACCATGAATAAGAGTCCTTATGCCTGGCTTTTAGTTAATAAAATATGGTGGGCTTCAAAAGCCACAGCTTTAACAAACATCCCATCACAGTGCCTCGTGAATTTTACGACTTCCAATAATCCGTGTACTCGCTTCTTGGAGATTTCAGCCCTGGAGAAATCCAAGAAATCTCGTAAAATTTGGAATTGCAGGATGAGTCGCTGCGAACAGTAAGGGCACTGCAGATTTTAGAATTGGATTACTAGGAGCATGGATTTGCAGGTTTCTTAATTTCCAATTATTTGACGGTGTTGCATGTATTGCAAAATTTAAACTTGCACAAGAAAACTAAAGATATAAGCAGTCACAAGCAACGGGTTTAGTTTGACTCAATGTGCAGGGCCAGTAAACGGACAATTGGGGGGGCATGGAGATCTAGGGCCAGATGACAACGCTTGTAACACCTGCTAGCTTGTGGCTGGCAAGGTTTGATGTGAGAAAACGTTAAAGAAATTCCAAGTTAACACGTAGTGAGACGGCAACATCGTTGCTTACTATTCACATCGTTTCCTTAATTATGGATTGACTTTTTTTTGCCTTCGACAATCGGCGCAAAGGTTATAAGGACTGTTCATAAGTCCTCCGCTAACTCCCTTACTGACTCGAGAATTACGCCAAGCACTGGCGGACTCCCCTTTCCCGGGTTGCGGAAGTCGTTCTGTAATTGGGCCCAGGTCAGGTGGCGTGAGGGGCCGGAGTCGCCCCAGTCTTCTGCACATCACTCTTCGCTGGGACGCACTACCTGCAGTACATCCGATACCGACGGCGATACTCGGCATGAAATCCAGTCGCCGTCAATAAACAATGATAGCGCATGCCGTGCAATCGGGGCCGTTACTGGGAGCAAGCCGAGTTGTGGTGCAACACAATAATTATCGGTGTCGTGGAACATAACAAAAACAGACGACGTGGCCTTGTCATCTGGTGCAGTGTAAAAATAAGTATAAAGTATTTAAATCTTTTTTATTTTACCAGGTAAGGCCCACTGAGCTATTGTAGATCTTTTTCAGAAGCAACCTGGCCACATAACTCAAAGTAGTGGCTTATCACGTGTAAATTTATAGCAGCCAATACTAAACTTTTTTACAGATCCCATCAGCCACGTGGCCTGGAGATGCACAATTTCAGCAGCATTAGTTCAACGCAAGTAAACTTTGGACCAGCTTCTCATCAGCAGGCTTGCTGGTGAACTGCCATTATAGGCAAGGACACTCTACATTAGATATGGGTCTGAATATTATAAAGCAAGCCATTACTGGTGATGAGACAGAATATTGAAAGCCGTGCAGGTGATGGGAAGTGTAACAAGACTTTTAGTTTACGAATGTGAACTTTATCCGGACGTTGGACCAGAATTGAATGGTGGCACAAATGAAAAGTGGTCGAGGAGCTGACAACCGCGTTGGAGCGCTGAGACGCCGCTGCACACAACTGGGTTCGAACCCAGAAAGCCACCGGGGAGGTTACTGGGTGTTTCACAGTGAGCAAGTTGATGGGTTCACCCTGGCTTCCAATGATGGCACAACACTCATTGTCCAATTGGGTTTCCCTGAACGTGACTGCCTCCAGAGGACTAAACAAAGCCACTGAAGTTGATCTCGTCACGGAACCCTCTGGGGTGAAGCCAATACATGGCTGATGCCGACTGGGCACCACGATGGTGAGATGTTAACTGCCTCGCCTGGTATACAGGAGGTCGTGGGTTTGATCCCGACAGTGACGCCTTTATATTTGGAATCGGCTTTTACCCTTTCTAAAACAGGTGTTAAGATTATCAAACGCCAGATAGATACCTTTTCCAAGGCATGAACTCTGCATTTCTCACACATGTGGCAAAATATGCAAAAAGCTCTGATAATATATGGCATTGTCTTTGAAACTGATTGGCCTACACCAAAGACAGACTACTTTAAAGCCTTGTCTCACCAGTGGTAGACCAGAGAACGCCAAAAGGCGAACAGTGCAAAGACAAAGCAAGTATCGGAACACAAATAGCTCGGGTCGAGAAGTTATATCTATGATATACATTTTTCCCAGCATCCAAAATTATGAAAAAGAAGTATATATGTTTTACCCTTTCTGGCAATAAAACAGGTATTCAGGTATCTATTTGGCGTTTGAACATATTACCTGTTTTATTGCCAGAAAGTGTAAACCTATTCTTATTCTTCATAATTTTTGATACTGGAAAAAAGGTCCCATAGATATGTATATTTGGAGTTTGCGTGTCTCACCGTGGTCGCGTAAATTTTTCCCCAGGTCCTCTGGTTTGTCCCTCCACATTTAGAATCAACATACATTTAGAGTATTTCGCAGCTATAAATTTCCGCACGATAAACCACTTTTCTGAGCTGTCATTTGTGACCATGTCGCTTCTGAAAAATAGCTGTTTGGCTCAGTAGGCCTTACCTGGTAAAATAATAGTTTAGTTAAAATTAAGTTTAGACTCGTCTCCTGTTCAAGACCTTCAAGGGCCACATTCTTCATGTCTAACTTAACTTTACTATGAATAGTTTATAAACGTCGTTTGAGCAAACCTTTGTTTCAGGAAATGTGTTTTATTTAATATGATGTCTCGGCACCGTTTTCGTTTTCTTCTGTGACGCGGGTGTTCGTGCTCCGATTTCTATCTGGTGTTTTTTTCTGAAGGTCTCTGCTTCACAGTTGTACGCTGTTCTGTGTGCTTCCTTTTGCCATTAAGTTGACCCAAGTGCGTCGTGTCGCAAACGAGACTCTTGCTAGTCTCTCGAGCTCTCAACTCGTTCAAACGAAATAAACCAAACTCCTCTGGCCCAGGTGGCACAGGCCTCACCGTGAGAGCTTCGATTGGGGTAATGGCACAATGCCGACAGCCACCATCAAAGATTACCAAGAGGTGGCGACTGGTGAGATGTGCAGTTGCAGCACGCCCTCTCACCCAAACAGATTGTCCGCTAAGACTTCCTCCTGGGTTCTTTGACTCTCCTACACAAGGCGACATGACAGAAAATCATGGGGCACACCAAGCGGAATGCACAAACGTACGATAACGCTGCACACTTCCCCATGACATATTAAACCATCTGGTGATCGTGCTGCTGCTGCTTTGGCAGCGGTGCAGTTAACAAAAAAACTCAACACATTCGTCAATTGCAACACTGTGGTCTTACAAAAAAAAACTAACAGACTACGCTTTGGGTAACGACCCTTCACAGCCCAAACTGCCACTCTGGTCTCTCTGTCCACTGTGCAAAATAAGCGCCATGACAAGACACATCACCGATTGGATAGTTTTCCTTTTTAAGGCCACAGTGTTGTTATTGACAAATGTGCCATGTTCCCCACATCATCACGTCCCCCACTGCACCCACATCCCCCACTGCACCGTATCCCCCACATCACTGCATCCCCCGTGTCTGCCCCTCCCGTCACCTCTATCCAGGCGTGGTCGTCGGACTCCTCCTCGTGGTGGTACAAATCGGAGAAGGCGATGACGACGCGAGGCAGGGTGGACGTGACGCCGCGGGCGGCCTGCACGCCGCACGATCAACCGCGCTCCCTCACGTTACCGACGATGATGATGCCGTGGCGGCAGGGTGTTCACCTCTTGTTTCAGAGGTTCGTGGTTCAAATCCAACGGTTCACCCTGGTTACTACTGCGGGCGCTGTAAAATACCCCGCACGGGCTGCTTCGGGGTGGACCTTCGCGATCTCGTGGTTTCTACGGAAAGCGTGGCCTGCTGCATGTTGGTGTCGTGGTGCAAAATTACGTGCTCATGACTCAATTGGGATTGCACAAGGCAACACCACCCTCGACTGTGTAGCGGCCGCAGACTGTCTGTGAAACACAGCAGCCGGCGCCTTCCCTCGTGTTCATTTTACTACAAGGTCTGATCGTGTCCGTCCGGTGATGGCCGGTTGCCGAACTAATACATTATAAGTTCGCACTCATTCCACACAAAGTGCTTGCCACAAATGAACCACAATACCTTGCTGATCTCATGAAGGAACAAACTATTAGCACGCGAACCCCAGTCATCCTCACAGCAGCTTTTGGCTAACCATCGAACAATGACGGTCACTGCATTGTGCATTTTCAGATGTGCTTCTGCGGCCGTCTGGAACATTTTTCCTTCAAATATTAGGAAGCCACTCGTGTTCTCTCACCAAGGCGAGAGAACACGAGACCTCGAAATTTACAACAGACATGGATCCCCTGGGTCTGGGATAAAACTCATGCGCTCCTGCGCACCAGGCAAGGGAGATAACATTTCCTTGCCACCGTGACACCTGTACGTTTGGACGCGGGCGTGCGACGAACTCCACCCGTCCCACACCGGAGGCAGCCTGGCTCCTTCAGGCGCACTCACCTTCCTGAATGTCTTGAAGTTCCTGCGGAGGGTGCCGCTGAGCAGCGTGGGGGTGTCCGGGAGCCCCGCGTGGGAGGAGGCGGTGGGTCTAGCCAGCACCAGGGAGCGGAACTCACACAGCAGCAGCGCCGTGGGGGCAGTCACATCCTCCGGGTCCCCGGCCTCGAGCGACGCACACAGCAACACCACCACCATCAGCAACGCCACCAGCAACACCGCCACCAGCAACACCACCACCATCAGCAACACCACCATCAGCAACGCCACCAGCAACGCCGCCACCAGCAACACCACCACCATCAGCAACACCACCACCATCAGCAACGCCATCAGCAACGCCACCAGCAACGCCGCCACCAGCAACACCGCCACCAGCAACGCCGCCACCAGCAACGCCGCCACCAGCAACACCGCCACCAGCAACATCACCACCATCAGCAACGCCACCAGCAACGCCGCCACCAGCAACGCCACCAGCAACACCGCCACCAGCAAAACCGCCAGCAACACCGCCAGCAGCAAAACTACTACCAGAAATACCAATTCGCCTTGCATTTCTATCCCGCCACATAAAACGTGATTTTCTTTACACATTCCATCGGTCATACGAATTTCTGCGAGTGCATCATTTCAGCAACATTGGCTCAAGACAAAAAAAAATCTGGAGCGATTTCGACATTCAGTGTCTCATCAGCAGCCAGGCTTGTTTGAACCAATGCTGTTTAACTGCCGGATGTTTATAGGCAAGGAATCTCTCTGCTGGACGTGGGTCTGAGTTTGACGCAAGACCCTACAGCACACACCTACGATTATGCACGGTGCGAAAGAAGTTCAACATACGTACACACACAACGCAGATTAACCACGGAGGTCTCCTTGAGAGTGGAGCGGCCATAGAGGAGTGCGGAGGTATCTCACCACCACGGGCTCCTGCTTCACAGGCGGGGAGTCCGCGTATCTCCTCCGCTTTGCGCTTGGGCCGCCAGCTCCCTCTTGCGTCTCCCCCTCCTCGGTCGGCTCCTCCATAGCAAACTCCTCAAAGCCCTTCTTCTTCTTCGTCGTCGTCTGCGTGTGACTCTGTTCCGACTGTGAACGCAAATCGGCTGTCAGGTGGGTGACCCTGCAGAGAGTCAGAGGCTCCCTGCTGAGTCAGAGGGTCCCCGCACCATTGAACAACATGGCAGCACCCATCTCCACCGCGAGTCCTGAGCCAGGGGTGGCAACATGTTAACTACCTCGCCGTGTATACAGGAGGTTGTGGGTTCGATCCCGACCCTGAAGCCGGTATATTTTGGAGTTTACATGTTCTTCCCGTGGTCGTGTGGATTTTTCTCCAGGTCCTCCAGTCATTCCCTCCACATTTAGAATCAACATGTGTTTAAGAGTATGTGGCTGCTATACATTTCCACGCAATAAGCCAATTAATTGAGCTATACTCTTTGGTTCTATTCGGTAAAGTCACGTAAAAAACAACAAAAAATAAAAAATTCACGACGTTTTGGCCACAACACAAGTGGCCTTCATCAGGTGAAGGGACCGTGCTGTCATGAGGACAGCGTTGGAGTGAAAACAGCCAAGCCCAGGTCGCGTCCTTTAAGCTGTGTGGGAGGAAGCAAAACGCTTGACAAAGGAATTAGTATAGAAATGAGCACGATATACGTAGGAGGTGTATGGGCCATGATGGACCAGGAGCGGGTGGGGACCATGACGGACCAGCAGCAGGGGGGGGGGGGGGGAGTAGAGTGAGTGAGTGGAGTGAGTGAGTGGAGTGAGTGAGTGGAGTGAGTGGAGTTAGTGAGTGGAGTGAGTGGAGTGGAATGAGTGGAGTGAGTGAAGGGACCAGACTGTCCAGAGGACAGCGCTGGAGTGCACACAGACAAGCTCAGACCGCGACCTCTAAGCTGTGTGAGAGGAAACAGAGCGCCCTGACAAAGGAATTAGCATAAAAACTAGCATTTCATTGGCGGACTTAGAATTAAGGACGATGTGCTGGGGGGGAGCATTCACTCCAACGCTGTCCTCATGACAGCACGGTCCCTTCACCTGATGAAGGCCACTTGTGTTGTGGCCGAAACGTGGTGAATGTTTTATTTTTATTTTTTGCTGTTTTTTACGTGACTTTACCGAATAGAACCAAAGAGTATGGATCCTTGCAGTCACGAAAGCTTTAAATCTAGAATTATTTGAGCTATCATTTGTGGCCAAGTCGCTTTTGAATTAAGAGCTATATAAGTTAGTAGGCCTTACCTTTAAAACTAAAAATAGTTTAGTTTTAGTTTCATTCCCATGGCAGAGGCCGGTTTCTGCATTGGACAACTTGAGATGAAGCTGAGATGAGGTGTGCACTGATGAGCGTTGCCCTGGCATATTTTTTTATGGACGATAGTTACTTGAGTGTCCTACACCGTGACGTTGCTTCATCATTGAAGACGTACACTTACTGAAAAATCAACAACAAAAGAAAATGTAACACGCTGCACAGTTTCTGGAAGCAGCAGGAAGGCAGCCAGCATCTGTGCCAACAGTTGCCCAAGATCTGTGGTCCTATATTGGGATGTTTGCCCAACTCCATGCCCGAGAGTTCACGCACGTGGGAGGAAACCGGAGAACCCGGAGTAAACCCAAGCGTGCTAGATGGGTAACACTTACTCGCTGTACAGATGTAATTCAACCCGCTAGTTGTACTGCCAGCATATCCTGGTCATAAGCCAGGAGCTGGAGACCTCGAGGCCCAGGGTAGGCTGGAAGTTTCACGAGCTCGTGCGTGTTTCACGAGCCCATTTGTTTCACGAGCCCGTGTGTGTGTGATCCGCCAACGCTCCCTGCTGCCTCCGCAGTGCACGGGCCAAGGGCAGCACGGCCACGGGGAGGCCTTGGCAGGGCCCGTGTGGAGCCGCACGCACTCGGGGCCCAGGGGCCATGGAGCACAGCGAGCGTGCGTCTCACGCTCAGCAACTACACCAGCACCGTGAGCTGCGTGGCACAGAGAGGTGCTAGCGCACCGTGAGACTCTGGCACACAGTGAAGTGCTGGCGCAGAGCGAGACGCTGGTGCACTGGGATGCCGCGGGAACTCTTCCACCCACGCCCCGAGCACCGGCCTCACCGGTGCCGGCACGCCTTCCGCGTTTCCTCCCCGCGCACCAAGCTCGCCCGCTGGGGTCCTGGGTGTCCCCGCAGTCGTCTTTGGGGGAGCCGGCTGATGTGAGTCCTCCCCTCTTGTTCCGTTGTCTACACAAAGGCACGTGGTATGATCCTTATATTCGTGCTGGGCAGCTCCACCTTGAAGCACAAAATAATCATCGGCGTGCTTCTGCAGAACACAAGCGACTAAATGAATAAGGAGATGTACGATACGCCTCCTTCGTATTTGTCTTCACGTCATTTTTTTACACATCCCATCAGCCACATGACCTTCTGGGAATACATAATTGCAGTAGCATAGGTTCAAGCAGAGCAAACTCTAGACCGGTTTAGACATTCAGCGTCTCAACAGCACAACCAGGCTTCCTTTTAACTAAAGCTGCTGTGAAATTAGGCACTACCAGAGGAGGCCGCGTGGCTGATGGGATGCGTAAAAGGCACGTCTGTTTTACATAGAGGGAGAGACAGGGGAAGGAGGCGAATTGTCAGCCCCGCTTCCACGCGGAGCACAGCGCAAGAATGTCGGCCAAGAACGGCCGGGCGTGGAGAGGAGGGGGAAAGGGAGCGTGCCGCACGGCAGGCGTGCTACTGGGTACGGCTGTGTGGGCAGGCTGCAGGTGGGGAGCGCACGCACAGTGAGGCGCCCGTGGCAGGAGTACTACCTGGGTATGGCTGTGTGGGCAGGCTGCAGGTGCGGGAAGTGCGATCCCCGGACTCCGGCCATATCAGGGTGGGGGGCTGCTCCGCTGCTCTCGACACCTTGGGGGGCACCGGGGAGCCCTCGTCGTCGGTGCCGGCGTGGCGAGCTCTGCGCGAGACCGCGACGGCGGCACAAACCTGAGCCAGCCGCCCTGCCCAACACGATTCTATGCCGCCATCGTACATACGTGTGCACGTTGAACTTCTTTCGCACCGTACGTAGCCAACCGTGCTAATTGAAGGTGCCTCAATGACTCACCTGCTGCTTGGGGCCAGTGGTGGAAATTACATATTCCTATGGCTGGGGCAAGTTTGTCCACAGGACACGTGCTGTTGAGTTGCCCACAAAGTGGTGCTCATTTTATTGGCCCCAAAGGTATTTATTATTCGTACACTTATTTACACAGGGGAGCCTCGCTGAGTCTCAAGACTCTTGTTCAGGAAGGTCCTGGCACGTTTTCTCAGTAGTGGGCGATGTTGTTGCGGTGTGTGATCCCAATTGAGTAATTTTCAAGTAATTTTTAAGCACTGGGACGTCTGGCCAATACCGTTTACATTGTACGTTTTTGTAGCTATGCGAGGAAACCGGATAACCTGGAGGAAACCTAGACAGAACGGGGGAGAGAACATACAAACTCCACGCAGAAAGGTGCCCGAGTCGGGAATCTAACCCAGGGGCTTCGTGTTAGGAGCCACGGGCGGTACCACGGCGCCACGTAGCGCAATGCCGCAGCTCAGTGGCCCCCTCTGTGCGTCACCTCTTTCTAGACGATGGCTGGAAGTAGCTGGTGATCGTGGCCTTGGCGTGAGCGGCAGGCTTCCGTGCAGAGTCGGTGCTGTCACACGGCCCTCTGGGCTGGCTCTTCGTGGACAAGGAGGAGCCGTCCGCAGCCTCCTCCACGTCGTCTCGGAGGACCGCGGCGGCGGTCGCTCCCGTGGTGCCTACCTGCACACGGCACGAACCGTCACAGCACCACGGGCGGTGCGGCCATGCGAGTGACGAGCCACTTCTCTACGGGGGAGCCGCCCCTCTACGAGGGAGCCGCCCCTGTACGAGGGGGCCGCTCAAGGAGTGGCAGGGTGGTGGAACAGCGTCAATTCCCGACTCAGGAGCCATTCAGTGTGGAGTTTGTGTGCTCTCTCTCCCCCTGTTCTGCGTGGGTGTTCCTCCAGGTTCTCCGGTTTACTACCATTAATATTACTGAGCTTGTTTATTGCCAAATTTTCGCAGTAAGGCACAATGTTCTTGTCTAATCCAAATGAAGTAATGTGCAGTGTAATTTTCAGCTTTTGGGAAGTTTGGACAACACTAGTTACATTGTTTTTTTAGTTATGGGAGAAAACCAGTGAACATACACACACAGAACTTTGAGATCTTGTCAGAGATTCACTCGTGGCTCTGGTAGAGGTGACGGCACGGAGTGATGTCATGGGCTAAAGTGACCTCTTCACACGTTGTATGCATGTTGAACTTCTTTCGCACTGTATGTAGCCAACCGTGCTAATCGGAGGTGTGATATGCATTGTTTGGTGCTGGGAGACTCACCCTGACTTCTGGTCGTCCCGGGTCCCGGCTCATGCTGGTGGCCTCCGTGGGAATGAGCGACCTCTTATCCAGGGTCTCATCCACCCGCTGTGACTGGGAGCCGCTCGCCGACATCACATGACAGCTATTTGCATCGGACACAAACAGGAGATAAGCCGAGTGGAAACGTCATTCACGCATGCCCGGCGATGTTCGGTGACATCAGAGTGTGGTGTTTTTAGCAAGCATCATCAGCTATGACCGGTCTTCGGTTGGGCGGCAGGATGGCACAGCTAGAATGGCCTGGGTCTGACTCGGGCGACTTTCTGTGCACGGTTTGCACGTTCTGCCCCTGCTCTACAAGGGTTTCAATCACACAATGTAACCAGTATTGGCCAAACATCCCAATACTGAGCAATTACCTGCAAATTACTCAATTGGGATCACACAGCAGCGGTGGCAGCGGTGGCAGCGGTGGCAGCGGCGGACAGCAGCAGCATCGCCATGGGGGCTCCCGCAGCCCGGGGGGGAGCAACGTGCCCAGTGCTGCATCAAGGTTATTGAACGACTACTAGAACGGTAAATGAGTTATGAGCATTTTCTCAATTGAATGCAAAACCTAATCATTGCCCTTGTTTGTTTCTATATAACTGAAGTGTTGCATATTATTTGTGTATGCTTTGGAGGGCCATGAACTAAAATTGTTTTTACCAGGTAAGGCCCACTGAGCTATATAGTTATTTTTCAGAAGTGACCTGGCTACAAACTACAGCGCAACGAAGTGGCTTGTCATGTGAACGTTTCTAGCAGCCACATTTTCTAAACGCCTGATGCTGATTCTAAATGTGGAGGGAAACAACTGGAGGACCCGGACAAAAATACACGCGACCACGGGAAGAACATGCAAACTCTAAATATACAGGCGTCAGGATCGGGATCAAACCCACAACCTCTTGTATACCAGATGGGGTTGTGATATCTCGCCACCACGGCGCCCCTACTCGAGCGAGTGTGGGAGAGTGTTCCCTGTCAAAGCATCTCCGTGTGCGAGCGAGGACGTGAGGGTTGTGGTAAAGCGCGTGAGAGAGAGACGGCGGCGGCGGCGGTGGACGCACCGGGCCAGGATCAACGAGGCCTGCGTGTCAGCGGCGTACAGCGTGGAGTCGGGTGCCACGCCCTCGCTGGGCTCAAGCGCCAGGTTCTGCGACAGCGTTGCCCCAGCCAGGTTCTGCGACAGCATTGCCCCAGCGAGGTTCGTGTTCACACAGCTCACCTCGTCTGCCGGGAGACGTGGGGCGGTCAGAGGAGAAGCTCAGGCTGCGAAACTCGCTAAAAACCGACATGCAGATGCTGACACGCAACAAGTTAAACCCGGACAGCCTCTTAGAAACGTCCTGCTCTCGTGAAGCAAGGGAGATGTCCAGCGTGTAATCAAGCTCCATTGAAATGCTTCCGGATTTAAACAATTCAGTGGATTATTGTTCAATTGAGCAGAGGCACCGCTCATCTCCTGTGTATGATTTATTCTGTAAAGCGGTTGTTTTTGTGCCGATTTATATTTGCTTCATGTTGTAATTTTTTTACATTATTGTAATTTTAGCAACCCAGGTGGCTCTGGCAGATGAGACGATGGTGGTCCCCCCTGGATAAACAAAAAGCACTTAACACTTGACGTTGTTAAGTAGACTCATGAGACATCCTCTATACGTGCTCCTGTGGACCTGGTTGGGATGGCTGTTTAGAATGGCACGGGGAAATTCCGTCTCAAGACAAGAGACAAAACAAATAATCAGGTAATTCTCCTCCTTCACTGTCCCTCCGCATAAAAATACAAGTAATTTTTACACATTCCATCAGCCACAAGGCCTTCTGGGCGTGTATCATTTCAGTAGTACTGGTTCAATGCAAACAAAGTCTCTGCCGGTTTCGAGATTCAGTGTCTCATCAGCAGTCAGGTTTGCTTGAACCAATGCTGGCGAACTGCCAGGTGTTAATAGTCAAGGGCCCTCTCTGTTGGACATAGAACTTATTTCGTACCGTACGTAGCCAACCGTGCTAATTGGAGGTGCGGATTGAGAGAAGGGGAGGCTCCCCACCTGGGAGCCGTGCCGAGGGGTTGCAGTAGGTGTGCGTCGAGCAGTAGACTACAGCCAGGCCAACCTCCGCCTCCGTGATCATGCGCAGGCCGAGGCTGCAGAGGGAAATGTCACAACACAGCAGCACAACACGTGAACGGGACTGTACAGCACAGTGTGTTTTACTTCTGTAGTGGTAATGATGGAGACACAGTCTTCTTCTGGAGGCAACACGTTTATTTAACAGCAACAACTATAACACGAGGTCCCTAGCACAAAGGGGTATCGGCCCCTCCACCCGATACCCTGGGGAGGTATAGCCTCCGGGCTAGCGTGTCCTATTCACTGGAACCACTTCCTCTATATATCAGCCCTCCGGCTAGGGGGACCTAGGGGAGGCTAGCTGACCCGACCCAGCCAAGGTCCTCGGATCCCGGCCACTGGCCTGCTCGGTCCCGGCCCTTAGAAGGACGTCGGGTCTGGGGGTTCCCAGGGTCCTATTCTAGGCTGGCTCTTCGGGTCTTCAGCTTGACGACGACTGGCAAACCTGTTCAGAGGTCCGCCTTATATACAGCTCCCAGGGTCACTCCACCCCTGGCTACGCCTACTCTCTAGAACCTTCTGGAGGGACCTGGACTATTGCGTAATCCCCCAGCCCCCACCGAGGGCCTGGGGTGTGTATCTCCGGTTCCCAACCACCCTCTGGGTTTCGTGGCCTAACGGCGTTACTTAATACAGGCCGTACTCGCCGTTGCCCCCTGTTGACCAATGGCTGACGCTACACCATGTGAGTCGTGGTAACCGCGTGTAACGCTAACAATACCCACTGCACTTCTAAGGTGCCTATCAATGTCTGATGTATTTTGCTATATATACAGGAATATTGAAAGTAAACACCAGTTATTAGATATCAGACACAAATACCAACAATGATACGCATGCCCCGCAAACACATGCCAACTTTTGATTTAAAGCTTTCGTGACTGCAGTAATTCATATTCTTAGCTCTTTCGGTAAAGTCACGTTGAAGGGAAAACAATAATTGTTTTATATATATTTTGTTATTTTATTGTTTCCCTTCAACGTGACTTTCCCACATACCAAACGCTGAAATCAAGCATCAGCACTCAATACACTTTTCCCAGAAACACCCACCTCTTCTGATTCATCATCAGCAGCAGTCGTAAAAGCAATATCAGCAGCAACAATTAAAAGATCATTATCATCGACTTCATCATTATCATCATCATCATCTTTGTCATCCCAGGGCCAACGGTCAAGAATATTTATGGAGTGTCAACCAGGAATAGAACGCATCTGAGAGAATTTCCATTTCGAAGATGGAGAAATAAAACTAGTTAATGTGTTGGATAGATTATTGAATTGCATGATCGTGAGAGGCGGCGGTGGGTTGGGAATGCTTCCATTCAGCAGTGGATTGATCATGGCTGCTGCTGATGACGACGATGATAAATAAACCCTTGTCAGAAGTTTGTGAGAATGTCAAACTTTGCAAGTGTATCACCTTTGTGCTGGTGACACCATTTACCCACGAAAGCCTCACCGAGTCTCAAGACCATTTTTCCGAGCAGGCGGCGACAATTTCTACGCGTTTCCCAATCGAGTAATTTGCCGGTAATTTTCTAATTGGTCAAATGTGCATCACGACGCGGGGCACGCGATGGCAGCATTGACCACAGGTGACCTGCCAGATCCGAACCGCGAACGTCTGCAACGAGCGGCGAACGCTCCGCCGTTGGGCTGCCACTGGGCCCGCCGAGTCATGCCACATCATGCCGCGTGGTCGCGTTTCTCCCGAGGACGCCCTCCCGTGTGCGCGACGACGACGAGCGGCCGGTGGCACTCTCGAGCGCCACCGGACTCACGTGTGGAGGCGTACGCCGACTTGGGCAGCCCACGCTCGCGCGTCCTGTGCCAGCACCTGGGACGAGAGCTGCGAACAGCCGGCCTCCGGCTCCACCACGCAGAAAGCTTCTCCGTGCCGCGGCTCGGCGCGCTGGCCGGGGGAGCACAGGCACAACGCCGCGCCGCCCGCCAGCGCGATCGGCACCGCCAGCCGCTTGTGCTGGAACAGAGAAGACGGCCCACGTCGGCACCTCCAATTCGCACGGTTGGCTATGTTAAGGTCCAAAATAAGTTTCATGTATATGTAGTGAGTCCAACTGAGTCGCAAATATTGTCTTGGGAGCAACACTATTTATTCACAACTCAACATAACATAACACAACCTACACTTGGGTGTTGAATGCTCATCTAGCCACGCTACGGCAGAACTAGGCACGGTTCGCTATCCCGGCCCGGACCACAAGCTGGGTCCCGGACCGCGTGGTTAGAGGCTTCTTTTACCCGACGTGAATCTTCATCACCAGCAACAAGAACCCCGAGCCCCTCACGGGGCCCCCGTTATATCGGCCTGGGCTGGGGCTGGCTCCGCCCCTGACCCCACCCAACTTCTAGATGTCTCGAGCTCTTTCCCGAAGGCTCCCCGAGAACTCTTTTATACCACGTGACCGCCCAGTGGCCCCCGTCCACCGGTGGCCCCCCTCCAATATCATCCGGTCACGTGTCGGCAGGTCAACCAGCGTATCATGCTCCAACGTAACCCTGGCTGGCTGACACTCCCTCTTGCTCCCTCACCGGGAGCCCGCACCGCACACTGTAGGTGATGCCTCCGCGCTGACCAGCACTCACCCAAGCCCCGCTAGGGCTGGTACTACGCCCAGTAAGCGGGCTACACATAATGCCAACACATTATCTGCCGTGGCTTCGTAAGCCCGGCACCACACAGTGACAATCACAGTCACTACATATACGTACATACAATGCTCTCCTGTGACAATGTGAAAGGCTGCAGGCGCCGTGAGCGGAGGGCCCGGTACGCACGTACAGCTTCAGGATCGCCGGTGCACACACAACACGCACCACCTCCTACTGCGCGTGGTCACGTCGGCGCCACTTGTACTAAAGTGTTCTCGTGCATGCACTGCGCCCCGCTCGGATTTTTCTTGGCAAATCTTTGTATTTTTATTTATTTTTGGAGGCTAAAATAAATACTATTAAACACATTTTTTTTACCAGGTAACGCCCACTGAGCTATATAGCTCTTTTTCAGTAGCGACTTGGTCACAAATAACTGGAGGACCCGGAGAAAATTCCACGAGACACCGGGAGAGAAAGAGACGCAAACTACAAATGTACAGCAGGCATCTGGGTCGGGATCGAACCCACGACCTCCTGCATATCAGGCGAGGATGTTAACATCTCGCCACCGTGGCTTGCCCTGAATTCCATCTTACTGGAATTCAGGGTATGTTCTCCCCCTGTTCACGCTTCTTTGGAAGTGGCTCAAGGCCTGAGCTGGGCTGAGTTAGAGGCCAAGACGGAGCCGAGCCAAGAACATGATCCTGACCCTGAGACTCGTAGCGCGGCACACGCGTGGAGCGGCACATGCGTGACACGGAACATGAGTGGAGCGGAACACGTGTGGAGCAGCACGCGCTTGGAGCGAAACACGTGTGGAGCGGAACAAGCATGGAATGGCACCTGCTTGGCATGCAGGAACTGGAAGGTTTTCCCCTGGAACAGGAGCCTCCGCTCAGGCCGGGGGGTCAAGTCGAGGTCGCCCGGATTGATGCCCGGTTCATCGGCCAGAGGCCAGAAGCTGACGCACATCAACACATAGTGCACATCAACACATAGCGCACATCAACACATCAACACATAGCGCACATCAACACATCAACACATAGCGCACATCAACACATAGCGCACATCAACACATAAACACAAAGCGCACATCAACACAGCCAGGACTCGTTTCCTTGTTACAAATATTTTATTCTGCTTATTTACCCAGGCAGGCCTTACAGAATCTGCAGAATATGTATTTCCAGAGGGTTCTGCCAAGTGTTTGCAGTAGGGGGTGATGTTGCTGCTGAGTTAATACAATTGCGTAATCTAACCTATTAAATATTTTTGTTTGTCTGTCCGTCTGTCTGCGCACGCGCGCCTGTGAGGGATTTGGCTCTCAGACGGTGGAGTTTACGTAAAAATTTTTTTGCCAGCTACCACCCCGTAAGCCCCGCGGTGGGCAAGCGCTATTCTGTTATCCCGTCCGTTACCTTTAAATTTGTAAAAATAGCATTTTAGTGCAATGTATCTTTATTTATTTATATAAATTTGCCGCCCGGCGCGGTACAAAGCACGCAATTGCGCATGCGCGAAACGCTGACAGGAGTTGCCCCTAGCAACGCACACACGATCGCTAAAAAATGTAATTCGCGTTAACAATGCTTAAAAAATATACACACAATGCTGAGGTTCATTCTTCACAGTCTTATGTCCTCTTCTCTCCCCCCCACCCCAATGCGTGCAGTTACTGATATAAAGTCCGTATATATTAATATTGATTGCAGCACGGGTGGGGAGTGCGGCCCAGCCCCCAGCCTGGCAAAGTGTCACCTCCTCCGGCTGGGCAATCTAGGCGAGGCCGCGGGCTTTGCACGGGACTAGGCCTCACCATGGCAATGTAAAGTACAGTTTTATCTTTCGCTAAGAACTCAGGGTCATTGTTTACTATTATGAAACAAATAAGTTGGCAAATATTACAATAATAATGTTTGTGTGCAGAAAACGAAAATTTCATTATTAGGTTGCTAATTATTTCCTTTTTTAGGTGTGTTTTATGATGCTGCGACAGTGTACTGCCAGTCTGCCCTGTGGCCTGCTGCCTGCTGATTAAATAATGTCAGAGGCACAGCTACTTCTACGACCAGTCACAAGCTAATCCCTCAGTTATTTCAATGCTAAATTCTCCTGTTTGATTTGTACTAGGTGCCTCTGTGGATGTGTAGGCTTTGACTTTAACATAGCTATTTCTATGACCAGTCACAAGCTAATCCCTCAGTTATTTCAATGCTAAATTCTCCTGTTTGATTTGTACTAGGTGCCTCTGTGGATGTGTAGGCTTTGACTTTAACATAGCTATTTCTATGACCAGTCACAAGCTAATCCCTCAGTTATTTCAATGCTAAATTCTCCTGTTTGATTTGTACTAGGTGCCTCTGTGGATGTGTAGGCTTTGACTTTAACATAGCTACTTCTATGACCAGTCACAAGCTAATCCCTCAGTTATTTCAATGCTAAATTCTCCTGTTTGATTTGTACTAGGTGCCTCTGTGGATGTGTAGGCTTTGACTTTAACATAGCTACTTCTATGACCAGTCACAAGCTAATCCCTCAGTTATTTCAATGCTAAATTCTCCTGTTTGATTTGTACTAGGTGCCTCTGTGGATGTGTAGGCTTTGACTTTAACATAGCTATTTCTATGACCAGTCACAAGCTAATCCCTCAGTTATTTCAATGCTAAATTCTCCTGTTTGATTTGTACTAGGTGCCTCTGTGGATGTGTAGGCTTTGACTTTAACATAGCCATTTCTGTGACCAGTCACAAGCTAATCACGCAGCTATTTCAATGCTAAATTATCCGAACCAAACATTAAACTAATTTTCAATGGTACAGTATATTTTTTCAAGTAGTGGTATCCCAAACTTTTGCAGCAACTTAAATTCCCTTTTCATACCATCAATATGTAAACTCCCCCTCCCCCCCTCGCCGGTCTGCACATGTTCACCCCCTCTACACCGTTCATCATGCTAAGTCCGCCAATTAAATGCTAAATTTTATACTAATTCCTTTGTCAAGGCGCTCTGTTTCTTCTCACACAGATTAAAGGTCCTGGTCTGAGCTTGGCTGTGTTCGCTCCAGCGCTGTCCTCCAGACAGTCTCGTCCCTTCACCTGATGAAGGCCACTTGTGTTGTGGCCGAAATGTCGTGAGAATTTTATTGTTATTTAATTTTATTAATTTATTATTTTATTCTCATTCTACGTGACTTTACCGAAAGAACCAAAGAAGGTGCTGCTGACAGTGAATCTGATGCCTTAGGACGAGTCTACACAGTTCATCCCAACAATGAGCAGTGCTACTTTCTCCCAATGCTTCGCCATGTTGCCAAAGGGCACAAATCTTTCCAAGACCTCTAAAAAGTGGAAGGAGTTGTCTGTCAAACATACAGGGAAGCTTGCAATCTTCGTGCAATTCTTGCGCATGATCACCATCTTCATAAAGCTATGACAGAAGCTTCTGTTGGTCAGTCCCCTTTCCAACTGACATTGGTCTTCTGCATAAATCTTCAAGTTTGCAGCCCATCTAACCCCATGGGACTCTGGCAACCATACAAAGAGGGCATGAGTGAGGACATCCTCCACGGAGCTCAATGAGAAAATACAAACCTCGACGTCAACTTTTCTGATGTCATCTTCAAACAGGGCCCTCATCCTCCTTCAGGACAAACTGCACTCCATTGGTGGAAAATACCTCGCGTCTATGGGACTACCAACACCCTACAGGGATAACCTGCATGCCCTTGCTCAAGAGATCCTACGTTAAATATGCTATTATGCTTTACAGCTTCTTAAATTTAGGAAAATTAACCAAAGCTCATGGATGCACAAATAGAAACCTACACGAAAATCTTGGAAGACATTGATGCACCTGCCAGGACTGGAAAGAACTTTGTTCTCAAACTGCTCCTCGCTAAGGCTTGCCAGAGAGAGGAAATCCCTCTAGCTGTGGCATCATCGGGAATTGCTGTGCAAGTCGATGTGTGTGTATAAGTCGATGTGTGTCTGTGTCTTTTTTGCCCGGGCAACGCCAGATGTGTCTGTGTGTGTACGTCATTGTGTGTGTGTGTACGTCGATGTGTATGTGTGTGCGCGTCCATATGTGTGTGTGTTAGTCCATATGTGTGTGTAAAAGTCCGTGTGTGTGTGTGTAAGTCAATGTGTGTGTGTGTGAGTCGATATGTGTGTGTGTAAGTCCATATGTGTGCTTAGGTCGATGTGAGAGTCTACGTATGTGTGCGAGTCGCTGTATGTGTGTACGTCGATTTGTGTGTGTAACTCCATGTGTGTGTATCTAAAGTAGATGTTTGTGTGAGTCCATATCTGTGTATGAGTGTAAGTCGATGTGTTTGTGTGTGTGGGTCGATGTCTGTGTGTGTGTGTCTAATTCGATGTGTGTTTGTGTCTTTTTCGCCCGGGCAACGCCGGGTACTTCCCGCTAGTTTGCTATATGGGGGATCTTTGTCTTTGTGGCTGGGGTGCACACAGGGAGTGGTGGGTAGGGAATGAATTATGAGACAGCGAAGGCCGTGCGTGGGCCCTCACCTGCTGTGGCTGGGTTGTGGCGAGCGGCTCCTGATGGCTGTGACGAGCGTGGAGAAGAACACCGGCTGCACGATGGGGATGCTCGTGATGAGGGCGCAGATCGTCTGTGGCAGAGCACGGCAAACACGGGACCACGCGTCCATTACTCCACCGCCACCACCCGCACGACCGCCTCTTATGCCCACGGTGCGAGGCGGAGAACCGCAGAGCAGCAGTGGAGCAGTGGTGACAACACCCATGCCTCGCAGCCAGAAGGTTGCCGATACGGGCGCCTTCCTTTGTGGAGTCTGCTTTGGTTTCGTCGGGCTTCCCCGGTTTCCTCCCATTGCTAAATAAACACGACACAATGTAACTGGTATTGGCCAAAGAGCCCAATGCTGAACCATTACCTGGTAATTGGTTAATGTCCATGCGGTGCTTTAACTCTGTTACAGATGTGAGAGTATGTACGGTAGAACACCCCTTGTTTGTAACCCTCTTATCCACAATCCCATAGCTGTAGAGGCCAATTTGTTATCCACAAGTCCCTGAGGATTAACTAATCATTCTAGTAATGGACAAAACACATCATTGCAACTGTGATAAAAACACGATGAAGGATTCTCCCTCATTGTCTTGAAGGGCGCGGCAGTGGCGAGATGTTAAATCCCTCGCCTAGTATGCAGGAGGTCGTGGATTCGATTCCGACTCTGACGTCTGTATATTTGGAGTTTGCGTGTCTCTCTCCCCGTGGATTTTTCTCCGCGTCCTCCGATTTTTCCCTCAACATTTAGAATCAACACCACACGTTTAGAGAATTTGGCTGCTATGTGTGTGTTAGGGTTAACCATTGACTGATTACTAATCGATTATATAATTACAATACCCCCCTCCGCCTCAAATCACTGCACCTGAAATGAGTTAAATGATGATGACGTCACCCTGCTGCTCTATTTAAAACCGGGAGCAAGCGAGGGCTTTACCATTCTGGCACATTGCCCGATGATGCTGTATGTAATTACCAGCGAAACGTCGCACTCAAACTGTAAATGTTGTGGATTCACTCTTCAACACACCGGTGGGCTAAAGTAGTGAATTATTTGTCTTTTGTCAACGTGACACTTTTTTTTGCTGATTGGCCATGTCGGGTGGTGAAGGGTTACGACACATTTATAATTAACGCGATCTAACCCAAAAACCTTTATTATGAATAATATTGGTCGCGAAAGCCTACGTGTTAAACTGCTATGCATTTCCACATGATAAGCCACTTCGTTGAGCTATCATTTGTGGCCAGGTCGCTTCTGAAAAACTGGGACTAACCTGGTAAAATAAAAAATAGGTTAGTTTTTTTTTATTCCACTCATTTACCCAGGGAAATCCTCACAGAGTCTCAAGACCTTTATAGGTGGGTTCTGCTGGGCTTTCTCAGTAGGGGCAAGGATGGAGATGTGTTTCTCAATCGAGTGGTTTGTGAGTACATTTTCGTATTTTGACCGTGACGCCAGCACACGATGCCCTACTCTTGTTCGAATGACGTCGCGGGAACTCTCACGTCCACTGTGAAGTAGACAAATGTGTATTTTTTCATCAATACCCCCGCAGTATTAACCAGGGCGGCCTGCGAAATTCCAACCACGAACCTCTACAAAAAAAAGTTTCTGGTGGGCTTGAAGAAATGATTTGTAAACCAAGCACATGAGATGGCGCCACCGCCAGCCTATGCACGTGGCCTGTAATCCAGCACTTTCGGCGAGGGTTGGTGGATCAAACACTGATGTTGTGGAACTCCCTTCCCATGGGCGTTGAGGTGCCATAGCCTGACTTACCAGAAGGTAGTACAGCAAGTGGACGAACCACCATCCGTTTACATCTCTACGGGGATACAGTGTTGCCCCCTTGCGTGCGTAGCTTTTCACCGGGTGCTACAGTTCCCTCCCATTTGTGTAACAAACATTCATCGTAAATTGGCTGGAAATATCTTTAAGTAAATACATAAATAAAAACAATGCAGCAGGAACCTCCTGAAAAGGAGTCTGATGACCCAGTGTGGCTCTCCCGGATGATTGAGTATCTCTCTCGCCAAAGGAACAAATGCTAACACGCCGAGCAAGCAAAACCTGGCTTTGTACATTGCAGTACAGGGCACTGGCAGCCTGTGCAAGCAGCATCCTGTGAAACATCAAGTCCTTCAAATTACTCAATTGGTATCACACATGGCAGAAACATTACTCCCTACAGTGAGAACTTGGCAGGAACCCTCCTGAAAACGAGTCTTGAGACTCAGTGAGGCTGTCCGAAGTAAACAAATGGAATATTACGAGCAGGCACCACAAGGGGATTCACAAACGTAACTTTAATATTCTGTGGGCCGATTATGGGTTTTTAAAAATCTGCGCAACTGAAAATCTGAAGCTTCTTCCTGTACAAGTACATGGGCTTTAATTCAGTTACTTAAAAATAAAACTTTATATTTTACCAGGTAAGGCCCATTGAGCTGGGTAGCTTTTTTTCAGAAGCAACCTGGCAACAAATGATAGCCCAACAAAGAGGCTTATAGCGTAAAAATGTATAGCAGCCAAATACTAGAAATGCATGTTTCTAAATGTAGAGGGAAACACTGGAGGACCTGGAGAAAAATCCACGCAATCACGAGAACATGCAAACTCCAAATATACAGCAGCCTTTAGGGTCGGGATCAAATGCACGGCCTTCTGTATACCAGGCAAGGTTGTTAACATATCGCCATCGTGACGAAATATTACTGCTCGCTCGCAAAACTGAGCAGAATTCCATGACGAGAAAATTAACTCCGACAGGCCGCCAAGGAGATGGAGCGGCGAAATCAGTTCACACGCAGGTACTGGACAGATTTGTACATCGCAATATCGTGAGATGGTTGCCGCTTGGGGAGGCAGTCATCTAACAGTGAATTAATGGTTGATGATATCAACACTGTAGGCCGAAAGTCATAGTTATGGCTCGGCTCAGGCTTGAGCCACGAAGCTGCTTTCAAAAACGCATGAGCGGCTGAGCCATGATTTGGCTCAGACTCAATGTAACTGCGTGGCTTTGTGCTGGCTCACTTGAACCAAAGCCAATCCTGAGCGGAGCCATGACTACGAATGCAGGGCCGAGTCTCAATCCCTTGTCGTGTGACCAGTGTACCAGGTCACATTCCCACCGGTTCCAGCGGTGGAAGGAACCTAATACAGGGACCGTTACCTTCACGGTGACCTTGATGGACGTCATGACCAAGTGGGTGCAGTCGCTGGTCCATTGGGAGACGAAATGTCCTCCCAGCGCGAGCAGCGCGGAGCTCAGCACGTGCTTGGATTCCGCATCGAGGCAAGAAGAGCATACGACGAGCGGGGAGTATGCCACTCTGCACAGAGAACACGGCGGCCCAGCACTCTCTCAACATTCATAATTACGAACAGAGCATCGGGTGGCTAAAACACAGAAAGTTGGCACAGTATGGGGCACAGGTGGTGCATCGGCCAGTCAACTCAGTCAGTCAACCCATGGCACCTGGGTCTGTCCCGTGTTCTCCTGCCAGCGAGCGTTCTTTAAAGTGCACATAGCTTGGCACAAGCGTCGTGGTGACGTCACCGCCACTTAGTGGCAAATGGCGGTTATGTATGCATATGCTTGTGTAACGGTTAGCACGCTGCACTACGAACCCGACCACCTGCGTCCGATTGCCACTCACGGCCAACACCAGTGACAATTATCTGAACTGGTCCTGCGCCTCCCTTAGGTCAACCCAGCCTCAAATGAGTACCAAGTGCGGTGTGTAAAAACATCACCACTGGGTAGAAAAAGGCAGTCGGGCTTGGTGCTGGCCACCCACTCCCTCATGTACCATTCTGGCCTTCATAGGTGCTACTTGCTAACAGCACATGCCCAAAAAGTATGTTAAGGCTATACGAGGGACCTTTGTGTTTGTTGTGTATGTATGTATAAGCGTATGTATCTTTAATAAAAAATATTTCATGTGGATAATCCCTTGAGGTAGAACATCTGGTTTGCATAATTGGTACATGTACAGCAATCACATCTTGACACTACACAATAAAAATAAATAACTCTAGATTTAAAGCTTTCGTGACTGCAAGGATTCATCTTCTTTGGTTCTTTCGGTAAAGTCATGTAGAATGAGAATATTATTGTGTTATTTTATTTTATCAATTTATTATTTTATTCTCATTCTACGTGACTTTACCGAAAGAACCAAAGAAAATAAATAACTCGCACGGTGTTTACACAATATACACCCGGGTAGCTCAGCGGTCGAGCGAGTGGCTCGCAATCGGAAGGTTGCAAGTTCAACTCCTGGTTGGGGATTCATTCGGTCATTATCCTTGCAGTGTCGATAACATGAATTCCACTGTGGGGAAATAAACAGTGGTTGTCCTATGGTTAGACTTGCCCACACCATAGGAGTGAGGAATTTCCACCACTGGCTCAGATGAGCACCGCCCAATGCTGATTTGAACAGGAAATCACTCTGCCATGAAAATGCATACAATTAACATCACGCCCAGTCAAGACTTCAATGGCTTCTCTCCACTCAGCTGTGGTCGAGACTGAATTAAGATGCAGTGAAGAAGCCAAGGGATTCCGAGTTCACTCGTTGATGCACAGTGTGGGTTGAAGCCAGGACCTGTATTTGCTCTCAAAGACACCGAACTTCAGAAGGTCGCCACAACAAAGGGCCCGCTCGCTGCCGCTAGTCAGCTTCTCTCCATTGACGAAGGTTCCATACTTGGAGCTGTCCTTGACGGACAGTGCAGGCCTGCATGATGGGCGTGCCTGGGGAAGAGAAAAGGGCGACACTTGGGATGCTGCGCTGTCATCATGTGTTATATTGGGCGTCAGGGCACTGGTGCAGTGGTTGACACTCTCGCATCACAGCAAGAAGCTCCTGGGTTCGAACACTGACTTGTACACCTTTCTGTGTAAAGTTTGTATGTTCTCCCCCCGTTCTGCGTGGGTTTCCTCCTATAGCTAAAAAACTCAAACTTATTTTGCACCATACGTATCAAACCGTGCTAATCGGAGATGCGGCCATCTAATTGGTATTGGCCAAACATCCCAAAGCTGACAAATTCCTTGCACATTACTCTATTGGGATTACACACAGCAGCAGCAATATCTTCCCCCTGCTGTGAAAACTTCAAAGTACCCTCCTGGGTAGGCAACCGTTGCAGTAATTAAGTGAATGTGCCTTGTACCAAGCTGGACTCAGCGTGCGAGACCGTCAAAACCGCGTGCACGCGGCTAATGGACTGGTCGTTGCCGATGAGGATGCCACAGTCCTTCCTCCCCACCACGTGGCGTTCGCCCACCAGCAGCTGGTGCTCGCTGCCTGCAGGAACACACGCAATAGCACCCCAGCTCTGCCGTGCGACACGAGTGAGCGCGGGATCTACGGATGAAATGCGTCTTACGAATGTAAGCTACGCGTGACTGATGTTAATTGTTCTCTGGAGTTGGCTTAAAATGCAATGCACTTCGGTCCATTGGCAGACAGGAGATAGAGAGACCTACAGAGAGACGGACATGCAAAGAGACACAACAGCCGCCATTCGCCACTAACTGGTGGTGACGTCACCACGGCCCCTGTGCCATGCGAGGTGCACTTTAAGTCCACGTGAAGCGCCGAAGGCCCACTGGCAGGTCACAGAACAGCCCCAGGTACCATGGTTATGATTAACTGATTACTGGCAGAAACACCAACTGTGCCCCCTACTGTTTCTGAATGTTATCCGTCCGGCACTCCGCTCGTTGTTGTGAGCGCCGCTCCTCTGCCCTCCACAGTTGCTGAAGGGGCAACTGCCTCCAACTCCCCAGCAGCGTCCATACTGACACCGCTGGTTCCGGTCATTGGCAAGTCCACTCGGCTCCATATCCTCCTGTACCAGATCACTCCATCTCTTCTCCAGCCCACACCGTGCCCGCGGTTTGGGCATGCAGTGGCTGGGCATGCGGGCTACATGACCCATCCCACGCAGCCTCGCTTACCGGAGCTCACTGATGGGGTACTGTGTCCAGATCTTTCAAAGGATCTGTAAACTCCTCACAAAATCCAGTCGGATTAAACCAGGGTGGATCGTAAGAAGGCCGACCTGAATGTTTAAAACCGTCGCAGATTTTCCTTTAGAGGGCTCCACGTCTCGCACACAAGAGATGGGAGGGCATAACTGTGGCCTAGAAGATCCGGAGCTTTGTATGAAACGACAGGCCAGGTAGCTTCTTCCCCACAGCGTTACGCAGCCACTGCACCACCGCTCCCCACACATACTACACAAACACAATACACACAAGCAGCGCGCTAACCACTGCACCACCGCTCCCCACACACACTACACAAACACAATACACACAAGCAGCGCGCTAACCACCGCACCACCGCTCCCTACACACACTGTACACACACGCAGCGCGCTAACCACTCTACCACCGCTCCCTACACACACTACACATACACTGTACACACACGCAGCACATTAACCACTGCACCACCGCTCCCTACACACACTTCACATACACTGTACACACACGCAGCGCGCTAACCACCGCTCCCTACACACACTGTACACACACGCAGCGCGCTAACCACTCTACCACCGCTCCCTACACACACTACACATACACTGTACACACACGCAGCGCCCTAACCACCGCACCACCGCTCCCTACACACACTACACATACACTGTACACACACGCAGCGCCCTAACCACCGCACCACCGCTCCCTACACACACTTCACATACACTGTACACACGCAGCACACTAACCACTCTACCACCGCTCCCTACACACACTACACATACACTGTACACACGCAGCACATTAACCACCGCACCACCGCTCCCCACACACACACTTCACATACACTGTACACACACGCAGCGCCCTAACCACAGCACCACCGCTCCCTACACACACTACATATACACTGTACACACGCAGCACACTAACAACTCTACCACCGCTCCCTACACACACTTCACATACACTGTACACACGCAGCACATTAACCACCGCACCACCGCTCCCCACACACACACATCACATACACTGTACACACACGCAGCACGCTAACCACTGCGCCACCGCTCCCTACACACACACTACAAACAGAAGAGGCTCCCACACACTGGAGACACACACAGGCGGGAGATAGGAACCAGAGACAAGAGACACGGACCTTGCGCAGTCTCCGCGGGCTCGAGTCTCCACATCTCCGCGCGCTGTCCCGGTGTGACCTCACCGCCTCGCAATGGAAATGGCGCGAGTGTCGAATGACGCCATTTCCCGATTGGGCGCGATCGAGAGTGACGTCATTTGGAGATGCGGCATGACGTCAATCCGAGATGGAACATGACGTCAATCCGAGATGGAGCATGACGTTTTTGCTGACTTGCAGGGCGCCCTCGTCACGTGGCTCGTCGCGCGATCACGTGGTTTGCTCAGACCGCGGGAAAAGCGAGGAGCGGAATAGGTGAGAGACGTGGGCACTGAGACACTGAGGCAGGAGAACATTTAGACACTGAGGCAGGAGAACACTTAGACACTGAGACACCGAGGCAGGAGAACACTTAGACACTGAGGCAGGAGAACACTGAGACACCGAGGCAGGAGAACACTTAGACACTGAGGCAGGAGAACACTTAGACACTGAGACACCGAGGCAGGAGAACACTTAGACACTGAGACACCGAGGCAGGAGAACACTTAGACACTGAGGCAGGAGAACACTTAGACACTGAGACACCGAGACAGGAGAACACTTAAACACTGAGACACCGAGGCAGGAGAACACTTCGACACTGAGGCAGGAGAAAACTTAGACACTGAGACACCGAGGCAGGAGAACACTTAGACACTGAGACACTGGGACACCGAGGCAGGAGAACACTTAGACACTGAGACACCGAGGCAGGAGAACACTTAGACACTGAGGCAGGAGAACACTTAGACACTGAGACACCGAGGCAGGAGAACACTGAGACACCGAGGCAGGAGAACACTTAGACACTGAGACACCGAGGCAGGAGAACACTTAGACACCGAGGCACGAGAACACTTAGACACTGAGACACCGAGGCACGAGAACACTTAGACACTGAGACACCGAGGCAGGAGAACACTTAGACACTGAGACAGCGAGGCAGAAGAACACTTAGACACCAAGGCAGGAAAACACTTAGACACTGAGACACCGAGGCAGGAGAACACTTAGACACTGAGACACCGAGGCAGGAGAACACTTAGACACTGAGACACCGAGGCAGGAGAACACTTAGACACTGAGGCAGGAGAACACTTAGACACTGGGACACCGAGGCAGGAGAACACTTAGACACTGAGACACCAAGGCAGGAGAACACTTAGACACTGAGACACCGAGGCAGGAGAACACTTAGACACTGAGGCAGGAGAACACTTAGACACTGGGACACCGAGGCAGGAGAACACTTAGACACTCAGACACCAAGGCAGGAGAACACTTAGACACTGAGACACCGAGGCAGGAGAACTGACCGAGGCAGGAGAACACTTAGACACTGAGACACCGAGGCAGGAGAACACTTAGACACTGAGACACCGAGGCAGGAGAACACTTAGACACTGAGACACCGAGGCAGGGGAACACTTAGACACTGAGGCAGGAGAACACTTAGACACTGAGACACCGAGGCAGGAGAACACTTGGACACTGAGACACCGAGGCAGGAGAACACTTAGACACTGAGACACTGAGGCAGGAGAACACTTAGACACTGAGACACCGAGGCAGGAGAACACTTAGACACTGAGACACTGAGGCAGGAGAACACTTAGACACTGAGACACCGAGGCAGGAGAACACTTAGACACTGAGACACCGAGGCAGGAGAACACTTAGGCACTAAGACACCGAGGCAGGAGAACACTTAGACACTGAGACACCGAGACACCGAGGCAGGAGAACACTTAGACACTGAGACACCGAGGCAGGAGAACACTTAGACACTGAGACACCGAGGCAGGAGAACACTAGACGAGACACCAAGGCAGGAGAACACTTAGACACCTGAGACACCGAGGCAGGAGAACACTTAGACACTGAGACACCGAGGCAGGAGAACACTTAGACACTGAGACACCGAGGCAGGAGAACACTTAGACACCTGAGACACTGAGGCAGGAGAACACTTAGACACTGAGACACCGAGGCAGGAGAACACTTAGACACTGAGACACCGAGGCAGGAGAACACTTAGGCACCTAAGACACCGAGGCAGGAGAACACTTAGACACTGAGACACCGAGGCAGGAGAACACTTAGACACTGAGACACCGAGGCAGGAGAACACTTAGACACTGAGACACCGAGGCAGGAGAACACTGAGACACCAAGGCAGGAGAACACTTAGACACTGAGACACCGAGGCAGGAGAACACTTAGACACTGAGACACCGAGGCAGGAGAACACTTAGACACTGAGACACCGAGGCAGGAGAACACTTAGACACTGAGACACCGAGGCAGGAGAACACTTAGACACCGAGGCAGGAGAACACTTAGACACCGAGACACCGAGGCAGGAGAACACTTAGACACTGAGACACCGAGGCAGGAGAACACTTAGATACTGAGACACCGAGGCAGGAGAACACTTAGACACTGAGAGACCGAGGCAGGAGAACACTTAGACACTGAGACACCGAGGCAGGAGAACACTTAGACACCGAGACACCGAGGCAGGAGAACACTTAGACACTGAGACACCGAGGCAGGAGAACACTTAGACACCGAGGCAGGAGAACACTTAGACACTGAGACACCGAGGCAGGAGAACACTTAGATACTGAGACACCGAGGCAGGAGAACACTTAGACACTGAGACACCGAGGCAGGAGAAACACTTAGACACTGAGACACCGAGGCAGGAGAACACTTAGACACCGAGACACTGAGGCAGGAGAACACTTAGACACTGAGACACCGAGGCAGGAGAACACTTAGACACTGAGACACCGAGGCAGGAGAACACTTAGACACTAAGACACCTAGGCAGGAGAACACTTAGACACTGAGACACCGAGGCAGGAGAACACTTAGACACTGAGACACCAAGGCAGGAGAACACTTAGACACCGATACACTGAGGCAGGAGAACACTTAGACACTGAGGCAGGAGAACACTTAGACACTGAGACAAGCGAAGCAGGAGAACATTAGACACTGAGACACCGAGGCAGGAGAACACTTAGACACTGAGACACCGAGGCGGGAGAAACACTTAGACACTGAGACACCGAAGGCAGGAGAACACTTAGACACTGAGACACCAGGCAGGCGAACACTTAGACACTGAGACACCGAGGCAGGGAGAACCACTTAGACACTGAGGACACTGCGAGGCAGGAGAACACTTAGACACTTAGACACCGAGCAGAGAACACTTAGACACTGAGACACCGAGGCAGGAGAACCCTTAGACACCGAGTCACCGAGGCAGGAGAACACTTAGACACCGAGAACACGAGGCAGGAGAACACTTAGACACTGAGACACCAAGGCAGGAGAACACTTAGATACTGAGACACCGAGGCAGGAGGAACACTTAGACACCTGAGACACCGAGGCAGGAGAACACTTAGACACTGAGACACCGAGGCAGGAGAGACACTTAGACACCGAGACACTGAGGCAGGAGAACACTTAGACACTGAGACACCGAGGCAGGAGAAAACTTAGACACTGAGACACCGAGGCAGAGAACACTTAGACACTAAGACACCTAGGCAGAGAGAAACACTTAGACACTGAGACACCGAGGCAGGAGAACACTTAGACACTTAGACACTGAGACACCAAGGCAGGAGAACACTTAGACACCGATACACTGAGGCAGGAGAACACTTAGACACTGAGGCAGGAGAACACTTAGACACTGAGACAGCGAGGCAGGAGAACATTTAGACACTGAGACAACCGAGGCAGGAGAACACTTAGACACTGGGACACACAGAGGCGGGAGAACACTTAGACACTGAGACACCGAGGCAGGAGAACACTTAGACACTGAGACACCAAGGCAGGCGAACACTTAGACACTGAGACACCGAGGCAGGAGAACACTTAGACACTGAGACCCCGAGGCAGGAGAAAACTTAGACACTGAGACACCGAGGCAGGAGAACACTTAGACACTGAGACACCGAGGCAGAAGAACACTTAGACACTGAGACACCGAGGCAGGAGAACACTTAGACACTGAGACACCGAGGCAGGAGAACACTTAGACACTGAGACACCAAGGCAGGAGAACACTTAGACACTGAGACACTGAGGCAGGAGAACACTTAGACACTGAGACACCGAGGCAGGAGAACACTTAGACACTGAGACACCGAGGCAGGAGAACACTTAGACACTGAGACACCGAGACACCGAGGCAGGAGAACACTTAGACACTGAGACACTGAGGCAGGAGAACACTTAGACACCGAGACACCGAGGCAGGAGAACACTTAGACACTGAGACACTCGTACACTTAGACACTGACACTGAGGCAGTAGGACATTTAGACACAGACACTGAGGCAGTCGGACACTTAGACACTGAGGCAGTAGGACATTTAGACATAGACACTGAGGCAGTAGGACACTTAGACACTGAGACACTGAGGCAGGAGAACACTTAGACACCGAGACACCGAGGCAGGAGAACACTTAGACACTGAGACACCGAGGCAGGAGAACACTTAGATACTGAGACACCGAGGCAGGAGAACACTTAGACACTGAGACACCGAGGCAGGAGAACACTTAGACACTGAGACACCGAGGCAGGAGAACACTTAGACACCGAGACACTGAGGCAGGAAAACACTTAGACACTGAGACACCGAGGCAGGAGAACACTTAGATACTGAGACACCGAGGCAGGAGAACACTTAGACACTGAGAGACCGAGGCAGGAGAACACTTAGACACTGAGACACCGAGGCAGGAGAACACTTAGACACCGAGACACTGAGGCAGGAGAACACTTAGACACTGAGACACCGAGGCAGGAGAACACTTAGACACCGAGGCAGGAGAACACTTAGACACTGAGACACCGAGGCAGGAGAACACTTAGATACTGAGACACCGAGGCAGGAGAACACTTAGACACTGAGACACCGAGGCAGGAGAACACTTAGACACTGAGACACCGAGGCAGGAGAACACTTAGACACCGAGACACTGAGGCAGGAGAACACTTAGACACTGAGACACCGAGGCAGGAGAACACTTAGACACTGAGACACCGAGGCAGGAGAACACTTAGACACTAAGACACCTAGGCAGGAGAACACTTAGACACTGAGACACCGAGGCAGGAGAACACTTAGACACTGAGACACCAAGGCAGGAGAACACTTAGACACCGATACACTGAGGCAGGAGAACACTTAGACACTGAGGCAGGAGAACACTTAGACACTGAGACAGCGAAGCAG